GCAGTATCTCTGAGGGAAAAGGTCAAAGATCAGATATTTATGAGGCTTTGGGTATCCTGTTTATATTGGGTTTTCAGTGCAAGGACCTGATTGGTATATTATTCACCAGGCTAACAGGCCACAGCTTCTCATCAGAGTCCTTCTCAGAAAAATGGGCTGGCTTAGTACCTCTGGGAGCAGCCTGTGGGAGGCATAGCTCCTGTACAGCACAGTAGCTGGGGCCATTCATCAGTCATCCATGTACAGCAAGGGCTCTGGGAGACTCATTTTCTTTTCTTTTTTTTTTTTTTTTTTTTTTTGACAGGCAGAGTGGACAGTGAGAGAGAGAGACAGAGAGAGAAAGGTCTTCCTTTTGCCGTTGGTTCACCCTCCAATGGCTGCCGCTGCAGCCGGCGCACCGCGCTGATCCTGGCAGGAGCCAGGAGCCAGGTGCTTTTCCTGGTCTCCCATGGGGTGCAGGGCCCAAGCACCTGGGCCATCCTCCACTGCACTCCCTGGCCATAGCAGAGAGCTGGCCTGGAAGAGGGGCAACCGGGACAGAATCCGGCGCCCCAACCGGGACTAGAACCCGGTGTGCCGGCGCCGCTAGGTGGAGGATTAACCTATTGAGCCACGGCGCCGGCTCGAGACTCATTTTCATAGCTATCACAGCCCATCCTTTGCACAGAGCAGTTTTCTTTCTACAAGACCTGGGTGCAGGTTTCTGTGGGCCTATTTTCCTAAGAGCAAATACTGGTGGGAAATTCAGACATTTCAGTTGATATTCCAGATTCTAAGTAGTATTCACACTCTTCCTCTTCTGCTAGCTATGCTAATTCTCTCGCCCTAAGCTATCATCTCATCAGATTTTTGTGGCATGTTGGTGATATGACCCAAATCTTAATTCTTCAAGTACCTGAGCAGTCATATTGTTCTCAGGTAGCACTGTTGCACGTGTCCTTTCACAGTTACAACGGGGCACGGTAGTACCAAAAGGTGCTCAAATGGATCATCTGAGCATCGTTTTGTTCTAGTGCTCTACTTTTTCCTGCTGATGTTGGCATTACCATTGCTAGAATGTCCATGTCTTTTCTCACGTGCTGGTCTCTGGACATGACAGTTCCAAAGTGCATTGACACAGATATATTGTAGGTCAATAAAAACTTTGTTTCCATGGCTGGCACCGTGGCACAGGAAGTTAATCCTTGGCCTGTGGTGCCGGCATCCCATATGGGCGCCAGTTCTAGTCCCGGCTGCTCCTCTTCCAATCCAGCTCTCTGCTATGGCCTGGGAAAGCAGTAGAAGATGGCCCAAGTGATTGGGTCCCTGCACCCATGTGGGAGACCCGGAAGAAGCTCCTGGCTCCTGGCTTCGGATTGGTGCGGCTGCAGCCCTTGAGACCATTTGGGGAGTGAACCAACAGAAGGAAGACCTTTCTCTCTGTCTCTCCCTCTCAGTGTCTGTAACTCTACCTCCCAAATAAATAAAATCTTAAAAAAAAAATGTTTCCCCTGCCGAAAGTGTCCTCCTGCTGAGGACCATTCTTTTTTGTATCTCCACCCTACAGGGCCCAGAACTGAAAGGACACAAAGCACATCATTCCCCTGTGCATCACTGGAAACAACAATGCATAGGGTTACTCCTATTTCCATCCCTTGGATCCTGGACCCAAATATTCTTTCCTGTTGAGAACACTCAGAGAAATCTCTGATTTAGTGCATACATTGCATCTTCAAGGATGCTACCAATCTTTTCAGAGTGTTGCCTCCAAGTTAATGCTGCAGTTGTCTCTTTAGAAGGCCATTCCAGCATTCTATTAACTTACCATCTTAAGAGTGCAGTAATTTCTTTAAGAAACCATATTGATCATCTTGCATAAATATTCATATCTTCCTATAATTATGCTGAACCTACTATTAATTGTACCCTTTAACAAAGATGACCAACTTTAATCCCACTTGAAGGGTGAAAACTATAAGACAGAATACCCAGAAATATTTAAACATTTTTCTCCATAAGCATGCCTTTCATATTATATTAATAATTTTAAGGAGTTTATGTAAGTAATAGCATCCAAGAGTGCTTTCATATTTTATAAATCTATATTTATTTTGATTAATAATTTTTAAGTTTTTTTTTTTTTTTTGGACAGGCAGAGTGGACAGTGAGAGAGAGAGACAGAGAGAAAGGTCTTCCTTTGCCGTTGGTTCACCCTCCAATGGCCGCCGCGGTCGGCTTGCTGCGGCCGGCGCACCACGCTGATCCGATGGCAGGAGCCAGGAGCCAGGTGCTTTTCCTGGTCTCCCATGGGGTGCAGGGCCCGAGCACCTGGGCCATCCTCCACTGCACTCCCGGGCCACAGCAGAGGGCTGGCCTGGAAGAGGGGCAACCGGGACAGAATCCGGCGCCCCGACCGGGACTAGAACCCGGTGTGCCGGCGCCGCTAGGCGGAGGATTAGCCTAGTGAGCCGCGGCGCCGGCCTAATTTTTAAGTTTTTTGAGAAGCAAATAGAAGAGTGTGTTGCTTCCGGTTCACTCCCTAAATGTCTGGAATGGCCCCCACCTGGGGATGAAGCTAGAAGCCAGGAACACAATCCAAGTCTCGCATACTGGGTAGCAGAGACTCATTTACTTGAGCCATCATTGCTGCCTCCTAGGACCTACACTAACAGAACACTGGAGTCAGGTATCAAACCCCGGTACAGGTTATGGACGTCTTACCTGCTAGGCTAAAATTCTGCTCCCTATATTTATGTTTATTTGTATAACAATAATAGTAAAATTAAAGTGCTTAATGCTTAGTGACCCATATTTGGTCTTTCAGTTTTTGCTTTATATTTTGTTCAAGTAAGCATTTGGTGCAGTGAATAAGATGTTGTGTGAGAATATGTCCCATATGGGAGTGCCTGGGTTCAAGTCCTGGTTCTACTTCTAAATCCTGCTTCCTGCTGATGAGCCACATGGGAAGCAACAGGTGATGACCCAAGTACCTGGGCCCCTGCCACCCATGTGGGAGACCTCAACTGGGTTCGGGGCTACTGGTTTTGGCCTGGCCCAACCCAAACTGTTGTGGGCATTTGGGAATGAGCAGATGGAAGATCTCTCTTTGCCTTTCAAATAAACAAAAACAAACCAATAATTTTTAAAAGTTAATGGAAAAGTTACTGGGGCTGGGGTTGTGGTGGAGATTAAGCTGCTAATTATGATGCTGGCATTCCCTATCTGAGTACCAGTTTGAGTCCCAGGTGTTCTGTTTCAGATTCAGCTCCCTGTCAATGAGTCTGAGAAGGCAGTGGAAGATGGCCCAAGTATCTGGGGCTCTGCCACCAATATGGGAGACCAATACTGAGTTCCTGGCTCCCAGCTTCAGCCTAACCCAGACCAGGCTGTTAAAGCTATGGTTGTTTTTTTTTTTTTTTTTTTGATTTATTTATTCATTTGAGAGGTAGAGTTAGAGAGAAGAAAAGGAGAGACAGAAGGAGAGAGATCTTCTATCTACTGGTTCACTCCCCAAATGGCCACAACAACCAGGGCCAGGCCAGTCTGAAGCCAGGAGCCAGGAGCTTCTTCCAGGTCTCCCATGCATGTGCAGGGGCCCAAGGACCTGGTCATCCTCTACTGCCTTCCCAGGTGCAATAGCAGGGAGCTGGATTGGAAGTGGAGCAGCCAGGTCTTGAACTGGTGCCCATATGGGAAGCCAGCACTGCAGGCCAAGGCCTCAACACACAAAACCACAGTGTTTGCCCCTGTTGCAGCTATTTGAGTGAACCAGCAGATGGAAGATCTCTTTGTTGTTCTTTTATATAAATAAATAAATATTTTTTAAAAGTTATACGTGGATTTCTAGAATTTTCACACCAAAATAAACTTTGATTACATAATTCCATGAACTTTTTGACATACCCACATATGAAGTTTATATATCAATTTCTCAGTTCAACATTTATCTAAGTTCTTGAAGTTATGTACCTAGAAGTTGTAATTTCAACTTATTTTATATCTGACTTAAATATGAAGTTCTTAAGAATTTCAATAACATAGAAATATCTAAAGATCATAAACTCTTTTTAGTTAGTCATGATTCTAAATTTCTGTAATCTTACAACACTTTACAGAAATAATTATAGGGCTGGCACCGCGGCTCAATAGGCTAATCCTCCGCCTTGCGGCGCCAGCACCCCGGGTTCTAGTCCCGGTCGGGGCGCCAGATTCTGTCCCGGTTGCCCCTCTTCCAGGCCAGCTCTCTGCTGTGGCCAGGGAGTGCAGTGGAGGATGGCCCAGGTGCTTGGGCCCTGCACCCCATGGGAGACCAGGAGAAGCACCTGGCTCCTGGCTTCAGATCAGCGCTGTGCACTGGCCGCAGTGCGCCAGCCACAGCGGCCATTGGAGGGTGAACCAACGGCAAAGGAAGACCTTTCTCTCTGTCTCTCTCACTGTCCACTCTGCCTGTCAAAAAATTTAAAAAAAAAAAAATTATAATACCAATGTAAGAAGTTAGAAAAAGTTTCAATTACCAGGCATTTACATGTCTTGTATAAAACAGAATATTGTGTTGCCATTATTTCACATATTAAAGTTAGAAGCATCAATGTGTTTTAAACCCTTAAACTAACTGATTTTAATTCATGTATTTACCAGGATTTTAATAAGCATTTTCCATACAATTTGTAAACTCTGTAGTCATAAACCAAATTATAAAAACACTTATAATCCTATTTAAAACCACTTTATTGGACCCTGTTGCCCCTCTTCCAGGCCAGCTCTCTGCTATGGCCTGGGAGTGCAGTAGAGGATGGCCCAAGTGCTTGGGCCCTGCACCCCACGGGAGACAAGGAGAAGCATCTGGCTCCTGCCTTCGGATCAGCGCGATGCACCGGCCGTGGCGGCCATTGGAGGTTGAACCAACGGCAAAGGAAGACCTTTCTGTCTGTCTCTCTCTCTCTTACTGTCCACTCTGGCTGTCAAAAAACAAAAAACAAAAAACAACAACAACAACAACAACAAAAACAAAAAAGAACCAATAACAAAACAAAAAAACCGCTTTATTGGGGCAAACATTTAGTCTGTGGTAAAGACAGATTGCATCCCACATTGAAGTACCTTGGTTCAATTCCTGGCTCTGAGTTCTGACTTCACCTTCCAACTAGGGAAGACTTTTTGAGGCAGTGGTGATGGCTCAAGTAACTGGGCTCCTGCCACTCATGTGGGAGACCTGGATCAAGTTCCCAGGTGCCAGCTTCATTTCTGGCCCATCCCTGGCTTGCTGCAGGGATTTGTGGAGTGAACCTACAGACAGGAGCTCTCTGTATGTCTATATGTGTATATGCATCTCTCTCTCTCTCTAACTCTTACATAAATGGAATAAATTAAACCCCTTTATCTTGGAATCAAGGCATTTTCTTCATTTCCTACAGTTTTAACCAGAAACATTTTTAAAAAGCAGTTCAATAATCTTTCTTTATATTTTAGGAATTCTTTATCAGAGATTCTTAGAACAAATACATTATAACAAAATAACTGTTTTTGACAATTAATCTTTAAAGTCTCCCAAGACAGGGCAAAAAGGGACAGAAAGAAAAAATGAGAATGAGCCAGCTTCAGTCAAATAAAAAAATTAACACTATAAAAGATAAATTATCTTTTCTTAATTACAGAGAGAGAAAAGTTAAGATTCAGGAAAACCTATATTTTTAAAAAGATTTATTTGAAAGACAGAGTGACCAAAAGAAAGGAAAAGACGAGATAGAAAGAGATCTTGTATATGCTGGTTCACTGCCTAAATGGCCACAATGGCCAGGGTTGGGCCACGTGGAATTCAGGAGCCTGGAACTCCATCCTGGTCTCCATATGGGTGGAAGGAGTCCAGGGTTTTCAGCCATCTTCTGTTGCTTTCCAGGTGCATTAGCGGGGAGCCAGATAGGAAGCACAGTACCTGGGACCTGAACCCTCAGGATGCTGACCCTGCAAGTGGTGGCTTAAACTGCTGTGCCACAAAGCCAGCCCCCGGGAAAACCTATTTTGTGTGCATGTCAACAAACAAAACATAACTAATACAACAGGCTTAAACACTAACCCAGGCTCTTGACAACTTGATTTTGTGCTATTAAAAAGCAGGAATTATTGCCGGCGCCGCGGCTCACTAGGCTAATCCTCCGCCTAGCGGCACCGGCACACCAGGTTCTAGTCCCGGTCGGGGTGCCGGATTCTGTCCCGGTTGCCCCTCTTCCAGGCCAGCCCTCTGCTGTGGCCAGGGAGTGCAGTGGAGGATGGCCCAGGTACTTGGGCCCTGCACCCCATGGGAGACCAGGAAAAGCACCTGGCTCCTGGCTCCTGCCATCGGATCAGCGCGGTGCGCCCACCGCAGCGCGTCGACCGCGGCGGCCATTGGAGGGTGAACCATCGGCAAAGGAAGACCTTGCTCTCTGTCTCTCTCTCTCACTGTCCACTCTGCCTGTCAAAAAATAAAAAATTAAAAAAAAAGCAGGAATTATTAATAATGGAAGTATGGGATTGAGGAGGGGGGAGGGTGTCTTCTACATTAAACAAAGGAATCTTTCTCTTTCAGACAACCAGAACTACTTCCTCCTGAGGTGTTTTGAAAACAAGAATTAGGAAGGTGCAACGGGGCAGAAGGAAATGGCAGAACATAAAATGGGGAAGCAGAATTCAAGGATGAAGAACATTATATTCAAACTGACCTGGAGGGATCTAAAAAATAGTTTTAGATTTTTCACATTTTTCTTTTGTCTTAGCCAAATCTTTTAGAGGTCATATCATAATCTAAATGTATTTTGAAAGTTTCTTCTTTGTCTAAAATGTTGACAAGACGTTTGGGATTTTGGCTTCCTTTTGCTTCAAGTTGCCTCCCAAAAGTTCCCCCAAATAAAGTATGTAATTCCAAATAATCTTCATATCATTTAGAAAGTTAGGAAGACACAATCTGATTCCAGTACAAACACAGATAAGACATAGGAAACTAGCCCAAAGAGTTCATAAAGACATCTGAGGCTGGCTGGCAACAGCCAATCAAATCCTGTGCACCTTGGTTCTTGGGGACCTCCATTATCCCACCACTAGAACTACAAATTTATGGACAAAATAACATGGAAGGAGTTCTAAAAATATTTTCATAAATGACCCGAGGTGTTTTCTCAAAAGATACCAGTTTGAAGAGAAATCTCCTGAACACCTAAGCTTCCACTCATTTTCATCCACCTGCACAATAAAGAAATGACAACCAACAGATACATAGTAGGATCAACAGTAATAATGCAGTTTTCTACTCAAATAAACACTTTCAAAATTTGGTCAACTCATCACAGATTTTGTTTTCTTTCTATTACACATATTTAATATATACAACATGATATTTTAATACACATGGTGGAGTGATTATTACAGTCAAGCAAATTAACATATCCATCATATCATATAGCTATATTTCTGTTTTAATGGTCAGAGTACCTAAAATCTACCTTCTTGGCAAATAAACAGTATACAGTTGGTATCATTAACCACAGTTCTCACATTGTTTAGTAGATATCTAAACTTATTCGTCCTATATAATTCAACTTTGTACCCTTTGAATTCTATTTTCCCATCTCCTGCCAATCCCTCCCACAGCTGGCTCTCACGGTTCACTCTCTATTCCTATGTAAGGAAAAGGTTACTTAATCCTTGGTGTCATTTTCAAACTAAACAAATGAAACTTAGTACTTACTTGATTAAAAAAAAAAATCAGAGCTGAAACTCCACATGAACTTACCTCATCACAGTCACTGGACAGACCTGTGAGGGAGGCTCAAAGGCCTCGGAAAAGCACATGGTTTCCAACCTCAAGGTCTTAGGTCTTGATCAGAATCTGATGAGACCTCTAAGATCATCAAACGCTGGCTCCTTTAAAATACCTCCAAAATAACCTGTGGATAAAGTACAACTAAACTTTGCTTACTGCAAAGAGGGAAAATACTATGATGGTTTCAGCTGTGTCTCACAGTTGGATGTCAGAGATGTTAATATTAATCAGGTTTCTGGTGTCTGGTTTAAGTGGGAGATCTGACTGAGATTGGACATAATCTTTTAGGATAGAACACAGGAATATGAAAGACTGGAAGTCTTCCACAGTCTTCTGCCTTCTTAGACAAATCTGCCATTCCTTCCACAACATCCTATGCTGCTAACTTGAACTGTTCACCAGCTTCAAACTTCCTCTTTGACTTACTTTTCCCTTTGTTTGGACTGACAGAATTTATCATATTACAAGTGGATGATTACGTAACTGTCCTTACACTGCGAGTCCCCACAGGGACAGGATTAGATCTTACAGACCTGTCTACAGCCAGCAGATAATAAAATGTCAGGTTCTCATTAAATGCTGTCATGGTTGATCATGACTAGATAAAAAGCATATAACCATTCTAACTAATCTCTTTTTTTTTTTTTGAAGATTTATTTATTTTATTTGAAAGTCAGATTTACAAAAAGAGAGGAGAGCCAGAGGCGGGGATTCTTTCATCTGTTCACTCCCTAGTTGGTCAAAATGGTTGAAACTGCACCGATCTGGCGCCCTCGCCTTCGTCCACCGCTGCCGCCTCCTTCTTCTGCCGCTCCTGGTGCTGCTTGTGTGCGCGTTCGGTGCGGACCTGGTACCTCTTTTGTGAAGCGGCAGCTGAGGAGACCCCGGCGCTCGCCATGGCCGACGAAAAGCCCAAGGAAGGAGTCAAGACTGAGAACAACGATCATATTAATTTGAAGGTGGCGGGGCAGGATGGTTCTGTGGTGCAGTTTAAGATTAAGAGGCATACACCACTTAGTAAACTAATGAAAGCCTATTGTGAACGACAGGGTTTGTCAATGAGGCAGATCAGATTCCGATTTGACGGGCAGCCAATCAATGAATCAGACACACCTGCACAGTTGGAAATGGAGGACGAAGATACGATTGATGTGTTCCAGCAGCAGACGGGCGGTGTCTACTGAAAAGGGAACCCGCTGCTTTACTCCAGAACTCTGTCCTTCAGACCAAGAACACATTCTCAGCCAGAAAACTGCGACTGGGTTCCACCACACCCTGACTACTGCAGCATAGTCTCTATTCTTTCATTTCCCCTCCCCATTCCTTTATTGTACATAAAGTAACTGGTGTACGTGCACAAGCATATTGCATTTTTTCTTTTCTTTCTCTCCTTTTTTTTTTTTTTGTTAAACTAAATGGCCAATGGTATGTTTTGATTGACATCAAATGGAGATGGAATGGGGAAAAATCCTGGTTCTGTGAAAATACCCCCTTTCTCCATGAGTGGCATGCTCATTCAGCTCTTATCTTTATATTCCAGTAAGTTATTTTGCTCTCACTGTTTTAACAAAAAAAACCAACAACATAAAAATCCTTGCATACCTTGTTTGATTGGAGAATTTTAATGTTTTTCATTTATCATTGTAAAACCAAGGACAATTTTATAACTTTTTTGTACGTAGCTGTTACATGTAGGGCAATCTGTCTTTAAGTAGGGGTAAATTACTCTTAAAAAAATGAATCCTAGATAGTTTTCCCTTCAAGTCAAGCGTCTTGTTGTTTAAATAAACTTCTTGTTTAAAAAAAAAAAAAAAAAAGAAACTGCACCGATCTGAAGTCAGGAGCCAGGAATTTCTTCTGAGTCTCCCACGCAGGTGCAGGCGCCCAAGCACTTGGGCCATCTTCTATTACTTTCCCAGGCCATAGCATAGAGCTAGATAGGAAGTGGAGCAGCTGGGAATCGAAGTGGCACCCATATGGGATGCCAGCACTGTAGGTGGTGGCTTTAACTGCTATGCCATAGCATCAGCCCCACTAATCTCTTTTCTAATTTATGAATATGAACTTCAAACAAGCCCTTAATCAAGAAGGCCCGGTTATCTATTCCCTAGCCTATTTGCTCTCCCACTCTCCTACACAACTATCTTCCATTTCTTTTCTCCTCAACTCCTCAGGACCTCTACCCACCACACACCCATCTTCACTCTTAAGGACCTTGCTTCTTACTTATTTCACTGAGAAAACTGAAGCAACCAGAGAGAATTTCCATAAACTCTCACTTGTATCCACTTACTAATCTCTCTACCCAAGTAGACTGCCTCATCACCTACCCATAGATGAAATATTCGTGTTTCCATCTAAGACACCCAACATGGGCACCAGAGCCCATCCCCTTTCTCCTGTTCAAAAATTCAGCAATGTTCACCCTCAACAATTTTTCCATCTCATTTAGGTTGTTCTCCATTTACTTACTATAAGGATAATCTAAAACCTTCAATGTAGATAGTCATTCTCTTGAAAATAATTTCTAAGTATCCACCACTGTGATAAATCAACAAAAGACAAAATTCTCATCCCTTTTAGAGTTTATAATCTAGTAGAAGACATATGGAACTACAAAGTCTTTTTTTCAAGACAATGGTCACAGTGACCTTTTCAAAGGTAAATTATGGAGCTGGTGCTGTGGTGTTGTGGGTAAAGCTATAGCCAGTTTTTGCCAGCATTCCATATGGGTGCCATTCATGTCCTGGATGCCCCATTTCTGATCCAGCCACCTGCTTATAGCTTGGGAAAAGCAGTGGAGAAAGGCCCAGGTGTTTGGGCACCTGCACCCAGGTGGGAGCCCTGGATGAACTTCCTGGATCCTGCCTGCAGCCTGGTCCAGCGCTGGCTCTAACAGCCATTTGGGGAGTACACCAGCAGATGAAAGAGCTCTGTGTCTCTCACCCTCTCTCTTTGAAACTCTTTCAAATAAATAAATCTTAAAAAGAAAAAAGATGTTAAGCAAATACAAAAAAATTAAATTCCAAAAATAAAAACTACAATATCTGTGATGAGAATTAATAATACCAAGTTAATCTGGTATTAACAAGAGATTAGACACTACAGAAATAAAGAATAAATTTTAAGACAGAATAACAAACCATACAAAATGAACAGATTATTCAAAAAAGATGGAAAAATGAACAGAACATCAATGACTTCAAGCAACCTAATATACATGTCATTAAAATCCTCAATGAGTAACAGGGAGGAAAAGATAAAAAACATTATAGAGGGAAAAAAATGGCTGAAAGTTTCCCGAAATTTGATAACTCTAAATCTACAGTTCTAAGAAACTCAACAATCTCCAAACATAAGAAACATGAAGAAAATCAAACCACTGTATATCACAATCAAGTTACAGAAAACCAGTGATTAAAAAATAATAAAATGCAGTGAGAGGAAGAAAGATACATATGCTAAGGAAAGAGGATAAGAATGATAGCAGATTGCTCATTGGAAATCATTCAAGATAGAACACAGTAGAGCAACATTTTTAAAGTACTAAAAGAAACAATCTGTCAACTTGAAATTCTTTATCTAGGATATCATTCAGAAAGGCAGGCAAAATAAAAGCTTTCACAAATATGATAAACCTGAAAGAACTTATAAGCAACAGAAGTATACCACAAAAATGTTAAAGGCTGAGGTGGGCATTGTGGCACAATGGGTTAATGAATATATCACATATTAATGTTGGCTCAAGTTCCTGGTTCAAGTTCTTGCTATTCTTCTTCTTATCCAGTTTCCTGCTAATGCACCTGGTAAGGCAGCAGATGGTCTAAATACCTGGGCCCCTGCCACCCTTGTGGGAGACCAGATGATGTTCCTGGCTCCTGGGTTCAGCCATTTGGAGACTGAACCAACTGACAGAAGACTTAAAGTCACTCTGCCTTTCAAATGAATAAATAAATATTAAAAAAATTAAATATATACCTGCCATGTGACCCAGTCATTCCACTACAAGATATTTACCCAAGAGAAATGAAAAGCATGGGTCCATTCAAAGACACTGTATACACGTGTTTCCAGCAGCTTTATTTGAAGGAGCCTGGCACTATTAACAACTCAAATGCCCAACATAACATGAATGAATGCACAAATTATAGTATATTTATACAATGCAATACTGCTCAGCAGTGACATGAGCTATTCATTCATAAATGCTCTGACATACATGAATCACAAAATAACTATGCTGAGCCACAAAAGCCAGACCAAAGCATTTTCTTACTATATGATTTTCTTTATAGTAAACTGATACCAAGTGTCTGAGGATGGTGGGGTACGAGGACAGAGAAAAGTGAGGATGGATTACTAAAGGGTACTAGTTGGGCCTGCATGTGGCTCAGAGGGTTAAGCTACAGCTTGCAGTGCTGGTATCTCATAAGGGCATTGGTTCAAGGCCTAGCTGCTCAACTTCTGATCCAGTTCCCTGCTAATGTGCCAGGGATGGCAGCAGAGAATGGCCCAAGTGCTTGGACCACTGCACCCACGTGGGTGACCTGGAGCAAGCTGGCTGTTGTAGCCATTTAGGAAGTGAACCAGCAGATAGATGATTTCTCTCTCTCTCTTTCTGCCACATCCTCTCTTTCTGTAACACTTTCAAATAAATAAATAAGTCTTTAAAGAAGAAGATTTGAAATAAAATAGGAGGTACTAGGGAACTTTCGGGGGGTTACTGATATATTCATTGTCTTAATTATAGTGATGGTACATAGCTGTACAAATGTGTCAAATCTTACCAAATTGTGTACTTCAAACATGTGTAGTATATTGTATGTCATACTTACTATACTTCAATTAAGACATTTAAAAAATAAAAACCCTCCTTGTATGTGATGCCTACCTTTTCCTCTGCTTTAAGTATTCTTACAACCATATTATATTCTCAAAAGTTTTCCACATTAACAATTTACTTTTCTCAGGAATCACTTTAGCATCCATTAATAAGGGAGTTTTTTGTTAAATTCTGATTCTATTACTAAAGTTTTAAGAATCCAGTCAGCAATGAATATGCTTTTTATTTAATGATGGAATTCATAGCTAACATGTATATGTGAAAAGTATACTACAGCTTTGTCCTTATGACTAAGTTAAACTTTTTTTTAAAATTTATTTATTTATTTATTTATTTGACAGGCAGAGTGGACAGTGAGAGAGAGAGACAGAGAGAAAGGTCTTCCTTTTGCCGTTGGTTCACCCTCCAATGGCAGCTGCGGCCAGCGCATTGCACTGATCCGAAGGCAGGAGCCAGGTGCTTCTCCTGGTCTCCCATGGGGTGCAGGGCCCAAGTACTTGGGCCATCCTCCACTGCACTCCTGGGCCATAGCAGAGAGCTGGCCTGGAAGAGGGGCAACCGGGACAGAATCCGGCGCCCTGACCGGGACTAGAACCTGTGTGCCGGTGCCGCTAGGCGGAGGATTAGCCTGTTGAGCCATGGCGTCGGCCCTATGACTAAGTTAATAAAGTAGAGTGACAGACATTAGATAGCAAAGAAGTACACTATTTAAGTTGTCTAAAGACTAAGTCAGCTGATATGAAAAAGCCAATGCAGTCCTCCTTCTAGAGATAGATTAGGATTCTCCTATGGTCCAGAAAAAAATCACAGGGGAGAATAAAGCAAAAAGAGCAAAGAGGGGAAAACAATTAATGATGACCTCTTTTAATCACACATCTGTCATCATTTTAAAATATAAAGCTGCTCTGCTATGGCCTGGGAAAGCAGTAGAGGAGGGCCCAAGGACTTGGGCCCCTGCACCCACGTAGGAGACCTGAAAGAAGCTCCTGGCTCCTGGCTTCAGATCAGCTCAGCTCTGGCCGTTGCAGCCATCTGGGGAGTGAATCAGTAATGTAAGACCTCTCTCTCTCTGCCTCTCCTTCTCTCTCTGTGTAACTCTGACTTTCAAATAAATAAGTAAATAAATAAATCTTAACATATATATATATGTTTTATATATATATATATATATATATATATATATAAAAAGCTGGACTCAAAGATACCCTGTTGCCAAAACATGGGAAAAACAATTATTTATACCTTATTAAACACATTGTTCTAAAATATTGATGCTTAGGGTGGGCTTTTGGTCTACTGGTTAAGACACCCTCCCATGTCCCATGTCAGAGTGCCTGCGTTCAAACTGGGTTCTGCTCTTGACTCCGGCTTCCTGCTAATGCAAATCCTGGGAGGCAGCAATGGTGGCTCAGATGATCGGGTTCCTGATATCTATATGGAAAACCTTGACTGAGTTCCTGGCTCTAGGCTTTCTAGGCACTTGGGGAATGAACCAGCATTTGCGAGCTCTCACGCTCCCTGTGTATCTGTTTTTTTTTTTTTTCCCCCTTCTCTGTCCCTCTACCTTTCAAATAAGAAACCCCCCCCCAAAAAAAAACACCCAAAAAACAATATTGTTACTAGGCTGAAGTGCAGAGTACTAAATGCATCCTGTCTCCAAACGTGATGCCTAACATAATGCCAACATGAGTTACTGGCAGTTATGCTTAAAAACTTACAGGGTTCTGGGGCTGGTGCTCTGGTACAGAGGCTTAAGCCTCCGCCTGCTGTGCCAGCATCCAATATAGGTGCTGGTTCATGTCCCAGCTGCCCCTCTTCATATCTAGCTCTCTGCTATGGCCTGGGAAAGCAGTAGAAAATGGCCCAAGTGCTTGGGCCCCTGCACTGGTGTCGGACAAATGGAAGAAGCTCCTGGGTCCTGGCTCTGAATCGGCTGAGCTCTGGCTGTTGTAGCCATTTGGGGAGTGAACCACAGGATGGAAGACCTTTCTCTCTCTTCATCTCTCTGTCTGTAACTCTGCCTCTCAAATAAATAAATAAAAACTTTCAGGGTTCAAACTGAACATAAATCTCTACACCAAATTCTTAAGTATTGAAGTGTTTATTCACCATCTTCAAGATGAAGAAAATTGCCAGTATCTCCAGGAAAAGTGTGTGTTTGTATGTGTGTATATGTATAGTTCTTTAAAAAAACTAACAAGCATAAGAAAAAAACCACAAGTTTTTTAATGAAAATTACATTATAACAAGGACACTGTACATTAACTTACAATATATACACACATACTTTGTTTTTTTACCTGTTTTTAAACTTGGTACCAATTAACATATTTCTTATTACCCACATGATTTAGAGTATATATTTAAACAGGGTATAAAGAAGATGAAACACAGGCTGGTGGCCTCAAAATTAGAAACTCTAACACAGGACCCTATCCCCAAACCCATGTTTTCTATCACTTTTGTGACTTTTAGGAAACATTTACCTTGCATAAAATATAAAACCTTTTTTTCTTTTAAGTATAGTGACTGTTCACATAGAATACTGCTACTGAGAGAAAGGTCCATTATGGCTGCATTTATCTATAATTATAAGTCACTGTAGGATATATAAAGCTCACTAGCAAATTTGGAACAGGAAAACTATAATAATGAAATAAGCAAGCTGTAATTATGAATTTGCAAGTACTTATTTTAAATATACAACTCTTTACTACAGATATTACATCTTGTAATACATAGTAAAAAAGAACAAATGTCAAATTTTGCTGTAGAGCTGTTAGGAGAATGCCAAACACAGGAAGTGAAAATTGTATGCACTTGTATTTAACAGCCTGTGCATTTAAAAAATAAACACTTAAAATATGTAAACAAAGTTTTCAAAAAGTGATGCCAAGCACCTTTAAACACAATACTTACATGTTGTGACTAAACATGCATTTAGAGGAAAAATTAATTTTTAAAAAATCATTTAAAAACCATTTTGAAAGAGCTATTCATTTAAATACTTACATGAAATACTGATAGTTCCAGTTTCTACCTAAAAACCAAAAGAGTATATAATTAGGGATTTATATCTTCCTTCATGCTCTTGGTTTTTGTATTTTTTCTTTCTTTTTTTTTTTTTTTTTGCAGGAAAGATGTGCTTTAACTTTCTGTCCTCATGATTAAAAATCAGTATCAGAAGAGACATTCACAAATAATTGAGAAAAATATTTTCTGAATATGTTTTGATCAAGTACTAGAGTCTGAATCCTCTGACAGCTCTCATTCTCATAGGTAACTTACTAAAATTCATTTAGTAAGCATTTCTCCTTAGCAACTCAACATCAAAAAATAAATAAATAAAAGGAATGTCTCCAAAAGAACATAGTTAAATTGGTGAAATATATAATAATAAACCATTACCAATATTGAAAAGTAAAGATCTATTATTTAAACTTTTGAAAAAGTTTCCATTAAAAGCAGAAATAAGAGAAGAATATTATCTATATTGCAGCACTAAACTATAAATTAAGTTGGACTTGTTTTGAGAACATACAAACTGAGTAAAATCTGGGTTTGAGGTAACTAAGTGTTGTGTTGAACTCAGCATAACACAATCAAATTCAGCAGCTTGTCCCTATAAATGCACTTACATCAAGTATTTTTACTTAGGAAAAATAAAAGCAATTCTTAATAAAAATAACATAACTATTAACTTTGCATTAAATAGGATATAAATAATTAAATTTATATTAAATAGGATACAAATCTAAAGAGCAGGGTATAAATCCACTTATTTCTAATATAACAGTGCCTTACATTTACATACACATTTTATACCTAAAACAATTAAAGTAAATAAGGAGTGGGATATTGGACTTCTTTAGAAAGGACAAGAGTGACTCATATTCATATAAAGCACTAAGGTGACATTTCACATTGTATTACATATGCTTTGAATATTAAACATTAACTGCTATTTGAAATCTTTTTTTTAATAAAATTTAAAACATACCCACATATGGTCTCTGGAAAAACAAAAGCCTTTAGGTTGATTTCTTGATAGTTATACTTCATATTTCTTGTTTACTAATCTTCCAGAAAACAGAAGCTTATAATGAATATGCTTAATTGTATTTGAATATACAATTATTTCACAAGCAAACATATCAGATTAGATCTCATAAAATTTTAAATAAGAACTAAATTTTAAACTATAAATACTTACCTTGAAATACTATAAATCCTAATATTATCAATTCAGTAAGAACTCTGGTATAGAAAAATGTAAATATAACTCAAATTCTTTTCTAATTGGAGATGAATCTTCAATACAAAAAAGGGAAACAAATCCTCTGCTGTCATCAAAAAGTTGCCCAAATTATCTGTAAACATCAGGGAATTCTGTTATTATTTCCAAATTCTTTCAATTTCTACATCTTTCTATGCAAAAAGCGTTTTACCTCCAATACAGTATAAATTCATGCTACATACTGATTTCTGTTGCTCATCTGAGTAATTCATATTAAAATTTTTCAGCACTTACCAATACATTTTAAACTTCTATTAGATGACCTTTAGTATGTCACTGAAATCAGAAGGGAAGAGGCCAAAATGCAACTGCATGGTTCCCACAGACGTGATTGGGGGCTTTATGTTGTGATATAAAACCTATTGCTTTATCTTTCTAAATGAGGCAGACTACAAATATTCTCTCACTTGTCTGCCAATTAGAATTTTCTTCACAACCTTAAGGAGATAAGAAATTTTTCCAGGACTTCACACACACACACACTCACACACAGTTTTGTTGTTCTTTGTCTTCTAAGTTCCAGGGATGAGTTAGATTAACTATCTGAGTTCAGACTGTATCATTAAGCATAAACTCATATGATCTTTTGAACTAACAACCTTTTTAAATAATCAAAAAACATTAGAATTATACAAAATAAGAAGAGTTAAATATCTTGTAAAGAAGGTAAAAATATGGAATTGGCAACAAATACTCAGTTTTTAATCAAAGCTGATCATCAAACCAGTCTTCAGTCCAGTTAACACAACGCTGAGCTTTGACAATATTCACCTTCTTTGCTAGGACATCAGAAGTCACCAGAGTTGTAAATCCTGAAAAACTTCAATAATTTATATGGTAGATAATATCTTACAGTCCAATTTCTTTTTTGCTTCCACGGACAATGTTGGTTCTTTGGGTTCTTGCTTTACTTGGCTCACAGAAACAGTACCTTCAGTATTTTCTTCAACTTTAAAATAAAAGAAAAATCCTAAAGGTTAGCATACTGTATGATACTGGGATCTTTATTAATCATATTAATTTAGAAGCAAATCAAAAAACATAATTTAGAAAAACTAAGCTTTACTTGAGAAAAGCAATTGGTGTATTTGAAAATTCAGTGTTTCTGACAGCTTAACAGTCATTACTAAATTTCTTTGGTTTTCTTTTAGTAATGAAAACAAGAAAATTATAAATTTATTTTCTATAGACAGTCTTAGAAAAAAGCAGGCTATAATTTGACAAAATTATGAGAACACATCACATTCAAATTTAATCATTTTCAAAATGTGTTAATAAAAGTCACAAAGTTTCCTATTATTTGAAAATAGTTTGTTTTACAAATAGCAGACACATGTATTACACATTCAGACTTATGTTATTCCCATATGGTTTCCATATGTGGTCCTGTATTAAGAAACATGTTCCCTCTCTTAAGTACCTTTACCACATTAGAAAACAACATGGCACATTTTATTTTTTAATTTTTTTATGTTCAAAATAAATAGGCAGATGTCCCCTTTAACATTTTCATGTAAAAATTTCACATTGCAAGAAAGTGATCACTTTTAAGTATGAAGACATCAAAAGCCAGCCAGTACTTAAGTATAGCACAGTATATTTTTTCTATCACTTCCTTCAAAATGTTGGCACATTACCTGCTTGGGTTTCAAAAATTAGTCAGTATCTACTTCCTGTCCTTTAAAACACTTTAAATCCACACTGCATCATATTAATCCTGGTGCTCCAAACAGCTAAGAAACTCAAAAACCTCTCAGGAAGCTCAGGTGGCCTGATACCAACTGGTAAAAGGTAAACCAAAATACTTTGCATGTAATTTTCTGTCCGTTACCACAATAACAAAGTATAAAGCTGTTAAACAAAAAAAAGCTAAAGGAAAATAATTTCAGTTTTCCTTTGCAAACATCATGTCTTAGCTCTTAGGAGAAGAAAAACTTTCCTGGAAGGGGAACTATTTTATAAGTAAAAATATCAGGTGTAAGTTAGTCATTACAAATGTCTCATTTAGGAAAGAAAGTAAACATTCTGATTCAAAGGATTCTAAAATTTTCATCATTACAAGCTTAATTTAAAGCTAAAAACTGTAACACGTCAAACTAATATAAAAATATAAATCAGTAAATTCTATTGTTTTTCAAAGAATCCATAATTGAGGAACAGTAATTTATGTAGGATACCTGTTTCCAACATTTGGTCAGAATAAGAAGCCCTAGGCAAAGGATACTCCTGAGTTTCCAGGTCCTCATTTCTTCAGTGAGGGTAGCAGACTGAGTGCCCTTTAACAGCCCTTCCAACCTACAGTTTTATATAGAATTGTTAACCTGTGCGATCAAGAATAAGGTGTTGCAACTCAATGTTATTTTCCAGATAAATACAGTTCTCCCATTTAAGTGGCAAAACTGTTCTTTAAATGTTTAGCTGTTTACTTTAAAATTTATTTTCAATGTATCTGTGATCTTAAAAGAAAATAAGGTATGACTAACAACACAGTCTCCTACTTTTGGCTCTCGCTCTAATCCTGGGCAACTTTGGGCCAGGCTCTGTGTGAAAATGAGGGTGGTGCACCTGCTAGCTGCCTTGAAGACCAACAGAGTGACCATAATATATCAAAGTATTTGTAAACTACAAATTACCACATGAATGCAAAGGATTGTCATCATAAATCTAGGTTGTCTTTTCCCTGATTAAAGAAAAAAAAATCTGGATTTTAGAAAATAGGCATTCTTTGCCAATACTTAATGCAGTTATGATTCTGACTCTGGTTACCTGTCTCTTCTCCTGTAGTCACTCTATTCTGTCTAATCACGCTTCTATTCATATCAGGCCTAGACTCAGTTTCTCTCCCCTGGAGTCCAGAAATCGGACCTTGAAATAGGCGGAAAGCACCTTAAAGATTGCTCTGTAACTTTAGCAATACGCTGTCATCACTGTGCACTCTACAGAAGGAGTATCATAACTAGACTAGCAGCAGACTCACCTAGGAAGTGTTTTAAAGACTCAGCTCTCTGGGCTCCTGCCCACAAGATTCTGATCCAGCATGTCTGCAGCAGGACCTGGAAAAACTTCTTAAAAGCTCCCCAGGCAACCACCAACAATCAAAGGATTAGGTCAATTTCAGGAATTCACTGCTCTGTCTTCAATTTCTTCTCTATAATTTTAGCAGCTGCCAGTTCATGTTTAATATAAAGTTTTCCCCTTGTATTGGTCACCAGCACATTGAAAAAGATTGACCATGATCTTGGCTTAGTTCCAACTAGTCATCACAATCTTTTACAATAAAAATTTAAGATTACAAATTAACTTCAGAGCTAAGACAATCCATGTAAGCAGTGAAAGGTAGCTGGTCCTAGGTTTACATGGTATATGTGTTCTGCTTTATTTGTAGTTGGTCACCACCTTATTTTAGTTGTCATTCCTCAATAAAAGATAGCAGGAATGCCTCCAAATCACAGAAAGATGGTTAACCAACTACAATCAGTATTTATAAAATGCTTCTAGTCGACATAAATTAAAAGTATTTTTTAAAAAAACACAGCTTCCTATAGAAAACCAAAGACATGCACACTTCTGAAGTCAACAGAAAGAAAAAATTGACCAAAACTACAGTTGTTTAAAATTATGTCCCAATGACTGTGAAAGTGTAAGTACAAAGCAGGTATAGTTTCATCCTTTAGGAGGTTCACCAGGCACAAAAGGGACTCAGCTTCCATTTGTCCTACCCAAAGAGTTCGTCCCCAGCGCATCTGGGCACTGCGCAATGTTGTCATGTCCTTTGGCTCTCAGCTGGGGACACAGCAGTCTTTGGCCTCGTGGTTGGTGCTGTAACACTTCCAGGCAGCCTTGTCATACACTGGCAGTCTTGCTGAGGATTCTGTGGACAGAGCCTTAATGTAAATCACTGCATCAGTCCCATAACCCTCCAAGGAATATGGCTTAGGTCTCCCTGGAAGTACCTGGCATAAAGATGGGACATTAACAATCTGTAACCAAAACCAGCCAGGGGCACTACGTGGGAAGTCTCTACACAAGACCGGGGTGCAGTTGAATACATGTAGTAGATAGAAGAGTCTGTCCATTTTCCTCAAAGGAACGCCACCTCCTGGGTCACTCATCTTGACAGTCAAATCCCCATTACCCTGTGTGACATGAACTTGAATAGGGGTTGGGGGGTAAACACCTTTGTCGGCATGGCGTTCCATGGTCGCTCTCACTGCATTCTTGAAAAGTTCAAACACCATGTGATGGGGCAGTATATAAATACTTGTATTGACTGTCCTGGTGATTTTGCATTCAATTCTTCAAGTTCTAGTTCAGGAGAGTTAATACACTACAAATCACACAGTGGCCTAGCATTTTCATAGCCATCTTTAATAACTTCAACTACACTGCAGTTTGGATTTATGCTTCCAATGTGTTTTCAATGAGACAGCCTTCCTTTCCCGCCAAACAACAGAGTGCTGATTGAGCAACATTCTAATTGAAATGCGACGCATGCAGAATCGATCCACAAAGTACTGAACGTGCGGGCCAGTGACAGGATCCACCCTGAAACTCTCCTGTCTTCAATCACTCCCTGAGCCATTGTGGGAGTGACGTCATTGTGGCGGCTCCTGATCCGGATCACGGTATCTGTAAAGTCATAAACAGCTTTTGCATCTTCAATGCTTTTGTCCTTAAAATCAGGACGCTCCTGAAGGCTCTGGATAGACCCGCTTTGCACCAACTGAACAGACGGCGTCCTGAGAAGATTATCTGGAAGGAGGCTTATTTTTTCCATTATAGCCGCCAATCTAACAGGCAGCTCCTCCGGCAGAAACAGAAACGAGGTCTTTTCGCAAGCATTCACCGATTCGAGGTCCAGGAACTGCTTCATGGAGAGCCGGGACGGCGAGAGGCACGTGTAGAAGTCCACTTGGCTCTGTATGATGTGCTCGACACCGGGCCGGAGCGGAGGCCGAGGCGAGGCTGTGGCGGTCACAGGGGCCGACAGTGCGCGGCCGCGAGCCCGAGCCGGAGCTGGCCACAGCAACTCCACGCAGCAGCCGCGCCGGCCTCGTGCCGAGCCCTGCCAGAGGAGCCGGAGCTCCGGCGCCAGGTCGCCGCTCCAAGCCTCGGCCGGCCGGTACGGTTTAAATGACATTTTAGATGATAGCTCTGACTTAGCAATGTGAGCCATGTGTTTACATGCTTGAAATATTTCAGAATGCATTTACCATTCTGACTTCAGAATACTTATGATCAAATGAATCTACATGTGGCATAGCAGAAGCACTATGTGAACCGGCAAATGAGATGTGTAAAACCAAATCTTCATTTCTCTTTTTCAAGAATATCAGTTTTAAGGTTGCTATGAGAAATAAAAGTTAAGGGAACTGTTATTCGCTCAGAGAAGTTGCTGAACTTGCCTAATGCTTGTCACATACAAGTCCCTCGGGGCTTAGCCTGAGCCACAGAAAAGCAGAGGACTGATCTGAGTGACTGGAAACCCACCCAAGTGAAGCAATCCCTCAGATTATGGACTAACCTGATAAACTATGCAAACCTGGATCCACAGAGGTCTTCTTTAAGGCAATCTGGATTAGAATTCCCAGAAATACCACGGTATAACACCAAGGGAGGAAGGATGTTAGAACGGAAACAAGCTTTGGAAGCCAGAGATGAGGCTCTGTCACTCACCCAATGTGAATTTCAGGCGACTACCTAACCTCCCTGAGCCTTAGTTTCCCCAGCTATAGAATAGGAACACCACTGTCTAGTTCATGGAGTTGTAAGAATTCACGAACAATTATTCCTCTTTCCTTCTTGTCTACTAAAGTTTGGCATAGTTACAGCTGTCACAGCACTCTGGACATATTTTCTTAAAAGCAATTTTTCCAAATTTAAAAGACAATGCTCTTTCTGGCAGGAGTTAAGTCACACTTTTCATTACCCAAAAGAATGATGATGAAGATAGAGTGAACAGGGTCCAGTGCTGTGGCGCAGTGGGTTAAGGCCCTGGTCTGCAGTGCTGGCATCCCATATGGGTGCCAATTCAAGTCCTAGCTGTTCTACTTCCAATCCAGCTCTCTGCTACCGACTGGGAAGGCAGTGGAAGATGGCCCAAGTCCTTGGGCCCCTGCACCCACATGGGAGACCCGAAAAAAGCTCCTGGCTCCTGGCTTTGGATCACCGCAGTTCTGGCTGTTGTGGCCATTTGGAGAGTGAACCAGCGGATGGAAGACCTCTCTGTCTCTACCTTTCTCTGTAACTCTTTCAAATAAATAAAATAAATCTTAAAAAAAAAAATAGAGTGGACAACACATGTTCTAATTTCTGTAAAGAGTTTTGATCTTCAAAGAAAGCTAAATTTTTCCTACAAAAGTGCCCAATCCATAAAAATTTGTGTTAAGTAATAAAATTAGATCAAGTAGGATTTAACAGAGTTTACTACTATATTGACTGGGATAGTAATAAAGTGAAGAAAATAAGATCTTGAATGAAAACCAAGTGCACAAGTCTTACTAGTTCCCCTCCAACTTCCAGAGAACTCAACAATTAAGTTTATAACTCAAAATCTTCCTTTAATCCTTTATATTTTGCCCACTTTACTTTGGATATGTGCATATATCATTTTTCCACTATAAACTGGACACTGAAAGTTTTCCTTGTTTTATTTACTTCTTTTTTTTTTTTTTTTTTTTTGACAGGCAGAGTGGACAGTGAGAGAGAGAGACAGAGAGAGAAAGGTCTTCCTTTTGCCACTGGTTCACCCTTCAATGGCCACTGCGGCTGGCGCACTGCGGCCAACGCACCGCGCTGATCCGAAGCCAGGAGCCAGATGCTTCTCCTGGTCTCCCATGGGGGTACAGGGCCAAAAGACTTGGGCCATCCTCCACTGCACTCCCGGGCCACAGCAGAGAGCTGGACTGGAAAAGGAGCAACAGGGAGAGAATCTGGTGCCCCAACCAGGACTAGAACCCAGGGTGCCAGCGCCGCAGGAGGAGGATCAGCCTATTGAGCTGTGGCGCTGGTCATGTTTTATTTACTTCTATCATTTTTTCCCCATACATTCTAAAATGACCTTCTTGGTTTCAGAGATTTTCCATGGAAAATTATGTAATCAGGGAATGAGTAATTTTAAGAGGACTAAATAATCTGAAATAAGAAGATGAAAAAAATTAGAAGTTCTTGAACTCAAGCTAGCAAAATTTCCCCTTCCCTCTAATCATGCTTGATTTATATATTATTGCTAAATGACAGGGTAGATGTGATAGTTTTTTTTTTTCAATAATGTAGTATAATAGATAGCGATGGTAGCCCATATAGGTAAAAAATGACACCACAAGTTGGTCTGAACTTACTAAGAGCTGGGTGGTTGTCCATAATCCGTATTGGGAGGGTCTGCACATCTTCCAAGAGAATCTGATGAACACTTTCTTCCAGATTTCCTGTACCTTCAGCATCTTCAACTTCAGCTAGTTGATCGACTTCAACTAGATTTTGATTGGGTTCTGGGAGGTTAGCAATGGTAGAGGCAGTACTATTGTCTGGGGTTAGGCATGTATCTGTTTGAAGGCTGTGACTTTGACCAAGCAGGAGAGAATTATTATTCATTACAGCACTTCCTATTGAATCCAGGAGTCTTGACGGACTGGAGGATGGATGATTATCTACTGGTAGCAGAGCTGGTGATGTGTCAGGAGAGGCGAATCTTGGCTGTAACTGCAAACCATTTAGATCAAAAAGAGTTACATTAAAATGTGTGAATTCACTATGTATATTTTCATGGGATATGTTTTTCTTTTAACAAAAAATGAAACAAATAAAATATTACGAGTATAGCTATTAAAAATACTAACATAACAGAAACAAAAACCAAGAGAAAAGTACTACTACTAAATTTTTCTGCAATCATCAAAATATAGTTTGAATTACCTTAAATCAAGACACAAAGGGGTCAGGAAATTAACAATTACAACATATTTTATCATTATTGAAGTTCTATAATAATTCCCTAAAGTCCCTAGGAGAAGAAGAGGAGAGATTAAGGAAGAAGTTCCTCAAATTTGGCTGTTCTACTATATACTTACCTGTAGTTGTGTAAATAATTTGGGCTGAAATGAGGAAAGTGAGGAAAGCAACTGGGTTGGATCTGGAGACAAAGAACCCCCTGTCTGATTTGTTTCCACTTTGGTGGTAATTGATTCTCCTGATGAATTTCCTAAATCATATAAAATATAAACTAATTAAATCAAAATAATTTTTATAGCTCCTTGGATACTATATGTAATTACAACTCTATATATTAAAAGTGGAAGAGAAAATATTGTCAAAGGTATGCAAAGGATCAAAAAGTCATTTAAAAAAAGCCACTAAGCCCCTTATTTCCAAAACCTACAGATTATCAGAACCTCTAAGGGAGCTTTAAACATATAAATTCAGGGGACAGTGCTGTGGCAAAATAGGTAATGTGATGCTGGCATCTCTTATGGGCACTGGTTCATGTCCTGGCTGCTCCGCTTCAATCCAGCTCCCTGCTTATGTTCTGGGAAGGCAGTGAAAGATGGTCCAAGTGTTTGGGCCACTGCCATCCATAGAGGAGACCTGGATGAAGCTCCTCGCTCCTGGCTTCAGCCTGACTCACCACTGGCTGCTGCGGCCACTTTGGGAGTGAACCAGTGGATGGAAAACATCTCTGTCTCTTCCTCTCTCTAACTCTGACTTTCAAACAAATAAATAAATAAATCTTTAAAGTAAAATAAAAATATGTACATTCTTAGGTTCAATCTCCACTAATGTGAATTCATTAAATCTAAGATAGGATCTAGGAATTTTTTATTCTTTGAAAGACTATCTGTAATTTTAATCTTGTCCATTCTCCATGTTATAATGTTTGACCATACCTAAACATCTCTAGCTATACAAAACCTAGTGAGTTTCTCAATTACAGAGAACAAACTTAATTCATCTTGTGTAGACCTAGTGCCTAGGACAATGCCTGGCAAAAGTAGGCCCTCAATAATAACAGTATTAAATTTCTTTGGGGCAGGTATTTGGCATAGTGGCTAAGACATCACCTGGGATACCTATACCCCAAATTCGAGTGCCTGACTTCTAGTCCTAACTCCACATGCAATTCTAATTTCCTGCTAAGTTCTACCCTAGGAGGCAGCAGTTGGTAGTTCAAGTAATTGGGTCCCTGCAAACCCATGTGGGAGAACTGGATTGAGATCAGGGCTCTTGGCCTTGGCTTGGCCCATCCTAGGCTATTGTAGGCATTTGGGAAGTAAACCATTAGTGTATGGAGGTTTTAAAAACAAAGACAAAAAACAAACAAACAAAACAAAACAAAACAAAAAACAAGGTCACTGAATTCTACTTTTAAAATAACTCCTTAATCTGTCTACTTTTAATATATATGGCGCCAACTGTGGTTTAAACTACTATCAACTTTCATCTGTACTGGCAAAATGGCCTTTTAAACTTGTTGATTACCCAGCTTTAACTCCAAGTACTATCTTCACTAAACCAACATGAGCCTTCTTAAGCGCCTTAAACATGACAAGTTCTTTCCTACTTGGCCTTTGCACATGCTATTCCTTTTTTTCATATATATATATATATATATATATATATTTATTTATTTATTTATTTTGAAAGGCAGAGTTAGAGAGGGGGGAGGGACAGGGACAAACAGATCCTCCATCTGCTGGTTCACTCCCCAAAAGGCTACAACAGCTGGGGTTAGGTCGGGCCAAAGCCAGGAGCTTCATTTGGGTCTATTACATGGATGGAAGAGGTCCAAGAGCTTGGGCCATGCTCCACTGCTTTCCCAAGTACATGCAAAGCCAGTGTTGCAGGCAGAGGCTTAACCCGCTATGCCACAATGCTGGTCCCAACATGTTATTCCTTTTATTGACAGATTTCTATTCATTGTTCATTTATTTGATCAAAAATCACATTTTTAAGTATCATTTCCTTATTCCTGGCCTAAATTACACATCTCTACCACTATCTTGATATAATGTTGTCTAATTCTTTCATAGTAATAGTTTTTATAATAGCAATTAATTAGAATATATTTGTTTAGTATCCTTTTTCTCTTGCTAAACATTTTTTAAAAGATTAATTTATTTATTTGAAAGGCAGAGTTATAGAGAAAGAGGGAGAGAGAAAGAGAGTGATCCACTGGTTCACTTCCCAAATTGCCACAAAGGCCAGAGCTGGGCCGATCTAATGCCAGGAGCCAGGAGCTTCTTGTGGGTCTCCCATGTGGGTGCAGGGGCCCAAGGACTTGGGCCATCTTCTACTGCTTTCCCAGGCACATTGGCAGGGAGCTGGGTCAGAAGAAGAACAGCTAGGACTTGAATTGGCACCCATATGGGATGCTGGCACTGCAGTGAAGGCACAGCATTGGCACCCTCCTGCTAAACTTTTGAGAAAAATTGAGCAGGAACTACCTGTTTATTCTACTTGCCTGTTTTTTCTATGTATTTAGCACATTCTGAAATATGTGCAGAAGAAATGAATAATGAAAAAGAATTTGAAAGTGAACTGAAAGCAAAGTGACTCTTACTGATAAGTTAAAATTTGAAAAATAACATTTACAGTTATTAGTTATTCATCAATGGATTCTAAAGCATTTATTTAGGCATTAATCTTAGCAGGCATTGTGTACTAGATTCACTATTTTAAATAAAACATATCTGCCCATGAAGAACTTAAATAATAATGAAAGATATAGAATCATTAAAAATAAAGACAAGGTTAGCATGTTAAATGCAGAGATAAAAACGAAAGAATGAATAGTTAACTATATTTAAAGAATAAAGTTAAAAGAGCCACTTACAACCACAGACTGCTGTGTGAGGAATAAGAGGAATTTGTGATGAAGAAGAGAAAGAAAAACGTTTCCAGGAGAGAGAACACATGTTGAAGGATGGAAACAAACTTGGCATACTGAGAGAACATGGAAGTAGAACATGAGAGAAAGCAAACCAAACGACAGTCAATAGTCTCCAGTTCAAGGTATCTTAGGGTGATTTCTTCTGGAATTAGACAGCCTTCTAGTTTACTGTGCTAGGAATCAGATTCAAAACATCAGTCAGAAACAAAGAAACACAAAGTCCGATTCAGGAGGAAATTTAAATATCTAGAAACACTTTGATGAACATGGCTGCTCTTAGCTTCTATATATATATTTATCTATAAAGTGTGGCTAGATGAGATAATATCTTAAGTTCTTTCGAGTTTTAACACTGTATGATTTTATATTTTAAGGTATTCAAGATAACCTACCTTCTGCAAATGTAACTGTCACAGTCTCTCGGAGAATATTCCCACTATCAGTAGTCCACTGAAGCTGAAATGAAAACATTTACTTCAATAAAAATAAAGCGGCTATACTGAAAAAAAATCTTAAAGTGTCAATACAACTGTCAAATTTTATTCAGTAATAGTACAATTGCATTTTATTCTGTAACTACTCTTTACTTGCTTTTTTTAAAAATTTTTTAAAATTTATTTGAAAGGTAAAATTACAGAGAGAAGAGACACAGAGAGGGATCTTTCATCTGCTGGTTCACTCCCTAAAAGGCCACAATGGCCAGGGGTAGGCCAGGCTGAAGCCAGTAGCTGGGAGCTTTTTGTATGTCTCCCATGTGGGTATAGGGGCCTAGGGACTTGGGCCATCTTCCCCTGCTTTCCCAGGCACATTAACAGAGAGCTACATCAGAAGTAGAGCAGCTGGGGCTTGAACCAGCAGCCGTATGAGATGCTGGCGCTGCAGGCCAAAGCTTAACCTGTTATGCCACAGCGCTGGCACCCTTGTTGATATTCTGAAAGCACAACTATTTAAATACATTAGGTTCCCAAGTTCAGAGAGAAAGAACTGGGATAACAAGTATAGATGGCAAGGACAGGGGTTGGCACTGTAGCATAGCGGGTAAAGCCACCGCCTGCAGTGCGGGCCTCCCATATGGACACTGATTCAAGTCCTGGCTGCTCCACTTCCGATCCAGCTCTCTGCTGTGGCCTGGGATAGCAGTAGAAGATGGCCCCCTGCACCCACGTGGGAGACCTGGAGGAGGCTCCTGGCTCCTGGCTTTGGATCAGCTCAGCTCTGGCTGCTGCGACCACCTGGGGAGTGAACCAGTGGATGGAAGACCTCTTTCTTTCTCTCTGCCTCTCTGTAACTCTGCCTTTCAAATAAATAAATAAAAATCCTTAAAAAAAAAAAAAAAAAAGATGGTAAGGACAATTGCTAACCAAATCTGTTTTAGCTCCTGAATTTTGCATATTGAATATTTAAGAGTTGTGGATATCAAGAAATGGCAGTTGTAGCTTTAAAAAAAAGAAATGCAAATCTATCCAGTTACTGAAATTTGATAGTAAAAGGAAAGCAGCAGACATTGCTACACAGATTTTAATGCCATAATCACAGTCTGCATTGCAATTATCAGTTTTTGGGTGATTACAGTAATTTATTCAGAGTAGACAAATTTTCACAGAAATGACTAACATTCAGAGGGAAACTATAGCATCAAAGTACCCATATATCACATATGGTGCCCATATCTTCCCTTTGTATATTCAAGTCTGAACTTCTCTTTTTTAACTTGTCCATCCTTTAAATATGGGGGAGGGGTGATACACAGTGTGCAGTGTATACTCGATAAAGGTCTACTAAATGAAAAAATTATTTTATTTTTTAAAAAGATTTACTTATTTATTTGGAAGGCACCGTTACAGAGAGAGAGAGAGAGAGAGAGACAGATAGACAGAGAGACAAACAGTGAGAGAAAGATATCTTCTATCCACTGGTTCACTCCCCAAATGGCAACAACAGCCAGATCCAGGTCCTGGTCCAGGCTGAAGCCAGGAGCCAGGAGCGTCTTCTGGGTCTCCCACGTGGGTTCATGGGCCCAAGCACTTCAGCCATATTCCGTTGCTTTCCCAGGTGCATTAGTAAGGAGCTGGATCAGAAGTGGAGCAGCCAGGACTGGAACCGGTGCCCATACAGGAAGCCAGGGATGCAGGCAGCTGCTTTACCCACCTGTGCCACAACTTCAGCCCCAAGAAAAAATTTTTACTGAGAAAAAAATATTGATTTTAAAATGATGATTATAGTATTTTTATTATATTCAGATTTGTAAATTCACTGATTTTTTTTGTTCTTGTGGGGTGATAAAAATATTTAATCAAGTCATCACCTGAGAGTTTAGTGTTTACATTTTTAAGAAAAACAAGCCACTGTTTTACATCATAATTGTTCAGATGTTCTAATAGTAGCCATCTTAATTAGGGTAAATATTAATAGAAGCTGAGGAAGAATCTGCAATAAAACAAAGAACTGTGGTTGCATTTATACCGTTGCTGGAATGATGTCTGAATTAAATACCATGTCTCCATTTCCCAAGGATTTCTGTACTTCATGGATGTGATTTTTTATATCATTTACAGTTGGAAAAAAAGATAAATTATGTCTTTCAGGTATCTCATCAGGTTTGAACAGTTCCCTTTCCACAAATTTTCTGCAGAAAACATAAAACAGAATTAAAAACATAAACCATCTAGCAACAAGCATGTAGATCAAAAGAGATAAGGTTCTCTTTCAGCATAAACTTCTATAATATATGATTTACAGCTCCATAAGCAATTTATACTTTTTCATTTTTAATTTTTCCCAAACAATGAATCACAGAATTTATCCAGATTAAAGAAATAAAATATTTTCATTGGTTAAACACCTTCATATATTAGAGTGAGCTTTGTTATTTCTGTGAATTTAAATGAAGGGAACCATTATTTTTCACTTAATTATAATAATGGTTTTAAGTGTTTATTATGTCAGGCACATACTGAACACTTCACATTCAGCATCTCCTTTAACTTTTTTTTTTTTTTTGACAGGCAGAGTGGACAGTGAGAGAGAGAGACAGAGAAAGGTCTCCCTTTGCCGTTGGTTCACCCTCCAATGGCCGCCACAGCCGGTGCGCTGCGGCCAGCGCACCGCGCTGATCTGAAGGCAGGAGCCAGGTGCTTCTCTTGGTCTCCCATGGGGTGCAGGGCCCAAGCACTTGGGCCATCCTCCACTGCACTCTTGGGCCACAGCAGAGAGCTGGCCTGGAAGAGGGGCAACCAGGACAGAATCCGGTGCCCCGACCGGGACTAGAACCTGGTGTGCCGGCGCCGCAAGGTGGAGGATTAGCCTATTGAGCCGCGGCACCAACCAAAAGATAATTTTTTAAAAATTAATTTATTTATGTGAAAGGGAGAGTTATGGAGAGAGAGGGAGAGACATATCTTTCATCTGCTGCTAGTTCACTCTCCCAAAGAGCCAAGAGCCCAGAATCCCTTCTGGGTCTCCCACATGGGTGGCAAAGGCCCAAGCATGTGGGCACTCCTTTGTTGCTTTCCCAAGCACATCAGCAGAAGAGGAGCAGCCAGGACGTGAACCAGTGCCCACAGGGGATGCCAGAGTCACAGGCAGTGGCTTAACCCATGGTGCTGCAACAATGGGCCCAGAAAGATATTTATAAAAATTGCATTTATTTTCACCTTACTTGAAAGGCACAGAAAGACAGAAGTATTAGAGAACAATCTTCCAGCTGTTATTTCACTTCTGATATGCCTGCAAAGCTAGGGCTGGGAGTCTGAAACTTGATCCGGGTCTCCCATGTAGATGGCACAGAGTCAACAATTTGAGCCATCACCTGCTGCCATCCAGAGTGCTCACTGGTAGGAAGCTGGATTTGTAAGTAGAGCCAAGATGCAAACCCAGGCACTCCAACACGGAAGGAGACACCCCAACCAGCATCTTAAGGGCTGTGTGAAATTTCTGATCTGCCTTTTAGCCAATTATTTAGCCATTCTGAGTCTCCATGTTCTCCTATTTAGAATGGGATAAATATACAACTTTATAGAGCTCTTGTAAAACTAAGTAAGATCACTCACCTAAAGAGCTTATCACAATACCTGGCACACACATAAAAGTGTTACACAGTAAAAATAATATTATTATCCTGAGTATAAAAAAAAAAGAATAGAATACTACAAACAAAATTTCATTGGTGAAAAACTATCCAAATTCTTTGTAGTAATAAAACTTAAACTGCATTTCAGATATTTGAGAAAAATGTATTGATCCAGGTTTTTAAATCTTTGGTTCTACAAGACTTTTTATTATATAATTAAATTCACACATCATTCAGAAATAGTACAATTTGCTAAACCTGAATATGGAATCTCAAATACTCAAATCTCAAACATAATGATAAAAAGCCACATTATACATGGCTTATAAAACATTTATTAGAAAGTGATCAGTCCATAAATATTAATAAACAAGCCATATTCCTTATCTACCTTGGTAAAATATATCCTAGAAAATATCTATAATGTTAAGTATTTTACTTAAACTAACAATCAAAAATGAAAAATGTAGAGGAATAATTTGCTTCTACTGTACCTTAGTTGTTTCCTTACTGCATATACTTGTTCTATTCCCTGTGACACTAATTCTTGAATTTTATGTGCTACTTGAGGATGTAGACGGGAGGGTAATGCGCAGTTCTCATCTCTAACTGCAGCTTCCTGTTCTTCAAGAGAAGACATGGGAAAAGGGGAAGGCGACAAGGGGAGGCAGGGAGCCTCAAATTCATGATACTGATGGGCTTGCTGGGTAGGTAACTGTACATACCACCTGATAAGAGAAAATAATTAGTTAAAATGATTAAAATTAAAATATTAAATTATGAAAACTACTAACATTATTAGACAAAGCATGAACCACCCTAAAGTTAGCGATCATGAGGGGAAGAAATAATATCTTAAGGAAAAATTACACGTGATTATACCATATTAAATGGAACTTAAAATGCCCTCTGTTTAACATTTTTAAGATAAATTTTATAGTCAATTAAATAAAAATCTTCATAAACTCTTTCAGAAATTCACTATGACACTAAGTTAAAGATGATGCAGCATTTAAGAACCTGTGACAGTTGGGGCAGGTGTCATGGTACAATGGTTTAAGCCACTGTCTGCAATGCTGTCCCTGCTGCCCCACTTCTTTTTCTTTAAAGATTTATTTATTAATTTGAAAATTAGAGTTATAGAGACAGAGAGATCTTCCAATCATTAATTCATTCCCCAGTGAGCCCCAACAGCCAGGGGTGGGCCAGGCCAAAGCCAGGAGCTTCATCCAGGTTACCCATGTGAGTGGCAGGGGACCAAACACTTGGGCTATCTTCACTGCTTTTCCCAGGCCATTAGCAGGAATCTGGATTGGAAGCGGAGCAGCTGAGACACAAACCGACATCCACACAGGATGCAGGCAGCGGCTTTACTTGCTACACTTCAATGCCAGCCCTGCTGCTCTTCTTTTTTTTTTTTTTTTTTAAGATGTTTTTATTTATTTAACAGGTAGAGTTATAGAGAAAGAGAGAGAGAAAGGTCTTCCTTCCATTGGTTCACCCCCAAATGGCTGCTACGGCTGGTGCTGCGCTGATCCAAAGCCAGGAGCCACGTGCTTCCTCCTGGTCTCCCATGCGGGTGCAGGCGCCCAAGCACTTGGGCCATCCTCCACTGTCTTCCTGGGCCACAGCAGAGAGCTGGACTGGAAGAGGAGCAACCATGACTAGAACCCGGTGCCCATATGAGATGCCAGCGCCAAAGGCGGAGGATTAGGCAAGTGAGCCATGGCGCCAGTCCCCCTGCTACTCCTCTTCTTATCTAGTTCCCTGCTCATGCACCTGGGAGAGCAACAGATGATGGCTCAAGGACTTAGGCCCCTGCCACACATGTGTGAGACCCAGGTGGAGTTCCTGGTTCCTGGCTTCAGCATGGCCCAGTCAGTCCTAGCCATTGTAGCCATCTGGGGAGTGAGCCAGTATATGGAAGATTTCTCTTTCTCCCTCTCTAACTCTGCCTTCCAAATAAATAAAATAAATCCTTCATAAGAATACATGAGAGTAGTATTTTAAATTTCAGATTAACTAAATTTTTACCTCAAAATATATACCACTGTAAATCATCTTTTGAATTATCTATTTTCCCATTCATTAAATATCTCTCACACTACATTTCTATGACACACCTACCATTCTCTCAGCCAAAGATTATATATAATTCGGAACCAGGGGCTGGTGCTGTGGTGTAGCGGGTAAAGCCACTGCATGCAGAACTGGTATCCCATATGGGCACCGGTTCAATTCCCAGCTGCTCCACTTCTGACTATGGCCTGGGAAAGCAGCAGAAGATGGCCCAAGTCCTTGGGCCCCTGCACCCACATGGGAGACCAGTAAGAAGCTCCTGGCTCCTGGCTTCGGATCAGCTCAGCTCTGCCATTACGGCCACTTGGGGATTGAATCAGCAGATAGAAGACTTCTGTCTCCTTCTGCCTCTGTCTCTCTGTAACTCTTTCAAATAAATAAGTAAATCTTAAAAAAAATTTCAGAACCTGACAAAACTGAGCTAGACAGGAAAAATTTCCCTTGTACTGCCTCCACAGTACTCACAGCTCCTGCTGGCCCAATGAGCAAGAAAATCAACTAAAAGTTGAATATAGTCCTCCTGAACAGCAGTGCAGTAAAACACAAATGCTAGAAAAATGAACTGACTTGGCATAGTTGTCTTAATTGATATTGCTACACCAAATTCTTACAATGACTGACATTACATAAAATAGAGCTGACTTAAAAAAATGGAAAGGGGCTGGCACTGTGGCACACTAGGTTAATCCTCCGCCTGCAGCGCTGGCATCCCATTTGGATGCTGGTTCTAGTCCCAGTTGCTCCTTTTCCAGTCCAGCTCTCTGCTGTGGCCTGGGATAGCAGTAGAGGATGGGCCAAGTGTTTGGGCCCTGCACTCGCATGGGAGACCGGGAAGAAGCTTTCTGGTCCCTGACTTTGGATTGGTACAGCTCCAGCCAATGCAGCCATTTGGGGAGTGAACCAACGGAAGGAAGACCTTTCTCTCTGTCTCTCTCACTGTCTGTAACTCTACCTGTCAAATAAATAAATAAAAATCTTTGAAAAAAAAAAATACAAAACAGGGGCTGGCACTGTGGTACAACGGGTAAAGTTTCCACATGCAATGCTGGTATCCCATATGGACACTGGTTAAAGTCCCAGTTGCTCCACTTCTGATCCAGCTCCCTGCTAATACACCTGGGAAGGCAGCAGAAGATGACCCAAGTGCTTGGGTCCCTGGATTCACATGGAAGACCCAGATGAAGCTCCTGGCTCTGGCCTGGCACATCCCTGGCCGTTGTGGCCACTTGGGGAATGAACAAATATATGGAAGATCTCTCTCTCTCTGCCTTTGCCTCTCCCTCTCTGTAATTCTGAGTTTGAAATAAATCAATAGAGCTTAAAAAAAAAAGATACAAAATATTCTCCAAAGCAAAGGATCTAATTATTATTGACTGAATTCTTTTTTCATAAACCAAAAATTTTTTTGAAAAAACTATTTCCCATACACTTATCCTCATATGTATACAATAGCAAATTTTTTACCTGGACCGACACATATAGCAAAGTAAAAAAGCTGAGTATTTTTTATCATTTAAAACCTGAATCATAAAAGAATTTTACTTAGGGCTTAGAATTCATTTCTGCTGCCATAAGTAATTGAAGATGGGTTAAAAAGATACAGGTAGCTGCAAGTTCTGCTCCCATTAAGTGTCTGAAGCAAAGTACCAAATCTACGACTATAATGAATGTGTTGCTTAAGAAATATTTATCACTTAGAGATAAAATTTCCATGTGGTATATAGTACATGACATACAGTATGCATAATTCTGAATTCTCTAGGACCTTTGGCAGATAAACTCTGGCTTATGTATTTGGTGGCAAATCAATTTCATTCGTAGAGAACTGCTAGTGAGGTATCTACCTTACAAAACCATTTCTTAGTGAGATAATTGGAAAATACAATTTCTCTTACAAGATAATTCTTGTAACCAGAGCTATTTAATTTGTAAGACAAAAGGACTCTATAAATGTCATACCTTAGAACACCACCAGCATCTACCATGTTCTTCTTTAGCATGTTAAAGGCTTTCTCCTGCTCCATTCTGATTATTTTCTTATCAATTTTAGGGTCTGTAGGAACTCTGTATTCAGGAAACTTCTGTACCTTTTTAATGTAAATCCTTTATACAAGAGAAACAATTTGTTTCACTATTTTATAATCTTAAAAAAAAAAACCAACATCAACCAGAAGCTTACAGTAAGCATTTAACTTCACAGAAAACTCAGTTTATCTACAAAGTATTCAAAGGCTTACATGAAAGATATCCCATATGTTCAATACTACTTAGCAAATTAACAATAATGACTACCAACAATCATAACTTGAATAAAATATCTAAGTATTTATGGATTTTTTTCTGGATTTGTCTCTTCTCCATTCTTTGGAAGACATAATCACCCCATGCCCAAGGTTACCATCATAGCCTTCTTCGAAGCTACTGTGCCTCCAGAATTTCACTATTAAATCCACTTGATACATCAACACCACAGTAACTCTTCACATTTGATTTCCTAACGTGAAGAAAATGCCTGCTCCTTAATAAAGGATAAATTTCTTGGCAGCACTCAAGACACTCTATATGATTCTAATTTGTTTACTTAATCTTGCCCTCTATTACTTTAAAATTTCTTTTCCTATGACGTTCATTTCTCAAAGTCCCTTCCTCCTCTGTAGTTGTGTCTCATCTTTATTTATATAGTTTTCGCAACCTGTAACATCTTGCCTCTAAATCTCCACCTACTCAACTTCAATCTAAACAGAAATATCCAGGTTCAATTTGACCTTCTTTCCTAGGAATTTCCATGGATATATTTCTTTTTGAATACCTTTAAGAGGCAGTTAAGAGGCTGGCATTTTGAGATACTGGGTAAAGCCACTGCCTGCAATACCAGCATCCTATATGGGCAGTTTGAATCCTGGCTGCTCCACGTACAATCCAACTCCCTGCTAATGTGCCTAGGAAAGCAACAGAGAATGGTTTGAGTACTTGGGCCCTGTGCATGGGAGACCGGGAAGAAGTTCCTGGCTTTGGCCCTGCCCAACCCCCATACTGACCATTTTTAGGGGCCTGGAGTTGTGATGCAATGGGTTAAGGTATTGCCTGCATGCCAGCATACCACATGGACACTGGTTCACAGTCCAGCTGCTCTACTTCCAATCCAGCTCTCTGCTAGTGAGACTGGGGAGGCAGCAGAAGATGGCCCATATGTTTGGGCCCCTGACACCGACATGGGAGCCCAGATGGAGTTCCAGCCTCCTCGCTTCAGCCTGGCCCAGCCCTGGTCTTTGTGGCCATTTGAAGAGTGAACTGGTAGATGGAAGATCTCATTCTCTATGTCTGTCTCTTCCTCTCTAACTCTGCCTTTCAAATGAATAAATAAATCGATAAAAAAAAATTTTAAGTACTTGTCGAATGACAAAAATAAAATTACTTCTGCACTATACAAGTTTTTCCCCCAAGTTATACATCAAGTTTTTATATTGTTTACATTTAAAGAGTAGTTGAAAACTTGTTTCATGGTCAAGTTAAATATTGCCAAAAGGGGCTGGTACTGTGGTGTAATGGGTAAAGCTGCCGCCTGCAGTGTCGGCTTCCCATACGGGCACTGGTTTGATTCCCAGCTGCTCCATTTTCAATCCAGCCCTCTTCTATGGCCTGGGAAAGCAATAGAAGATGGCCCAATGCTGGTTAGAGACCTGGCTGCTCTACTTCCGATCCAGCTCTCTGCTATGGCCTGGGAAAGCAGTAGAAGATGGTTCAAGTTCCTGGGCCCCTGCACCCACATGGGAGACCCGAAGAAGCTCCTGGCTCCTGGCTTTGGATCAGCAGAGCTCTGACCATTGCGTACAACTGGAGAGTAAACCATTGGATGAATGACCTCTCTCTCTCTCTCTACCTCTCCTGTCTCTGTGTAACTCTGCCGTGCAAATAAACAAATAAATAAATCTTAAAAAAAAATCTTTCATTGGTTCACATTTTTCTTTCTCATCCAGGGCAACAACTATCCTATATTCCTATTCTCTCAAAAACTTACTGTGCTGTTCTCATACATTGCTAAAGTGAATGCAAATTGGCAAAATCGTGCTACAAAGCCACTTTGTAATATTTTTCAGTGTTTAAAAAGGAATATAACTTTTTCCCTAGCAATTGCATTTCTAGAAGTTTATTTAATATACTTGCACTAATGCACAATACCATGAATTGCAATTTTGCATATAATTAAAAATACTTCTCATAGTTTACATGGTCATCATTAGAAGACTAATAATAATAAGTTCAGAACTGGATTATAATATGGCTACTAAAGAGAAAGAAATAATGCTCTTTTTTTTTTTATTTTGACAGGCAGAGTGGACAGTGAGAGAGACAGAGAGAAAGGTCTTCCTTTGCTGTTGGTTCACCCTCCAATGGCTGCTGCACTGTGGCCGGCGCACCGCGCTGATCCGATGGCAGGAGCCAGGTACTTCTCCTGGTCTCCCATGGGGTGCAGGGCCCAAGGACTTGGGCCATCCTCCACTGCACTCCCTGGCCACAGCAGAGAGCTGGCCTGGAAGAGGGGCAACCGGGACAGGATCCGGCGCCCCGACCGGGACTAGAACCCGGTGTGCCGGCGCCGCTAGGTGGAAGATTAGCCTAGTGAGCCGCGGCGCTGGCCAAAAATAATGCTCTTTACAAGAATACTTCAAAGTGTTGTGGAACACCATACTTAGTGAAATAAGCCAGTCCCAAAGGGACAAATATCATATGTTTTCCCTGATCTGTGTCAACTAACAGAGCACCTAAAAGGAAACCTGCAGAAGTGAAACTGCCACTATGAGAAGCAATGACTTGAACAATCCTTGTCTTGACTGTCAAGGAACAGTTCATTATTTTTTTTATTATTTTCTTTTTCTACTTAATACCATCGGTTGAACTATTTACTGAACACAGAATTACTCATAATTGTTTAAATCCAATTGAAAATAGATGCCAGTAAAAAATAAGAGCAGGAATAAGAGAGGGAGGAGATGTACAGTTCGGCACACAGACCTACCCCTAAGGTAAAGCTAAAAACTTGCTATAGGACTCCAAATCCCATTAAGCTGGGTGGTACTAATACCGTGTTACACGTTAAAGTGATCATTTTAAGTGTGTAACTGATCATATAGATAGGAATAAGTGTCAAAGAGATCACATAAATAAGACCAAGTGTCTGGTAATAACAACTGATAAAATTAAAAAGGAGAGAAGGCTCCAACATGGGAAGCAGGCCACACACCAGACTCATAGAATGACAAACTCCCTAAACAGCACTCTGACCTCAGAATCAGCTGTCAAGACATTCGGATCCGGCTGAAAAGCCCATGAGAGCATTTCAGGCATGGAAAACCAAGGCACTGTGGCAAAAAATGATCTACATGAAGGGTCTCTGGTGAGATCTCAGTGGAAAGAAGGGGCCCTCAAAGAAGGAGATACTTTTCTCTGTCTAAATGCTGACAGAGTTTGTGGACTCAGAAGGCTTCCATACCTTTGGCAGCACATGACAAGAGCCTCAGGTGATCACTGACATCATAAATAAGAGTGTAAATCGTTAAATCAACAACAGGAATCACTGTGTATTTACTCCCCATGTAGGACCTCTGTCCTTAATGAGTTGTACTGTGAGAATTAACAGTAAAACTAGTCTTCAAACAGTACTTTATACTTCGTGAGTGTGTGGGTGCAAACTGCTGAAATCTTTACTTAGTATAGAGTTGCTCTTCTGTATAAAGGTAATTAAAAATGAACCTTTTCTTTTCTTTTGTTTTTTTTTTTTGTTGACAGGCAGAGAGGCAGAGTTAGACAGTGAGAGAGAGAGAGAGAGAGAGAGAGAGAGAGAAAGGTCTTCCTTTTTCCATTGGTTCACCCCCCCCCCCAAAGTGGCCGTTACAGCTAGTGTGTTGCGGCCGGCACGCTGCACTGATCGGAAGCCAGGAACCGGGTGCTTCCTCCTGGTCTCCCATGCGAGTGCAGGGCCCAAGCACTTGGGCCATCCTCCACTGCCCTCCAAGGCCACAGCAGAGAGCTGGCCTGGAAGAGGGGCAACCAGGACTAGAACCTGGCGCCCATATGGGATGCTGGTGCTGCAAGCAGAGGATTAACCAAGTGAGCCACAGCACTGGCCCCAAGAATCATTGCCTTAAACGGTACACAGAGCGGCCAACATTGTTTCACAATTGATTAAACCTCAATCATAATGTTGGTTCCAGTCCCAATTGCTCAGCTTTCAATCCAGCTCCCTGTTAATGTGCTTGGGAAAGCAGCAGAAGATAGTCCAAGTACTTGGGGACTTGCCACCATGTGAGAGACCTGGATACAGTTCCAGGATCTTGGCTTTGGCCTAGGCCAGTCCCAGTCATTATATACATTTGGGAGTAAACCATGGAAGATGGAATGGCTGGATGGAAGCGCTGTCTCTCTCTCTCTCTCTGTCTCTGTCTCTCCCTCTCTTTCTCTGTAACTCTGCCTTGCAAATAAATCAATCAATCTTAAAAAAAGAAAAAAGATGGGGGCCAGTGCTGTGGCATAGCTAGTAAAGCTGCTGCCTACAGTGCCATTATTCCATATGGGGGCAGGTTTGAGTCCTGACTGCTCCACTTCCCATCCAGCTCCCTGCTAATGCACCTGGGAAAGCAGTAGAAGATGGCCCAAGTCCTTGGGCCCCTGCACTCATGTGGGAGACCTGGAACAAGCTTCTGGCTCCTAGCTTTGGATTGGTCCAGCTTTAGCCATTGCAGCCATCTGGGGAGTGAACCTGTGTTGGAAGATCCATCTCTCCCTCCCTCTTTCTCTGTAACTCTGCCTTTCAAATAAATAAATAAATAAATCTTTAAGAATAAAAGGAAAGAGGAGGACACAGTGAGCAGGGATGAGAGAAAATTTAAGAATTCAATGAATACTTTTTTGGTAATGTTTAAACTTAACAAAAATGTCATATTCACTATTCAAAAAGTCAAAACTTAATTTAAAAAAAAGGAAAGAAAATAAACCTTACCGGGCTGGACAAGTGGCTTTGTAGAGCTGACAGGACCTGCTTTCCTGCTCACTGATTTTTTTCAACTGGAAACCTTTTCTCCTTGGCCCATACTGACACTCCATCACCACAGCTCTACTCCCTGTGGGCCAAAAATCAGTTGTTGATATTAATTCAAGTGTCCGTCTAATTTAGACCCTGGATTAAAAACAACTTGGTGGTAGCAAAGGCAAAATCTACACTTTCAACTACACAACTTTAAGGAAAGAGAAGACTGGTAGATTTTATTAAGATACACAAACATATAGGTTTGAAAGTTTATTGTAAAATGTACCAAAGATACTATAAAATTATGGTAAAGAAATGAGCAAAAACCATATTTATTGATACTTAGACACATAAAATTTTTAAAAATAATAAAATTTAACACTTTATAAATAGAAATTATCAAATGTTTCATTTGGTTAACACTAATAACATTTTTATAAATATAAATTTTGAAAGTGCGATTTTTGTTTTTATTTATTTATTTAAAGATTTATTTTATTTACTTTAAAGACAGAGTAACAGAGAGAGGTAGAGATAGAGAGAGAGGTCCTCCATCCGCTGGGTCAGATGGCCACAACAGCCAGAGCTGTGCCAATCTGAAGCCAGGAGCTAGGAGCTTCTTCCTGGTCTCCCACACAGGTGCAGGAGCCCAAGGACCCAGGCCATCCTCCACTGCTTTCCCAGGCCACAGCAGAGAGCTAGATTGGAAGAGGAGCAGCTGGGACCAGAACCGGCGCCCATATGGGATGCTGGCGCTTCATGCCAGGGCATTAACCTGCTGCACCACAGCACTAGCCCCACAAACACTAATATCATGTAAAAATTCATTTCCTGGGGCCAGCGTCTTAGCATAGTAGGGTAAGCTGCTGTCTGCCTGTGATGCTGGCATTTCATATGGGTGCTGATTCAAGTCCTGGCTGCTCCTCTTCCTATCCAGCACCCTGCTAATGTGCCTGGGAAAGCAGCGGAAGATGGTCCAAGTTCCCTGGGCCCCTGCACTCTTGTGGCAGATCAAGAAGAAGCTCCTGGCTTTGGCCTGGCCCAGCCCTGGCTGTTGCGGCCATTTTGGGAGTGAACCAGGGGATGGAAGATCTCTGTGTCTACCTCTCTAACTCTGCTTTTAAATAAATAAAATAAATTTTAAAAAAGTGAGAATGCTATAGTCAAACTTCTACAATATATGACTTCTGATGAACAAGTGTAATTGACTTTTCAAGAGTAAACACCATAAAGTGGAATTGCTGGTTGTAAAGCATGTACATTTTGTCTTTAAAAGATTATTTCAGGCTGACGCTGTGGCTTAGCAGGCTAAGCCTCTGCCTGCCATGCTGGCATCCCATATGGGTACCAGTTCATGTCCCTGCTACTCCTTTTCCGATCCAGCTCTCTGATAAGGCCTGGGAAAACAGTGGAGGATGGCCCAAGTGCTTGAAACCCTGTGATGTAGTGGTAAAGCCTGCAATGCCGGCATCCCATATGGGCACTGGTTCAAGTTCTACTTCCAAATCCAGCTCCCTGCTAATGGCCTGGGAAAAGCATCATAAGATGGCCCAAGTGTTTGGGCCTCTGCTACCCATGTGGGAGACCTGGAAGAAGCTCCTGGCTCCTGGCTTTGGATTGGCCCAGCTCCAGCTGTTACAGCTGTTTGGGGAGTGAACCAGTGGATGGAAGATATCTTTCTCTCTCACCTTCTCTTTGTCTATAACTCTGCCTCTCAAATAAATAAATAAATCTTTTTTAAAAATTACTTTAAATTGCTCTCTAAAGTTGTGGTACAGGTCCAGAATCGCTTCTCTGAAAGTTTTTGGACCAAGTGTATTTCAGAATTTTGAATATTTGGAATGTGCTATGATAATATTAGAGAATACTTCTACCAAGTATCATGTAGACAATAGCAAAAAACTTAACAGTAGTTCTTTATGAATAGTTTCAGTAAAAGGAACAAAGACTGCATACAGCCTTACATTGTTCAAGTCAAGTTTTGCAGTAAGGTGGATTCCAAAAATCTTTGTTTCCTGGGGCATTTCTAATACCTTTTAAAATCTTTTTTTTTAAAGAATTTCTTTCCCTTTCTGATATTACCCCATGACTTAGCACAAAATGTTTTTTTTTTCTTTAAAAAGATTTATTTATTTATTTGAGAGGCAGAGTGACAGGGAGAGGCAGGGGAAGAGACAGAGAGAGAGAGATCTTCCATCTGCTGATTCACTCCCCAAATGGCCACAACAGGGGGGATTGGTCCAGGCTGAAGTCAAGAGCCTGGAACTCCATTCAGGTCTCCCGTGGGGATGGCAGGGGCTCAAACACTTGGACCATCTTCTGCTGCTTTCCCAGGCACATTAGCAAAGAGCTAGACTGGAAGTGGGGCAGTCAGGATTCAAACTGTGCTGCAATATGGGATGCTGGCCTCACAAGAAGCAGCTTAGCCCACTGCCCCACAACATGGGCCCCAACATTGCTAGACTATTAAAAATCAATGTATTATGAAAATTTGCATATGTATATAAAAATAGAGGTATAATATAAGAAACCCCATCACTCCAGGTAGCTATCATTTAGCTTCAACAACTATCAGCATATAGTCAATCCTGTCTTATTTATCCCCTACCTGCTTTTTCATTCCCCCAGATGGCTTTACAATAAATTGCAGATGCCATATCATTTCATGTATAATTCTAAAGTATATGGTATACATTAAGTAAATATCTCTAAAAGATAGAGACCCTTTTATAAAAAAGTGATCTTGGGGCTGGTGCTGTGGTGTGGTGGGTAAAGCCGCCGCCTGTAGTGCCAGCATCCCCTGTGGGCGTTGGTTCAAGTCCCAGCTGCTCCAATTTTGATCCATCTCTTTGCAGTGGCCTAGGAAAGCAGTAGAAGATGGCTCAAGTCCTTGGGCCCCTGCACCCATGTGGGAGACCCAGAAGAAGCTATTGGCTCCTGGCCTTGGATCAGTGCGGCTCCAGCCATATGGGGAATGAACCAGCAGATGGAACACCTTTCTCTCTCTCTCTGCCTTTCAAATAAATAAATACATCTTCAAAAAAGAAAAAGTTTTCATGGTGATTCTTTTTTTTTTTTTTTTTTTTGAAAGGCAGAGACAGAGATGGATCTTCCATTGACTTCACAGATGCCCTCAATAACTGAGACAGGGCCAGGCTGAAACCAGTAGCCAAATTAAATTAATCTGGGTCTCCTATCTAGGTAGCGGAGACCTTAACACTTGAATCATTGCATGGTGCCTCTCAAGGTGGGCATTAGTAGGAAGCCAGAATTGAAAGCAGAGATGGGATATAAACCTATGCACTCCATTAGCGGTATGGGTGTCAAGTGGCCTCTTAACCCATGCACCAAATTCCCACCTAAGAACTCTTAAACACACACAAAGACACATACCTGAAAGGCTCTTATACACACATGTACACACATTTGACAATCCCATTGTCACATTTCAAAAAAATTAATGGTGGGGTTGGTGCTATGGCATAGTGGGTAAAGCTGCCGCCTGCAGTTCTGGCATCCCATATGGGTGCTTTGGAGCCTTGGCTGCTCCACTTCCCATCCAGCTCTCTGCTATAGCCTGGGAAAGCAGTAGAAGAGGGCCCAAGTCCTTGGGCCTCTGCAACCGGAAGAAGCTACTGACTCCTAGCTTCAGATCAGCTTAGCTACAGCCGTTGCAGCTATTTGGGAAGTGAACCAGTAGATCAAAGACCTCTCTCTTTCTCTGCCTCTACCTCTCTAGTAACTCTGCCTTTCAAATAAATAAATAAATCTTAAAAACAAAATTAACAGTAATTTCATAATGTTATGATTTCCAATATTTACATTTTTCTGTCTCACAGGTATTTTCCCCCATAGGTTTATTCAAAATTTTAAAGATTTTTTTTAAAAAATTTATTTAAAAGTCAGAGTTACATAGAGAGAGGGAGAGACACAAAGAGAGAAAGAATCTTCCATCTGCTGGTTCATTCCCTAGAAGACCACAACAGCCAGGGCTGAGCCAGCCCAAAGCCAGGAGCAAGGAACTTCATCTGAGTCTCTCACGTGGGTAGCAGGAGCCCAAACACATGGACCACCTTCCGCTGCTTTTCCAAGGCCATTAGCAGGGAGCTGGATTGGAAGTGAAGCAGCTGAGACACAAACTAGAGCCCATGTGGGGTGGTTTTACCCACTAGGTCACAACACCAGCTCCTTCAAATTCTAATCCAAACAAGATCCACAGACTGCATCTGTTTAATAAGTATCTGAAATTTCTTTTCATCTACAGATTTTTCTCCTCCTTTTGCACAGGTAGTTTGCTGCATTCTAGATTTTTCTGATTCCATCTCTGTGATATAGTGTGTTCTTTTATCTCTTATATTTCCTATAAACTGTTAGCTCCAGAACTTTGATTAAAAACAGACTTGATTTTTCTAAGAATACCCCATAGGTATGCTGCATACTTTTTATTGCTTCCTATTTGTCTATTTGTGATATTCACATTGATCAGCGAATTAAAGTGTTTTAGGGTGTTGTGAAACTTTTCTTTTTGTCAGTCTGAGAAATATGACATATTTTCCTGTTATTTGCTAGTGAAGGTGAACACCTTTGTGCTCATTTGCTATCTTATTTAAAAAAATCAACCTGAGGGGCCGGCACGGTGGCACAGTAGGTTAATCCTTCACCTGCTTGCCAGCATCCAATATGGGCTCCAGTTCTAGTCCTGGCTGTTTCTCTTCCAATTCAGCTCTCTGTTGTGGCCGGGGAAAGCAGTAGAAATTGCCCAGGTCCTTGGGCTCCTGCACTCTCGTGGGAGACCAGGAAGAAGCTCCTGGCTCCTGTCTTCAGATTGGTGCAGCTCCGGCCCTTGCAGCCATCTGGGGAGTGAACCAATGGAAGGAAGACTTTTCTCTCTGTCTCTCCCTCTCACTGTCTGTAACTCTACCTTTCAAATAAATAAATAATAAAATCTTTTTAAAAAATCAACATGAAAAGTGATTATTTTTTAAAGGATTTATTTATTTACTTGAAAGGCAGAGTTACATAGAGAGAAGGAGAGACAGAGATCTTCCATCTGCTGGTTCGCTCCCCAGATGACCAGGGCCGGGCCAGGCCAAAGCCAGAAGCCAGGAGCTTCTTCCAGGTCTCCCACGTGGGTAGCAGGGGCCCAAGCACTTGGGCCATCTTCCAGTGCTTTTCCCAGGCCATTAGCAGGGAGCAGGATTCGGAAGTGGAACTCAAACAGGTGCCCATATGGATGCCGGCATTGCAGGCTGTGGCTTTATCACTACATCTCAATACTGGCCCTCATTTGCCACCTTTTAAAAAAAACTGTCTGTTTATAGCCTTTGCCCATTTTTCTATATAGTTCTTTAATCTTTTTAAAAAAAGTATGCTTTTTTATATTCTCCATAGAAATTCTTTATTATATGTATTTTGTGTGTATGTGTTTTTTTTTTAAGATTTTTATTTATTTATTTGAGAGGTAGAGTTACAGAGTGAGAGAGAGACAGAGAGAGAGGTCTTCTGTCTGTTGGTTCACTCCCCAAAATGGCCGCAAGGGCTGGAGCTGAGCCAATCCGAAGCCAGGAACCAGGTGCTTCTTTCTGGTCTCCCACGCAAGTGCAGGGGCCCAAGCACTTGAGCCATCTTTTACAGCTTTCCCAAGTCATAGTAGAGAGCTGGACTGGAAGAAGAGAGCAGCCGAGATTTGAAATGGCGCCCATATGGGATGCTGAAGCCACAAAAGAAGGATTAACTTACTGCGCCACAGCGCTGGCCCCTATTGTATGTATTATATAATGCTGTTTATAAAATTGCTGCTTTTGTTTTATTTTAGTTGTGGTGTCTTGTAAACAGAGTTTTAAATTTTAATGTCAGATTTATCAATATTTTATTGTGTTTTTTTTTTTAATTTTGAAGTTTTTTTTTAAAACTTTGCTGTATCCTACAGAACAGTAGGATATTCAGCTTAAAATCTTTATGCTTTATGGTTTTCTTTTGTAAAAAGACTTTTTTATTCATTTGAAAGGCAGAGTGATACACGGAGAGAGGAAGAGACAAAGAAATATCTTCCATACACTTGTTCACTCCCCAGATGGTCACAACAGCAGGGATTGGCCACGCCAAAGCCAGGAGCTTGGAACTCCATCTGTCCCGGGGCATTTCAGGGGCCCAAGTACTTGGGCCCTTACCTGCTGCTTTCCCAGGAGCATTAGAACAGAATAGGGAGCAGAACAGCCGAGACTTGAACCTCTGCTCCAGTATGGGATGTGACTTAACCAACTGTACCAAACACCAACCCCAGTTCTATTGTTTTCAAATCTATTTATTAGTATTATCTATTGCTGTATAACAAATTATCCCAATCTCGGTGGCAGAAAACTACAAATGTTTAAAATCACAGCAGACATTTTAAAAAATAATAAAATTGTCCTTTTTATATTTTTTTAAATAGGCCTATTAGAATTTACATGTTTGGGGCCGGTGCCGTGGATCACTTGGTTAATCCTCTGCCTGCTGTGCTGGCATCCCATATGGGCTCTGGTTCGAGACCCAGCTGTTCCACTTCCTGTCCAGCTCTCTGCTATGGCCTGGGAAGGCAGTGGAAGATGGCCCAAGTCCTTGGGCCCCTGCACCCATGTGGGAGACCAGGAAGAAGCTCCTGGCTCCTGACTTCGGATCAGCACAGCTCTGGCCATTACAGCCATCTGGGGAGTGAACCATCGAATGGAAGATCTCTCTCTCTCTGTCTTTCTCTCTGCCTCTCCTCTCTCTGTGTAACTCTTTCAAGTAAAATCAATAAATCTTTCAAAAAAAAAAAAAAGTTGTTATCTACTAAAATGAAAATAAATCATTTTAAGAAAAAAAATCATTTTTAACTATGGACTGTGACTTCTGCTGAACCTTTTAAAATAATTATTTAAAAAGTACCTGCATTGACAAATGGGATTCCATCATACGGGACATACTGAGATTTCCACATCAGGCGAGTGGCTGGCTTCGCTGGGCTTGGAGACTGGCGGGTCCCCCAAACACTCTGAGTCTGCTGCTTGTGGAATGTTAGGACACTTTCTAATTCAGTCTCACTTACACAGTAGCCACGGTATGAATCTCCAATTTTCTGCAAGCAGTAAAATTACGTAACAAAATTAGTAGCAAGTATGCTTCACTACATAGTGCGTTTAATGAGATGGTTGTCTCATCAGCTTTCATAAGAGAAAGGTTCTTGCCATCAGATCATTGGTCTATTACAACCAGTAGGTCTGATCTCAGTTCAATCAGGATCATTAAAGAGATATTCTCCAGGTATGATTTAGGGAAATATGGATACCAAATTGATATCCTATCTTTATCTATATTTTGTTTGACAGGGACAACAGACAATATTTAGAGAGGGTAACTTCAAGAACATACAGTGCACATGCTCTTCTGGATATTAAAAATCCTACCCCTGGAACATTTTGAGATAAGCATCAAATTAGCCAGAGCACTAGTTGTCAGTGGGGTTTCTTTGAACTGAGACTGATTTTGACACAATGCCATGAATCTACCTGAAATCCTATGAAAATTGTGATTGTATTTCCCATAAAATGTTGTAGAAGAATTGACTCATTAAATTTTTTTAATGATGATTCTTCATGGAGAGGAAATCCTGTCTGGACTTAGTACCAAAAATGGTAGTTTGTTCTTTATTTTATTTAAAAAAATTAAAATGTATTCAATTCTTTCAGGAAATTAGCATAACTTCTCTTATTTAATAGGTAAAGAATTTAGTTAACAACTTGGATTTCCCTTTTGAAATGTAGACTCTTAGATTACAGGCAGGTGTGTATATTTGTAAAGAGCATACATATACACACACTTCATTAAGATATGTACTTTCTTATTGCTATTTTTACATTCCCATTCTTGTTTTTATTTATCCTTTACCTCCCACTCTTAATATTTACCTTGCTAGCATATTTTATATTTTTTGTAAGCTATATTAAATTTTTTTCTGAAACATGGCAAGGCATAAGTACAATTTCCCTTAAAAATAATGAAGAGTCACTTACAAACTTTCTTTTTGTCTGGCTATTTCTTTATCAAAATGTCTATTACAAATAAAAGTAGGATTATAAAGTTTAACTGTACTACTTTTAAATCAAATAAAATAGACAGAATACATATGTCACTTAAACAAAAAAAATTGAATTAGTACAATTTAATCAGGTATATAGATAGGCCTATAGATAAAAGTTTAGGCCAGCGCCGTGGCTCAATAGGCTAATCCTCCACCTGCAGCGCCAGCACCCCGGGTTCTAGTCCCGGTCGGGGCGCCGGATTCTGTCCCGGTTGTCCCTCTTCCAGGCCAGCTCTCTGCTATGGCCAGGGAGTGCAGTGGAGGATGGCCCAAGTCCTTGGGTCCTGCACCCGCATGGGAGACCAGGAGAAGCACCTGGCTCCTGGCTTAGGATCAGTGCGATGCACTGGCCACAGCGCGCTGGCTGCAGTGGCCATTGGAGGGTGAACCAACGGCAAAAGGAAGACCTTTCTCTCTGTCTTTCTCTCACTGTCCACTCTGCCTGTCAAAAAAAAAAAAAAAAAAAGTTTAATAGAGTATTTGAAATACTCTGGTCAAATCAGAAAAAAAATGTCTATAGAAAAAGTTGTTAAATGAGAAATACTAAAGTAGAAGTAAAAAATATTTTGAAACAAAAATGCAAAAAATATTTCTTTACTCATTAACCAAAAATTGATATTGCTTGGGAGAAGAGAAAAATCCTTAACTGGGAGCCAGCATTGTGGTATAGTATGTAAAGCTGCCACCTGTGACACCAGCATCCAATATGTGTGCTAGTTTGAGATCCAGCTGCTCCACTTCCAATCCAGCTACCTGTTAATGCACCTGGGAAAGCAGCGGAAGATGGCCCAAGTGCTTGGGCTCTTGAACCCAAGTGGAAGATCTCGAAGAATCTCCTGACTCCTTGCTTCAGCTTGGTCCAGCCCTGGTTGTTGTGGCCATTTGGGGAGTGAACCAGTGGATGAAAGATCTCTCTCTCTGACTTTCAAATTAGCAAATAAATGGTAAAAAGAGAAATCTTCCATGGAAGAGAATATTCAGTCTGCAGGATGGTCTTAACCAGTTTTATATAAGATGTATAATTTTAGGTAAGACACATAATGCACTGAGTTGTAAAATAAGGTGTTTGACCACATGTCTGTGAGTATTCTAATATGCAGAGCATTCAAAAAAATGCAAGGTATCACATCATAAAACTTATTATTAGAAATCTTCTCAAAATATTAAAACTGAAAGAATGTTTTTGTTTCCACATTTCATTTAAAACAATGAAGCATGGGGCTGACGCCAAGGCATAGTGGATAAAGCCACCGACTGCAGTGCAGCAACCCATATGGGCACTGGTTCTGTCCCGGCTGCTCTACTTCTGATCCAGCTCTCTGTTGTGACCTGGGAAAACAGTAGAAGATGGCCCAAGTGCTTGAGCCCCTGCACCTGCATAGGAGACCTGGAAGAAGCTCCTGGCTATTGGCTTCAGATTGGCACAGCTCCAGCCATTGCAGCCATTTGGAGAGTGAACAGCTGGATGGAAGACACCTCTCTCTCTCTCTCTCTCTCTCTCTCTCTGTCTGCCTCTTCCTCTCTGTAACTCTGCCTTTCAAATTAATAAATAAATCTTTTTTAAAATTTAAAAAAATAAAACAATGAAGCATTTTAAAAACTTATTACCATCTTTGGTTTGATCACTTCCCTCAAAAATCTACTTGTTAAGTAATGAAGAACAATTAAAGTTAGTAAATAATTAAGAATAATAATGAAAATAAATACTAAAGAATATAAAGAAATAGCTAACAGCTAAAATAATCATTAGATAACTGCACTAGTATTTGAAGAACAGTTGTAAATGGTAAGTAGGAAAAAAATAACATGTAGGAAGAGAAACATGACAGCGCTAAAGAAAGTCTGACATGTTTTTAGAAAGTAGGAGGACTAAGCTAATGAGAAGCAAAGGTCAGAGAAAAGAAGGAAAATAGGACAAGATAGGACGACACAAGATTATGGAAGGCCTTGAAAGCTAGCTTCTGCAGCTAAGCACTCTGGAAAAAATAACACTGAACTTATTGGACAGTAAGAAAAGAGGGTGAAAGTAATGTTTACTGACAAGTTTTTTTAGAAAAATATATTTTAGCAACAAGAAATGGAAGAACTGAAGTGATTAAAGAGAAGGCTATTACTGTAATTAAGCCTAACAGTTTTTTCTTAATGGCTATAGAAAAATGGGTCCAAAAAAAAGACACTTTAAAGGAAAAACTGAAAAATCATTCAGGTGATTACCTGAATGTAGGAAAGGAAAAAGGGAGACTAAAGCTTTGTGGCTGGGTGTCTGAGGAGATGGCATTTGTCATCACACAGACACAGAATTCAGGAAGTAGAACTCACTGTGCTGGTGTAGATTATTTCAGTTTGAGATACAATAAATTTTTTAAAAGATTTATTTATATTACTTGAAATGCAGAATTACAGAGAAGACAGAGACAGAGAGAAAAAGAGTATTCCATCTCCTGGCTCACTACCCAAATGGCTGCAATGGCCAAGGCTGGGCCAGGCTAAGGCCAGGAGCTCCATCTGGGTGGATACAGAGGCCAAAGCACTTGGGTCATCATCCACTGCTTTCCCAGGCCATTAACAGGGAGCTGGACCAGAAGAGGTGCAGCCAGGACTTGAACCTGTGACCATATGAGAAGCTGGCATCACAGGTGGTAGCCCAATCTGGTACACCACAACACTGGCTCCTGGATACTGTAAATTGGAGATGAAATTCAAAGAAAGCTTCAAGTAATGATTAGAGACCTCCAAGAGCGAGGGCAGAATTAAGAAAGTGATGACACACATACAGCAATTAGTGTTATAAATGAGAGAGCTGAAAGTTCACAAAGTAGGTAAACCCACCAAGACATAAAATGTAGAAAAAGATAAAGTCAGGAAGTCTTAAAAATTCCTACCGAGCAGGCCAGCACTGTGGCACAGTGGGTTAATACTGACATGCATATGAGCACAGGTTCCAGTCCTGTTCTACTCCTGATCCAGATCTTTACTAGTGCACCTGGAAAGGCAGTGGAAGACGGCCCAAGTGCTTGGGCACCTGCATCCACGTTGGGGACCCAGATGGAATTCCAGGCTCCTGGTTTCCATCTGGTCCATCCCAGCCATTATGGCCATTTGGGGAAATGAACCAGCAGATGGAAGATCTCTCTTCTTCTCTGTCTCTCCTTCTCTCTATGCAACTCTGCCTTTCAAATACATAAATAAATCTTTAAAAAATAAAAACTACTTCTACTGAGAATATGAAAAGAAGTAAGAGTAAGTAAATAAGGAGTAGGAATGGTCAAGAAAAAAAAAGTAAAGAAACAAGTGGGTGAAGCTTTGCCAAAAATATGGGAAGAAGAGTTACAAGAGAAGAAACGTTAGTGAAGTATGAAGGAATTTATATGACTTCTGTTTTAATAGAGCTTTTATTCTCTAAAGAATAAGAAAAAGATGAGATCAGATTTAGCATGAATACAAAGAAAATATAGATACAGTCTATTCATTATACTCAAAGGTGGGCATTTGGAGATGAATTATGGTTATAACCAGTTAAGTAATTCTAGATAAAGATTATTTTTACCTCACCTCACAGCTCCTAAGGCGGCAGGCCCAGATAGGTGTATTAGAAGAAAGTGGCTGAAGAGGAGCCAAAAAAGGTTCTTCAAGCATTCTAGAATAGAAGAGGAATATGTTTAATATACAGTTCTACATATACGCACAAAAGGCATTCAACTGCTCTATCCTCTTATAACTATAGATTAACCTGACGGTATAATAATTATTTTCTTTAATTACCTGCTAAATTGAAGGCCTGAGTTTGCTCTTCCAGGTACCTATAGTCACAAAAAATTCATTTCTCTCTCCTAAAGCTTATGTGTACTATTTTCATTATATGATTACTTTCCATTTATCAAAAAATGAAGTGAGGAGCCAATGCTGTGGTATAGAAGGTTAAGCCTCTGCCTGAGGCACCAGCAACCCATATGGGTACAGGTTTGAGTCCTGGCTGCTCCACTTCTGATCCAGCTCCTTGCTGAGGGCCTGAGAAAGCAGTGGAAATTGGTCCAAGTGCTTGGGCCCTGCATCCATGTGAGAGACCCGGAATAAGCTCCTGGATTCAGATTGGCCTAGCTCCAGCCATTGCCACTGTGGCCATTTGGGGAGCAAACCAGCAGATGGAAGACCTCTCTGTCTGTCTCTCCCTCTCTCTGTCTGTAACTTTGCCTCTCAAATAAATAAATGAATATTAAAAAACAAAAATAAAGTGGATTCTGCTCCCACCTCAGGTTCCCGACTCCAGTATCCTGCCAATGCAGAGCCTGTGAGGTAACAGTGATGGCTCAGGTAAATAAGTTTCTGCCATGCAAGTGGGATACCTGGATTATACTCCCTACTCCTGGCTTTGGCCAGGGCCGTCTCAGCTCTTTTGGGAAACTGTGGAATCAACCAGCAGATGGCAATTGTCTTTGTCTGTTCAACTGTCTTTCAAATCAATAAGTAAATAAAGTTTTGTTTTAAAATGAACTATAAGAACATTTTCAGATGACTTAAGAGTAACATTATATGGGGCCGGCGCCGTGGCTCACTTGGTTAATCTTCCGCCTTGCAGCGCCGGCACCCCATATGGGCGCCGGGTTCTAGTCCCAGTTGCTCCGCTTCCAATCCAGCTCTCTGCTGTGGCCCAGGAGGGCAGTGGAGGATGGTCCAAGTGCTTGGGTGCCTGCACCCGCATGGGAAACCAGAAAGAAGCACCTGGCTCCTGGCTTCCGGTCGGTGCAGCGCAGGCCCTAGCGGCCATTTGGGGGGTGAAAGGAAGACCTTTCTCTCTGTCTCTCTCTCTCACTGTCTATAACTCTACCTGTCAAATAAAAAAAATTTATAAAAAAAAGAGTAGCATTATGTAATTTCTAAGATTAAATGTCAAATATTATCTGAATTCAAAAATACATTTGTAGAGCAATTAAAATATAAACATATATATCTAGCACATATTTCCCTAAATTACCAACAATATATTTTAAACCAAAAATAAAAACAGTAATAAAAGTTGTTTAAAAACATTTTAAAGATTTATTACTTGAGGCTGGGGCCGCGGCTCACTAGGCTAATCCTCCACCTTGCGGCGCCAGCACAGCAGGTTCTAGTCCCAGTCGGGGCGCTTCTGATCCAGCTTCCTGCTAATGTGTTTGGGAATCAGGGGATGATGACTCAAGTGCTTGGGCCGCTGTCACCCAGGTGGGAAACATGGATGGAATTTAGGATCCTGGCCTTGGCCTGGCTCAGCACTGTCACTGGCCTATTTGGAGAATGAACCAGCAGATGGTTGATCTTTGTCTCTCCCTCTCCATCACTATGTATTTCAAATCGAGTAAAAATAAATCTCAAAAAAAAAAAAAAAAAAAGAGAGAGAGAGAGATTTTATCACAGTTTCTTCTATTTTCTAAATTTCTGTCCTTTTCTATAGTTTGCCAGCTTTAGCTGTGAACATTTACAGTGACATCTAAAGAGGAGATCCTCTTTCCTACTGACTCACCTGGCCACTGACTTTTTGGGCAACGTGAGGGTTGCTTGTGGAGGAAGAATCAAACTACTAGTATCATCTGCTGGAGCATCCACTCTTACAGCTGGTAAGTTTCTGTCACTGGGTTTCTCTTCAGGGACATCTTAACAACAAGAACAACAACAACAAGGCAAAATCAGAGCTTGAATAATACCATATGAGTTTATCTATCTAGAACTTGTGTATTTGTAATACGAAAAGGAAGAATTGCTTTGAAGCTAAAGATAACAAAACTTACAAGGCTTTGTTGACAGTTGCTATGACAAACTTGCTTAACTTTAAATTATGTCTACTGGAACTTTGAAATTAAGTTTTTGGAACTTACGTTGAACAGCAAGGATAAAAAATGATAAAAATAAATATAAAAGTTTCACAATAGGACAATGTAAAACTTTTTCTCAATCTGTATACTATATTTAAAATGTCTTCAACAGACATCTTTCTTCTTATGTTTTAACAATTTAACCAAGATGAATCAAAACACTATGGTAAAAATATTTATTTTTAACTATTTACTATGAAACAGCAACAAAATAGCTGTAGCTATTATGTTATAGATGAGATTCAAATAGATGGAAAAGGCAGGAAAACAAAGAATAGCAATTATCAAATAGAAAAAAATACAAAAAGAAATGGCGCGTATGATTCTCCTTTCTGAATCTGAAGGAACAAGAAAGAAAAAAGCAAGAGGATAAAAAGGACAGTTAACAAAAGAAATGACCACATGGTTAAAAAAATCAATGAAAATAAAAATGCAATAAACTGCTTTAGGTATTAGCACTATACTCTCGTTATCGCTGCTGTTATTACTGTTACTAAAATTAAGAATAATTTATTTTATGCTCACTGGTTATTTGAGAGGAAGCAGGAGTCAACCAGCTTCACAGAATTCCAAAATGAAATAGACAGCTAACCTAGACAGGAGTTGAAAAATGAACTTGAAATTTATTTGGGCTAAGTAACTTTCCTAATTATTCAGTTTACAGAGTTACCTAATGAGATCAATTTCAGCACTGACTTTTAGGAAGTGATTCTCTGAAACATATACTTGTTTTTTAAAACATTCTCAAATCCCCCATATCCCATTATACTCACCCTGAGGACTGCTGACGTCTGCAAGCTGCCTCTGCGGTATCATCATTTGCGTCATTCCTGTCTGGGCGGATGGAATCACGCGAAGCACCTGTCCATTTTCTGATGTGCTGGCAACAAGCATCTTGGAGGATTTAAAAGAAAATCAAATGCATGTGCCTATACTGATTTCACAGACTGTTAAATTATTAAACACATGCCTATCTCTAATTGTTTCCAAGGCCCCACAACTGATAAATGGTGAAGCTAAGATTCAAAGCATGGCTGGTGCTGTGGCGTAGCGGGTAAAGCCGCTGCCTGCAGTGCAGGCATCACATATGGGCGCTGGTTCAAGTCCCAGCTGTTCCACTTCCAATCCAGCTCTCTGCTGTGGCCTGGGAAAGCAGTAGAAGATGGCCCAAGTGCTTGGGCCCCTGCACCCACGTGGGAGACCTGGAAGAAGTTCCTGGCTTCGGATCAGCGTAGCTCCAGCCGTTGAGGCCAATTGGGGAGTGAACCAGCGGATGGAAGACCTCTCTCTCTCTGCCTCTGCCTCTCCTTCTCTGTGTAATTCCAACTTTCAAATAAATAAATAAATCTTAAAAAAAAAAAAAGACCCAAAGCAAGCACCTTGACCCTCGTCTGAACCACCTATGGCCTTAATCATTATATATCCAAGTGGCCTAATGACTTAAAATCAGAACAAGGTTCCAATTAAGCTTTATACACTTACTTTTTGTTATTTATTATATTATTCATACATATTTGTGTGGCAATCATGTGTCCAATATTTTAAGTCAGTTTCATTCATTATTTTAAAAATGGTAACTTGTGGAGCTGGCGTTGTGGGATAGTAGATAAAAGCTGCTGCCTGCAATACTAGCATCCCATATGGCCATAGGTTCAAGTCCTGGCTGCTCCACTTTCGATCCAGCTCCCTGTTAATGGCCTGGGAAAGGCAGTGCAGGATGGCTTAACCGCTTAGGCCCCTGCCACCTAAATGAGAGACCCAAAAAAAGCTCCTGGCTTCAGCCTGGCCCAGCCCTGTCTGTTGTGGCCATCTGGGGAATGAACCAGCAGATGGAAGATCTTTCTCTCTCTCTCTCTCCCTCTCTCTGTGATGCTTTGCCCTTCAAATAAATAAATAATTTTTTTTTAAAAAAGGTGACATGTTAGATTTCTAGCCAAATGGCATTTTTTTAAAAAACATTTATTTATTATTTGAAAGGCAGAGTTAGAGAGAGGCAGAAGCAGGCAGAGAGAGAGAGAGAGAGAGAGAGAAAGAAAATCTTGCATCTGCTGGTTCACTCCCCAAATGTCTGCAATGGTCTGAGCCGGGCCCATCGAAGCCAGGAACCTGGAGCTTCTTCAGGTCTCCCATGCGGGTACAGGGGCCCAAGGACTTGGGTCATCCTCCACTGCCTTCCCAGGCCATAGCAGAGAGCTGGATTGGAAGTGGAGCAGCCAGGACTTGAACCAGCACCCATATGGGATGCTGGAACTGCAGGCAGCGGCTTCACCTGCTAGGCCACAGTGCCAGCCCCTAAACATCACTTTTTTAAAAATCTCTGCATTTATATACCTGTCTTGGTCCTTAAAGAATACTACAGAGTAACTAAAAAGTCTAAAAACAAAGGAGAAATATTGTATTTATTGTACTCTTCTTCAGTTTAGCAACTGAAAGCACTGTCTCAAATTTAGAGGAACTAAAAGCAACTAAAAAGACATCTGAAGTTGAAGAAAAATATTCTGATCCTCTATTTTGAAAATGTAACTAATATATTATTTGAAGGTAAGTCTACTGAATGGTCCCAGACTTTTTGGACACCATATACATTTTACCACATATCATATAGCTCTCCTGCTACTGTCTGTAGAAATTTGAGTCCCTTCCACTCCAAGCATTCTTTTTTTTAAGATTGATTGATTTATTTGAAAGAGTTACAAAGAGACAGAGGGAGATAGAGAGAGAAAGAGAGAGATCTTCCATCCATTGGTTCACTCTCCAGACGGCCCAATGGCCAGGCCTGGGCCAGACCAAAGCAGGATCCAGAAGCTTCCACCAGGTCTTCCATGTGGGTGGCAGGGGCCCAAACACTGGGTCATTCTCCACTGCTTTCCCAGGCACATTTGTAGGGAGCTGGATTGGAAGCGGAGCAGCCAGGAAACGAAACAGCATCCGTATGAGATGAGGGGTTGTAGGCTGGTGGCTTTACTGGCTACGCCACAATGCCAGATCTCATTTTTCTTCATTAAACATGGAGTCAAAAACATACTTCAGGCCGGCACTGTGGCTCACTAGGCTAATCCTCCGCCTTGCGGCGCCGGCACACCGGGTTCTAGTCCTGGTCGGGGCGCCAGATTCTGTCCCAGTTACCCCTCTTCCAGGCCAGCTCTCTGCTGTGGCCAGGGAGTGCAGTGGAGGATGGCTCAAGTACTTGGGCCCTGCACCCCATGGGAGACCAGGAGAAGTACCTGGCTCCTGCCATCAGATCAGCATGGCACGCCGGCCTCAGTGCGCCAACCATTGGAGGGTGAACCAACGGCAAAGGAAGACCTTTCTCTCTGTCTCTCTCTCTCACTGTCCACCCTGCCTGTCAAAAAAATAAATAAATAAAATAAACATACTGCAAACTATAAACTGAACAGCAATGGAAAAACAAGAAATTGTCACTCTTTTCCAGTCTATGTAATAAATAAATATAAACTCCAGTTGACTCAATCCTAATGCAGTAACAGCCTTGGTTGTATCCACATCTCAAAACACAGAGTATGTGCAAGACAAACAGAACTTCATTCTTTTTCCTTTGCTGTCACTTATTTATATACATAAATATAATATAAAGTACAATTTATATAAAACATATTCTATATGAATTAGAATTATAAAAATATAATTTTTTAAAAGACACAGTCTTCAAGGTTTATCTTTTTTGACTTAAGGCATAAATGAAATTGCACATTAATCCAAAGCTTAATTCTGAAATGAAATAGTTTAGTGTTATCAAACCCTGTTTGCATTTACATTACTTAAATTACACAGTATTTTATTTATGTTCTTGCTGTACATTTTAATGCTGTTCATGGACCGTGCAATTCCTAAGCAATCAGTCTTTGCCTACTGACAGTTATTAACAGTGTCATACAGAATCCAGATATTGAGCTCTGTTTCTCAGTTATCATTTTAGTTGAATGCATGCTGCTTAACTGTGTGGAAGATGCAATTCATTTTTGTTATCCAGCCTCCATGATGTGCATCTTTCATTTATTTCATGAAATATTCCAAACTTGATTGCTCAGTTTTATCTAAGGCTAGGCTCTTTCAAATATATGCAATGATATCAAAAGACTGTAATTCTGGCATTCCAGAGCCAAGTATTGAGAAAAGATTTATGATGAGATCGGCATGCTGACAAAAGGCTGGATAAGCTTTATTAACACATCTCCTAAAACCTCTCAAATTCTCTTGTCTTTGTGTATTCTTAGGCTCATTCACTAACTACTATAAAGAAATCTTAGGTCAATGGGCCAGCACAGTGGCACAGTAAGTAAAAGCCGCCACCTGCAGTGCCAGCATCTCATATGGGCGCCAGTTCAAGTCCTGGCTGCTCCACTCCTAATCCAGCTCTCTGCTATGGCCTGAGAAAGCAGTAGAAGATGGCCCAAGTCCTTGGGCCCCTGTACCCAAGTGAGAGACCTTGAAGAAGTTCCTGCCTTCTAGCTTTGGATTGGCCCAGCTCCAGCGGTTGCAACCATTTGGGGAGTAAACCAGTGGATGAACTCTCTCTCTCTGCCTCAACCTCTGTAACTCTGCCTTTCAAATAAATAAATCAATCTTAAAAAACAAAACAAAACAAAACAAAAAAACAAGAAATCTCAGGTCAAAACAAATGGTACATGTTCTTATTTATAACCAATTGTTTTTTCTTGAGATGCAAAATGTGTCCAAAATCTGTATGTAACAGTTGTCCACCATCTTTCACCTGATGTCACTATTGTGACACTCTCCAACTCCCAGACTCAAAGCAGTGACACAATCACCAGCACATGAACGTGAGAACAGGTCGGGGGCTGCATCATCTCTTCCTCCTTTGTTCTTGTCTTTGAGCCACTGATGCAGCGTGTGGCTGCTGAACTGCAGTGCACCTTTCAGGCCACCCTTGCACTCAATCTGCATGACAGTGTGAGAATTTCTCACCACTAAGTGACCACACAGTCACCAATTGACAGACAACCATAGGGTAACATCTGAAGATCAAAACCTTGATTTTGTCAGATATTTTCCATAATGTGAATAATTCGAAATGTGAGCACATCTTGCCGGAAATCACCCCTATTTTTAAAGATGATCTCGTTGTGAAAGAGTAACTCTGAAATGATGTATGGATTCTTCCAATTCAACCACAGTGGCCTTTTTGTAGAAGATATAATTCAACATTCTTCAAGCCTGAGATTTTGTAGTTGATGATCAGGGTTTAAAGGAGATAGAAAGCCATGCAGAACACCCATGAAGTCTGGTTGCCTCATCTGCTCAACTAAGAACCTCATTTGTACCTTTGGTGCCTCATCCTCTTCTCCTGTTTGAGACTGTCAGTCAAGTTAATGATCTTTTCCAGAACCTCAATTGCCTATTCAGGTGCTTTAAATATATGCCACATGCATGGCAGTAGGACTCCAAAAGCAGGCCAAACCTCTGACTTAACTTTCATTGTGCATCTCAGATTTTAAATGCCAAAAGAAAAAGTGTCCAATCTTTTGGTTAGAAGATGCTTTACTGAGTAAAAGTCTCACACGAAAATTACCAAATACTGCTCATATTTTAGCATCTGTACCAGCTGAACTGGGTATTGAGAAAGTTTGTCATCTGTTAAATATTTTTCCAAGTATCAAACAGCAAAAGCTCAAACCACCGGATCTGGGTAATTAGTCCAGGAGCTCCATAGTCTGCATAAGTTTGATTGGAGGTCAACCTTTGACCAAGCTGTACATCCGGGCTACTTCATCTCTAGAAATCCATTTCACAGACAAAAGCAATTTGGGTAGAATTGCTAGGATAGTTACACAATGTCTCTCGCTCAGTGATCTCAGATAGAGGATCTTGGGTGTAAATGGCTCAGAATTGTTCTTTATCATTTTCTCTTAATTCATTGTCCCAAACTTTTTTTTTTTAAAGATATATCCATTAGTTTACTTGAAAGGCAAAGCCGCAGAGAGAGAGAGAGAGAGAGAGAGATCCTCCATCAGCTGGTTCACTCTAAGATGGCTGAAGCTGGGCTAACTTGAAGCCAGGAGCCAGGAGCCTCCGCCAGGTCTCCCACGCAGGCGCAGGGACCCAAGAACCCAGGCCATCTTCTGCCTCCCTCCCAGGCCACAACAGAGACCTGGATTGAGAGTGGAGCAGCTGGGACCAGAACTGGCGCCCACATGGGATGTCAGCACTGCAGGAGGCAGCTTCAACCACCACGCCACAGTGCTGGCCCCTCTCCTTAAAAAAAAAAAAAAAAAAAAAAAAAAAAAAAAAAGATTTATTTATGTGTTTGAGAGGCAGAGTTACAGACAGAAAGAGAGGTCCTCCATTCCGCTGGTTCACTCCCCAAATGGCCGCATTGGCTAGAGCTGAGCTGATCTGAAGCCAGGAGCTTCTTCCAGGTCTCCCTCATGGGTACAGGGACCAAAGCACTTGAGCCATCTTCCACTGCTTTCCCAGGCCATAAACAGAGAGCTGGATTAGAAGAGGAGCAGCCGGGACACGAACCAGCATCGATATGTGATGCCAGCACTGCAGGCAAAAGCATAGTCTACTCCACCACAGCACCAGCCACCAAACTATTTCTTAAACAGTGTAGAATAGTCTCCTCCATTCTCTCCCTCTATAGCTTATTACACCTATTACCTTTAAACACTATTTTCAATCCATGTTATTTGACAATAATGATACTACATTTCTAATTTTTGCCATGAAAGCAAACAATATCAAGAGTCAGCTCTAGCAATATATCCTATCTCTGGCAGACCAGAAGACCTCAGCTGATTAGTCATAATATTTATTGACATCTTTGTGTATAATTTTTCTGCTCAATCCAGGATACCAGTACTACTTCACTCCACAACCTCCTCATCCATTGCAGATTCACTTACCACAGAAGTTTTACTACTTCCTTGACAGCTTCTATATAAAAAGTCACATGGTAGGGAAGGGTGTTGTAGTGTGGCAGATTAAGCCACCACTGGGACACCTACTCCCACATTACTCTGCTTCCAATCCAGCTTCCTGCTAATGAATTCCGGGAGGCAGCAGATGATGGCTAAATATCTCTCTTGGCACAAGCATTTGAAAGGTGAACCAGCAAAAGAGTCTTTCTCTTCTCTTACTCTGCCTTTCAAATAGATGATGAACATTTTTAAAAACGCCTTATGGCAGGGGTGGGTATTTGGTGTACTGGTTAAGACCACTGCATTCCACATCCTAGTGCCTGGGTTTTGATACCTGGTTCTGGCTCCTGATTCCAATTTCCTGCCAAATGCAGACCCTGGGAGGCAGCAGTGATGGCTCAAATAAGTGGATTCCTGCCACTCATGGTGAGTCCCTGGTTCCTGCGTTCAGACTGAGCCAGTTTTGATCGTTGCAGCTATTTGGGAAGTGAAACTAGTGGATGGGTGCTCTTTCTATATATATATATGTCTCTGTCTCTCAAAATAAATAAAACTTCTAAAAAGTAATATTGCAAAAAAAAAAGTGATATTTCTCTCAGAAAATTCCCCTTGATGGGGGATGTTGATAATGAATGAGTCTATGTATGTGTCTGAGGACAGGGAGTATATATACATTGATATCTCTGTACCTTCAGCTCAGTTTGGTTGTGAATCTAAAAGTGCTGTAAAAAATAAAGTCTATTAAAACAAGCTAAACAAAAAACCTCACTAAGTTTCCCAAAATATTTTCAGTTATTTTAAGATAATTATTATTTTATTAAATTTATTTCCAAGTTTCATACCATATATTTTTTACTTGAAAAACTCTTTGAGCCATCTACTACTTCAATATCTTTATAACCAATTTATATAGATAGAAAGTTTAATCTCCAACTACAAAGTGTATGGTAACACAACTTTTTTTTTCAAATAAAATAAATTTGCTTTTAAGGGAAAATATAAAATGTAAAATGATTGTCATTTATACATCTGGATTCCCTGATTCTTCTGTTGGAACAGACTTTTCTTTTGGATTTACTTATTTATTCGAAAATCAGCATTAGAGAGAGAAGGAGAGACACAGAGAATCTTCTAACCACTGGTTCACTCCCCAGATGGCCACAACAGCTGGGCCAGGCTAAAGCCAGGAGCTTCAACCAAGTCTCTGACATGGGTGGCAGGGGCACAAGCACTTGGGCCATCCTCCACTACTTTTCCCAGGCCATTAGCAGGTAGCTAGATCACAACTAGAGCAGATGGTACACAAACCAGTATCCATATGGGATGCTAACGTTGCAGGTGATGGCTTTACCCGTTATGCCATAATGCTGGCCCCACTGTACAGACTTTCTAACTGTTCTGACAGAAATCACAACAAATGTTGTATATTAGGGAAAACTGACAGAGTATTTAGTCTGGAACATGAGAAATTAAACACAGTTGGTTCACATCTAGATTATCTGTTGCATAGTAATTTCTGTTGGTGCAGTATGGTCATGGCAGCTTACGCTTTTTCTTTGCTTTTCAGTCCTGGTGTAGGCCCAGAAATACATTGAGCCTGAATATAAACACAGGAGACTGCTCTACACTTAGCCATTTGTCAACCAATTATGCTCAACCCCAGAATCCCGGTAGCTCAAAATAGCTGTATCATAATGCATCAAAATAGCATAGGTGAGGCCGGCGCCGCAGCTCACTAGGCTAATCCTCCACCTTGCGGCGCCCGCACATCGGGTTCTAGTCCCGGTCGGGGCGCCAGATTCTGTCCCAGTTGCCCCTCTTCCAGGCCAGCTCTCTGCTATGGCCCAGGAGTGCAGCGGAGGATGGCCCAAGTCCTTGGGCCCTGCACCCCATGGGAGACCAGGAAAAGCACCTGGCTCCTGCCATCGGATCAGCACGGTGCGCCGGCCGCAGCGTGCCGGCCGCGGCGGCCATTGGAGGGTGAACCAACGGCAAAGGAAGACCTTTCTCTCTGTCTGTCTCTCTCTCTCTCTCTCTCACTGTCCACTCTGCCTGTCAAAAAAAAAAAAAAAAAAATAGCATAGGTGAACTCTAGAACATTTTAGACTAGAATCAGAAACAAAGATTCATTCCAGGTAAAATGGCTTCTTATCTGTGGTAACTGTAGAAATTTGGAAAACTCAATTAACTCTCCATAGTATTAGTTATATATGTACATTATACATACTTATATGTATATTATACAAGTATAAATAAGTATATATGCATAATGTATAACATGTATGTATAATACATATGTATTATTATTATACATACTTATGTATAACAATTATTATTAAACATTAATTTTAATAATAATCATTATTATTAAAAACAGTTATTATTAAACAGAAATTTTCCTTATTTTTTAAAAAGATTTTATTTTAATTTATTTGAAAGGCAGAGCAACAGAGGGTGGGGGTGGCAGGGGTAGACAGAGAGAGAGAGCTCTTCGGCCCACTGATTCACTCTACAAATGGTTACAATGGCTGGGGCTGGATCAGAACAAAGTCAGGAGCCCAGAAGTCCATCCAAGTCTCCCCTGTGGGTGGAAGGGGCCCAAGTACTTGGACCACCCTCCACTGCTCTCCTATGCTCAATAGTAGGAAGCTGGATTGGAAGTGGATCAGCCAGGATTTGAACCAGCACTCAAGTCAGGAGCCAATGTCATAGATGGAGACTTAAACCTGCTGAGCCACAATGTCAATCCCCCTTATTTTAATTAAGGGCATCATTCATCATACTCAAACTACGAACTTGGACAAAAATCTTTTTAGCTAACAGTTTAAGGCATTTTTCTTTTTCCATCTTTACGTATTTTTATTCACATGACACATGCATATCTACTATAAAGATCAAGGCTATGTCTAATTCCCAGTATATCAGTGGTATCTCCATTGCTTTTTCTTTAAGAAAGCACACAAGCATTTCACAGACATTCAGTCTAATGTGTATATCAATAAAAACATAAATTACATGTAAACTGCCACATTTTAGCACTAGAGATTATGCTGTATTTTCAACTGATCTCAAGGCACCAGTATGCCTAGACATAAGTGGCTATGAAAATATTAAGGGCCAGCGCCGCGGCTCACTAGGCTAATCCTCCACCTTGCGGCGCCCGCACACCAGGTTCTAGTCCCGGTCGGGGCGCCGGATTCTGTCCCGGTTGCCCCTCTTCCAGGCCAGCTCTCTGCTGTGGCCAGGGAGTGCAGTGGAGGATGGCCCAAGTCCTTGGGCCCTGCACCCCATGGGAGACCAGGAGAAGCACCTGGCTCCTGCCTTCGGATCAGCATGGCCATTGGAGGGTGAACCAATGGCAAAGGAAGACCTTTTTCTCTCTCTCTCTCACTGTCCACTCTGCCTGTCAAAAAAAAAAAAAAGAAAAGAAAATATTAAACTACTAATTATAGTTCTAATGGGAAATCTTTTAAAATCTTTACATAAAAATTAAAGTCATGGAAACAGTATTTTTAGTACCATGTAAGCCAATAATTCAATTATGAAGCCAAGAAATTAACACTGTCTAGTAAAGCTAGTACACTTTGCTAAATAGAATAAAACTGGTTATTCATAAAATATACTTACCATTTGTGCATTAGAATCCCCCAGTGTCTGAAGTTCGTATTGAATAGGTTGGCCATTTTGGTCCACTAGATGGAACTGCTCTGTAGAAAGAGTCTGCGTCTGAGTCAGAGGCCCTGCGATATTCTGTGATGTAGGTGAATTATTTGCCTCAGGAGTAGGGATGGGCAAAACTGCAGGAGAATCATTTTGTCCAAAGGAAGTATCCCCAGAGTCCATACAGGTTAGATGCTTTTGCAGAGAAAAAAAAATCACTTTAGTCTTTGTAAGAGGTATCCTATTTTTTGAAAAATAGAACATGTACAATAAACATGTAAAGACATTTATTTTTAGTTAACTGTTCATTTTACTTTTTGTAAGAGTTGCCATTTCTCATACTGAAAGTATTTAAGTTACATTATTGATTTTTATTCTATAATCTCAATTTTATCAACATAAAATTATCCACAGAATGCAGCCCAAAATGATCAAGTATAATTCCATATACACATCTTTATTGGCATATAAATTTTTGTTAATATGTTTAAGCATTACTTTAAAGCTCTGTATCATAAAATTAAATATATAATAGAATATGTGGATAAATATTAAACTCTTGAATCATAAAACATAACAATTTCTTAAGCATAAAAAACTGTTGAATGCCATGCTATTTTTCTCTAGAACAGAAAAAAAAGCCTTACCTCAAATTCTTGAGCATCTGTTTTTGAATCTTCAACATCATTATGGTTGACTTGTAATGCATCATTACACTGTTCCATGCTGACATCTTACTCAATTCCATTTTCTTCTATTTAATAGCTATAAGAGTTTAAATATCTAATCAATCAAAATAGTTAACTTTTTTAAGAATGATTTATTTATTTACCTGAAAAGCAGAGAGAGAGTTATCTTCCATCTGTTCACTTCCCAAATGGCCTCAACAGCAGGAGCTAGGCAAAGCCAAACTTCATCCAGATCGTATGTCAGGGCAGGGGGCCCAGTACTTGAGTCATTTTCCACTGCTTTCCCAGACGCATTAGCAGGGAGCCAGATGGGAAGTGGAGCAGCCAGGACTAGAACTGGCAGCCATATAGTTGCAGACAGCAGTTTAACCCTCTGCACCACAACACTGGCCCCCAGTTAACATCTTTTCTTTTCTTTTTTTTAATTTGACAGGCAGAGTTAGACAGTGAGAGAGAGAGAGACAGAGAGAAAATTCTTCCTTCCATTAGTTCACCCCCAAAATGGCTGTTACGGCCGGAGCTACACCTATCCGAAGCCAGGAGCCAGGAGCTTCCTCCTGGTCTCCCATGCAGGTGCAGGCACCCAAGCACTTGGGCCATCCTCCACTGCCTTCCCAGGCCACAGCAGAGAGCTGGACTGGAAGAGGAGCAACTGGGACTAGCACCTGGCGCCAATACGGGATGCCAGCGCCGCAGGCAGAGGATTAACCAAGTGAGCCACAGTGCCAGCCCCCCCAGTTAACATCTTTTAAAAAGATTTATTTATTTGTTATTTATTTATTAAAAGTAGAATGACAGAGAGAGAGAGAGAGAGAGAGAGAGAGAAAGAGAGAGAGAGATTTACACACACAGAGAGAAATATATCTTCCATCTGCTGGCTTACTTCCCAAATGGCTAGAATATCTGAGGCCAGGCCATGCCAAACCCAGAAGCCAGGAACTCCATCTGGGTCTCCCAAGTGGGTGGCAGGGACTCAAGTACTTGAGCCATCATGTGCTACTTCCTAGGTACACCAGCAGGAAGCAAGATCAGAAGCAGAGTAGCTGGGACTCCAGGACTCAATCCAACACTCTTATATAGAAGACAGATATCCCAAGTAGTAGTTTAATCTGTTGTGCCCAGCACTTAGCTTTTTTTTTTTTTTTAAGATTTTTATTTTATTTATTTGGAAATGAGAGTTACATAAAGAGAGAAAGAGAGGGGGGTGGAGAGGGAGAGAGAGAGATCAATTTTCCATCCGTTGGTTCATTCCTCAGATGGCTGTAACAGCTAGGGATGGGCTAAGCCTAAACTAAAGAGCTTCATCCAGGTCTCCCACAAGGCTGGCAGGGGTCCCAAACACTTGGACCATCTTCTGCTACTTTTCCCAGGCCATCAGCAGGGAGTGGATCCAAAGTGGAGCTGACGGGACATGAACTGGCATCCATATGGGATGCTGATGTCACAGGGATTGGTTTTATCTGCTATGCCACAATGCTGGCCCTGAGCACTTAGCATTTTTATAGAATATTTTGTGTTACAGAAATCTCTCATCCTAATTTGGTTTCTTATTGTACAATTTAGGTGAAAAATTTCCATGCTATATAGGTAAGAAAAGTAACACTTTTGGGGCCGGCGCCATGGCTCACTTGGCTAATCCTCCACCTGCGGCGCCAGCACCTCATATGGGCTCCGGGTTCTAGTCCCGGTGCCCCTCTTCCAGTCCAGCTCTCTGCTGTGGCCTGGGAGAGCAGTGGAGGATGGCCCAAGTGCTTGGGCGCCTGCACCCGCGTGGGAGACCAGGAGGAAGCACCTGGTTCTTGGCTTCAGAATGGCGTAGCTCTGGCCATAGAGGCCATTTTGGGGGTGAACCAACGGAAGGAAGACCTTTCTTTCTGTCTCTCTCACCAACTCTGTCAAATAAAAAGAGGAAGGAAGGGAGGGAGGGAGGGAGGGAGCAAACACTTTTATTAAATGACTTGCCAAGGATGGGCATGTGATGGAGTATTGAAGCCACTGCTTGGGATGCTAGCATCCAGTACCGGAGCGTTGGTTTGTGTCCTGGCTACTTCACTTCTGATCCATCTTAGAGCCAATGCCCACCCTGAGAGGTAGCAGATGATACCTCAAATACTTGGGTCCCTGCCACCCATGCAGAATTATGCAAAGCAAATAAAGTTCTGGGCTTTTGACTTTGGTCAGACCTGGCCCTGGCTGTTATGGGCATTTGGGAAGTGAAAGAGCAGTTGGAAGATCTCTTTCTCTCTCCCTTTCAAATAAAATTAAAATTTAAATGACTTTCCAAGGCACCAGAATACATTCAAAGAAGAGCAGATTGGTATGATGTAATCCCTTTATTCTACCCTTAATTATACTCCTGTACTGGCTTATTAAAATTGCTTTTATGTGACAGGGTGCTGGTACACCCTTTCATATATTTCTATTTTTTTAATGTTTATTTATTTTCATTTACTTGATAGGCAGAGCAAAAAAGAGAGAGAGGGGAAGAGAGAGAGAAAGAAATATTTTCCAACCACTGCTTCAATTCCCAAATGCCCTAAGCAACCAGAAGCCAGGGATTCCAGCCTGGTCTCTCACATGGTAGCAAGGACCCAAGAACTTGAGCCATCATCTGCTGCCTCTCTGTATCCACTAGCCGGAAGATGGACTGGAAGTGGAATACCTGGGACTCAAGCCAGAACTCCACTAAGGGATGCAGGTATTCTGAGCAGCAGCTAAATCCACAGGGCCACAATGTCCATCCTACTATACTTCTAAAACATTCATTTTATAAAGATTTAATGCAAATAAAGTTTTTAAGTTTATGAGTTGAGTGTTCTCTATTGTAACACAGAATTTTAGAAAAGATGTCTTACTCCCCTTCCCAAAGACACCCCTTTTCAGCACGAAGCAGCCAGAGCGATCATCTTCCAGTCCCACCTAACAGATGTTAGGGGTTCAATCTTTGGGAGGTAGGAGTGTGAGAAGTCAGAAGGGTTAATAGGTAGTCAGGGATCCCAATGGAATTTGGGGTGTAAAATATTTGCTTCCTTCCCCAAAACTTTATCTTTAGCAAGAACAAACAAGCTACCAGCCCTCCTTCCTTCAGAATCTCCAAATTTACCATGAGAACAGGAAGGGAGTTCTTCCTGAGCTCACAGCTTACTATCCCACCCTTGGCAGGCCAGACAGGATGGAGAACTGTAAATGAGGTCTTTTGATGGCTTTTGTCCTCCCTGCCTGGAAACTGAATGCCAATATGATTGTCAGGCTTTTTTTTTTTTTTCCATCAAAATTGTACTTAAAAAGCCCACTACCACCAATCCTTTTGGGTTTTCCTCTCTTGGAAGACCCCCCCCCTCCTCGATGCCCTCTGGCTAGATGTCCTTGATTCTAATAAATACTTTTCAATCTCAAAAAAAAAAAAAGTCTTAGAGTAGATGGGGGTAATGTTTACAGTTGTCTACCCAAATCCCTGGAAGATACCTTCCAAGACCCCCAGTGGATGTCCGACAACCTCAGATAGTACTGAAGGCTACATTTATAGGGTATTTTTCCTATATAGGCATACCTATGAGATAAAATTTAATTTAAAAATTAGGCACAGTGAGAGATTAGCAGCAATAACTAATTTCAATGGAAATTTATAGCCTTAAACTCTCATTATAGGACAAAGGATACAAAATTTCAGATATACAGGAGGAATAGGGTTAAGAGAACTACTGCATATCATGGTGATTAAATTATAAACTCTATTGGGTATCCAAGAACTGCTGACAATGTAAAATTTTAAGTGTTATCACCACAAAAAACTAAGTATACAAGGTAATAAATGTTAATTGGCTTAATTTAGCCATTCCTCCATGTATACATACTCAACACATAATATACACTGTAAACTATGTAACTTCTGCTTAAAAAATAAATTTTTTTAAAACCAGGTTTCTATGGGAAAGAAAAAAGACTGAATTAACAAGCTAGGTATTCAACTAGAGAGTCAGAAAAACAAGAAATAAAAACACATTAAGGGGGCCAGCACTGTGGGTTAGCGGGTAAGGCCACAGCCTGCAGTGCTAGCATCCCATATGGGCACCTATTCGAGTCCCAGCTGCTTCACTTCCGATCTAGCTCTCGGCTATGGCCTGGGAGAGTGGTAGAAGATGGCCCAAGTTCTTGGGCCCCTGCATCCACGTGGGACACCAGGAAGAAGCTCCGGGCTCCTGGCTTCGTATCAGCGCAACTCTAGCCATTGCAGCCAATTGGGGAGTGAACCAGTGGATGGAAGACCTTTCTCTCTCTCTCTCTCTCTCTCTCTCTCTCTCTCTCTGCATCTCCTTCTCTCTCTGTGTAACTTTGACTTTCAAATAAAGAAATCTTTAAAACACACACACACACACACACACACACACACATTAAGAAGGAAGCCCAGGGCTGGTGCTGTGGCATAGCAGGTAAAACCACTGCCTGCAGTGCTGGTATACCATATGGGGATGGTTCAAGTCCTGGCTGCTCCACTTCTAATCCAGCTCTAGGCTATGGCCTTGGAAAGCAGTAGAAGATGGCTCAAATCTTTGGACCCCTGCACCTGCATGGGATACCCAGAATAAGCTCCTGGCTCCTGGCTTTGGATCAGCCAAGCTCCAGCCGTTGTAGCCATCTGGGGAGTGAACCAGTAGGTGGAAGACCTTTCTCTGACTCTGCCTCTGCCTCTCTGTAACTCTCTAACTTCCAAATAAATAAAAAAAAAAAAAAAGAAAGAAAAAAAAGGAAGCCCATAATAAACAGTGTAATCCAATGAAAGAGCAAAAAAGACACAATAGAGGTCAATAATGCCACAAGTTATTTCTCTGTAGAAAGAAGAAAAGACAGACAAGGAAGGAAGAAAGGAAAGGAGAGGAGGGGAGGGGAGGAGGGGGAAGAGGAGACAAGAGGGAAAGGAAAAAAGAGCTTCTGGGGCCAGTGGTGTGGCGTAGCAGGTTAAGCTGTGGTACCCATATGGGTACCAGTTTGTGTCCCAGCTGCTCCATTTCCTATCCAGGTCCCTGCTAATGTGCCTGAGAAAGCAGCAGGAAGATGGCCCAAGGACTTGGGCCCTTGCCACTCACATAGGACACCTGGATGGAATTCCTGTTCCTGCCTTTGGCCTAGCCTGGCCTGGCCTTAGGCTGTTGAGGTTACTTGGAGAGAGAACCAGAGGATGGAAGGCATCTCTCTCTCTCTGCTTCTGCCTCTGCCTCTCTCATAAATAAATAAATAAATAAATCTTTAAAAAAAGAACTTATCAAAACAAATGCCAGAAGAAACATAATTGATGAACAGCCCTATATAAGTTAAAGAAGCTGAATGGAAAGTAAACAGTGTTCCTATAGTGTTCCCAAGTCATGACATATTTATAGGTAAGCATTTAAAAACTAAGTAACTTCAATTTTATATAAACTTCTCTACAGTGTAAAGATATATTACTCCCAACTCATTCTATAAGGAAAGTATAAATTGGATGTCAAAATTGACAAGCACAGTATAAGAAAGAAAAACCATGGTTCAATTTTAATCATTATATTAATCATGTTTTCAGGTTTTTGTGTATGATATTTTGATCTCTGAGGTCTTGCTGACCAGGGAAGGACTACTTGTCCAAGGATTAACTAATTTGATGGCAAAGTCCCTCCTATATAAACTTGCCTTTCTTACGCAAGTAACCAACCAACTAAGAGCAGCCAATACACCCTGGAATTATCTGAACTAACTAATCCTAGACCTGTTAGCCCGTTTACTCACTGCATTGCTCATTCCCACCCAGGAAATGACCAAAAAGGTTCCCTTGCTGTACCATGTCCCACCTGTCTGCTACCAACCTTGGTGTTCTTTTGAATGGCCCTGTACTGGGCGGCATGCTCCCCTCCTCCTAGGAACTGTGATGAGCAAACTATCTTTCCAATAGCATTCCTCTCCTGATCTGTCGGCTTCACCATACCTGAAGAGAAATAAAATTTATTTTGTACAATTGTAAGCATACAAACACAAAAATCCTAAATAAAATCTTCTTAAAATTTTTATTTAATTTACTTGAAAGGCAGAATAACAGAAACAAAAGGAAAGATAAAGAAAGAGATTTCCTGCTCATTGGTTTACTCCCTAAATAGCCACCATTTTCTGCTGCTTTTCCAAGGCACTTTAGCTGGGAGCTAGATTAGAAGGGGAGCTGGGTTACAAGTGGAATAGCCAGGACTCAAGCAGCAAGTACTTGAACTGGCACCCATATGGGATGCCAGAGTCGGAGGTAGCATCTTAATCTGCTACACCACAACACCAGCCCTTGGTCAACTGCTTTTTGACAAAGGTACCAAGGCAATCATAAGAAAAAGAACGTTCTTTTTATCAAATGGTACAAAAAGGGGGAAAAAAAAAACCTAAATAGCTATATGCATAACAATAAACTTTGACTGCTCCACAACACATAAAAAATGAACTTAAAGTCAATCATAGGCACCAGTTCATGTTCCAGAAATTCCCTAACTCCCTGCAAATGGCCTGAATAAAGCAGCAGAAGATGGCCCAAGTGCTTGCGCCCCTGTCACTCATGTGGGAGTCCTGGAAGAAGCTCCAGGCTTCAGCCTAGCCCAGCCCTGGTTGTTACAGAAATCTAGGGAGTGAATCAGTGGATGGAAGCTCTCTCTCTGTCTCTCCTTCTCTCGCTGTAACTCTTCCAAATAAATGAAAAACTAAAAACAAAACTCCTACAAGAAAACATGCGAGAAAATCTTCATGATCTTGGGCGTGGCAAAGATGACAAACACTAAACAAAAGCCACACAATATAAAAGTTGAAAATTTATAAAAGTTAAAAATCTAGAACAGGCATTGTGACACATGGGATTAAACTACCCATCTGGGAAGCCGGCATCTCAAATCAAAATGCTGGTTCAAGCCCTGGCAATTCTGCTTCCAATCTAGGTTCCTGCTAATGTACCTGGGAGGCAGATTACCATCCAAGTACTTGGGTTCCTGCTATGTGCATGGGACACCTGAATGTAATTCCTGGTTCCTGGCTTTGGGCTGGCCCAGCCCTGGCTATTAAAGGCATCTGGAGAGTAAACCAGCAAATGGAAGATATCTCCATATCTGTCTCTCCCGCTCTCTGTCACTCTGCCTTTTAAATGCATACACATACACATAAATCTTTTTTCAAAAAAGATAAAAATGTGTAACTTCAACTTCATAAAAATTTAAAACGTTTGCTCATTAAAAATGGGGAAAAAATCCAAAAAACATATACCTGACTTACATGCAAACTCTGTAAACAGCAGTTAGAACTCAACAATAAAACATCCCAGTTTTTTTAAAAACATGCAAAATATTTGAAGAGATACTTCACTAAAGAGGTACAGCTAGTAAATAGGCATACAAAAACATGCACATAAGCACTAGTCATCAGGCAAATGGAAATTAAAACAACACTGCAAAACCACTATATACCTATTACAATATTTAAAATTAAAAAGATGGGGGTAGGGGTTCAGCTTCACAGTTGGACCGCTGGTTGTGATGCCTGCATTCAGACTGCCTGAGTTAAAGCACCTCTGCCACCCATGTAAGAGGCTTGGGTCAAGCTCCTGGTCCACAGCTTCAGACCCCCTACTGCCACTGCAGGAATTTAAAAGGTGAGGGGCTGGCACCATGGTGCACATTAATCCTCCGCCTGCAGCGTCGGCATCCCATATGGGCTCCGGTTCTAGTCCCAATTGCTCCACTTTGAATCCAGCTCTCTGCCATGGCCTGGAAGAGCAGAAGATGGCCCAAGTCCTTGGGCCCCTGCACCTACATGGGAGACCCGGAAGAAGCGCCTGGCTCCTGGCTTCAGATGGGAGCAGTTCCAGCAGTTCCGGCTGTTGCAGCCATCTGGGGAGTGAACCAGCAGATGGAAGACCTTTCTCTCTGTCTCTCCCTCTCACTGTCTGTAACTTTACCTCTCAAATAAAATAAATAAAATCTTAAAAAAAAAAAAAAAAGAAAGTTACACTTCCAGGAGAGGGCCTTAGATTTAGATAAGTGGGAATATGCTTTTATGATTATATTTAGACTGTAAACCTCAAAATATGCCCGTACAATGAGCCATATGCCCTATCAGCACAAATAAATGATTTTAAAAAAGAGAGAGAGAGAGAGAGAGAGAGAGAGAGAGAGAGAGAGAAAGCAATCAGGCTTAGTGTTAGCTAAAACCAGTAACAAACTCATACAAGGAGAAAGTCATAATCTGAGTATCCATAAAAGAAACTGAATCAGTAAATAATAACCTTCCAAAATAGAAGGCATCACACCCATTCAGTTTCATGTGGCAGCAGGTTAACCCACTACCTGCACTGGCATCCCATATGCCAGTGTGAGTCCCAGCTGCTCTGCTTCTGCTTCAGCTTCCTGCTAATGTACCTGGGAAGGCAGCAGAAGATGGCTCAAATACCTGGGCCCCTGCAACTCAAATGGGAGAGCACCATGGAGTTCCTGGCTCCTGGCTTTGGCCTGGCCCAGTCCTGGTTATTGTGGCCATTTGGGCAATAAACCAGCAGATGAAAGATCATTCTCTCTCCCTCTGTCTTTCAAATAAAGAAATAAAAATGAATCCTTTTCATTTTTTAAAAAAAGCATTTTTAAAGTCATAAATACTCTGAAAAAATAATTTGAATGTACTGAAAAGAATTACTCTTTCCTCTCTGTTTTCTTCCATCAGTTTGCATTACCTTTCAATCTTGACAACTTCAGGGAGACATAGATTTTCTCACCTATCCTCAAGTGTCAATACATGATATAAGCTATCATCCCTGAATCCCAACTAACTCTGTCAAAAGAAAATGTTGAAGAATTAAGATAGTAATATTAAATATGTATTTTTTTCCAACTAGTAGTCTCAAATAGAACAAGGTACCCATATATATAATTTGACTTTTTCATTAATATGTAATAGACAACAGTTAGCATTAGTGAGGCTATAACTTTTGAGAAGTTAAAAGTAAGATTATTACCTTCAGGCAGTGGCTCAAGTCTAAATGGCCGGCCTTCAACATTCTACTGCCCCCAGAAATGCCCCTTCTTATCCATTGAAGTTCCTCCTTTTGGGGGCATTAAATCATGATAGTTGTAGCTTCTTTTATGCAAGAGCTACAGCTGTGTCTTCACAGTGGCGTTGCTTTCTGTAATGAGAAAGTATTCAATCTAAAGATGAGAGAAATTTTAGAAATCCTACCTCTAAAGAAAATGACTAGATCTCGTGATGCAGATTTTAGTTAGTTGTGCTCAGTCTCAGATGGTAGAACCATCAGCAGATCCAGCTGAGAGAACTACAGATCATGACTAACTCTAGAGAGAACTCTGTGTGTCTTGAATTAGATGATTTCACCTCTCCACGCCTGTCACCTTACCTAAAATTAGGGAATCTGAATAAGCTTTGGTTTCAATTCTCACATTTTATAATTACCACTGAAACAAAGACCCCTGTAGCAAATTACATTTCTTCCCCCTCAGTGAAAATATTTACTAACAGGGTATCCTCTTTTGGAGGCACAAGAAGCTAGAAAGTAAAAGCTCCCCTATTCAGTAACCTAGAGTTGACAAACTTTTCTTAAGCAAAAAATACTAGGACTGGGTAAAGGGAGCAGAAAGAAGAAAATAATAAAAAATTAAGTCCAGGTGATTAATAATGATTGGATTTCAGAAAATACCCTACAGGAATCTGGCGCTGTGGCTTAGCAGCTAAAGCTGCCACCTGCAGGGTCCGCATCCCATGTGGGCACCGGTTCTAGTCCCAGCAGCTCCACTTCTGATCCAGCTCTCTGCTATGGCCTGGGAAAGCAGCAGCAGATGGCCTGAGTCCTTGGGCCCCTGCACCCGTGTGGGAGATCTGGAAGAAGCTCCTGGCTTCGAACTGGCCCAGCACCAGCTGTTGCAGCCATTTGAGGAGTGAACCAGCAGATGGAAGACTTTTCTCTCTCTCTCTCTCTCTCTGCCTTTCAAATACAGAAATAAATCTTTTTAAAAAATACCCTACGTAGCCGGCGCCGTGGCTCAATAGGCTAATCCTCCACCTTGCGGCGCCGGCACACCGGGTTCTAGTCCCGGTCGGGGCGCCGGATTCTGTCCCGGTTGCCCCTCTTCCAGGCCAGCTCTCTGCTATGGCCAGGGAGTGCAGTGGAGGATGGCCCAGGTGCTTGGGCCCTGCACCCCATGGGAGACCAGGAAAAGCACCTGGCTCCTGGCTCCTGCCAGGATCAGCGCGGTGCGCCGGCTGCAGCGGCGGCCATTGGAGGGTGAACCAGCGGCAAAGGAAGACCTTTCTCTCTGTCTCTCTCTCTCACTGTCCACTCTGCCTGTCAAAAAAAAAAAAAAAAAAAAAAAAAAAAAAAATACCCTACGTAATTAAATTTTGCTAACAAATTGCTTCCTAGAATGCTTTGCATTACATTACAAAAGTGGATTTTATCTTACATCAAAAAATTAGGAAAAAACTAAAATTCATGCTTCTGTTTTTTGATGTACAGAATGAAGGAGCTCTTTTGATTTACACCTAGCAAACACATGACAGGGGAAGAGACTATTCAGGTTGTAATCACCCATCTCCATGAAGGACCATACTTGGGTTACTGCAGTTCTGATTTTATTCTATTTGTTGAAAAACTTGAATTTCTCAGGTGTATACATTTATAAAAAATTTATCTTGGGGCTGGCGTTGTAGCATAGAGGGTAAAGCCCCTGCCAGTGACATCAGCATCCCATATGGGTGCCAATTCAGGTACTGGCTGCTCCATTTCACAATCCAGCTCCCTGCTAATGTGCCTGGGAAAGCAGCAAAAGATGGCCTAAGTGCTTGGGCCCCTGCACCCACATGGGACACCTGGAAGAAGCTCCTGGCTCCTGGCTTCAGCCTGGCCTACTCCTGGCTGTTGTGACCCTTTGGGAAGTGAACCAGCAGATGGAAGATTCTCTCTTTCTCTCTCACTGTAATTTCAAATAAATAAAATAAATCTTAAAAAAATTATCTTTACATCTGATTATGTTGAACTTCCCCGAATAGATTTCTGTATATTAAATTGTACCTGTTAAAACTAAACAATTTGCCGGCGCCGTGGCTCAATAGGCTAATCCTCCGCCTGTGGCACCAGCACACCGGGTTCTAGTCCCGGTCGGGGCGCCGGATTCTGTCCCGGTTGCCCCTCTTCCAGGCCAGCTCTCTGCTGTGGCCCAGGAGCGTAGTGGAGGATGGCCCAAGTCCTTGGGCCCTGAACCCCATGGGAGACCAGGATAAGCACCTGGCTCCTGCCATCGGATCAGTGTGGTGCGCTGGCCGCGGCGGCCATTGGAGGGTGAACCAATGGCAAAGGCAGACCTTTCTCTCTGTCTCTTTCTCTCACTGTCCACTCTGCCTGTCAAAAAAAAAAAAAAAAACAAAAAAAAAAACAAAACAAAACTAAACAATTTGAGGGACTGACGCTGTGGTGTAGCAAGTTAACGCCCTGGCCTGAAGTGCTGGCATCCTATATGGGCACGTGTCCGTGACTTGGCTGCTCCACTTCCGATCCAGCTCCCTGCCATGGCCTGGGAAAGCACTAGAGGATGGCCCAAGTCCTTGGGCCCCTGGACCCATGTGGGAGACCTGGAAGAAGCTCCTGGATCCTGGCTTCAGATTGATGCAACTCCAGCCATTGTGCCCAATTGGGGAGTGAACCATCAGATGGAAGACCTCTCTCTCTGCCTCTCCTGTGTAACTCTTTCAAATCAATAAATAAATCTTTATAAAAAAATTGTGCTTAAAAAAACTAAACAATTTGAGAAAAAAATCTCTAAATATGGTAACTGAATGATGAGGTCACTTGAAGTTTAAAGTCTCTTTTAATTCCAGGTACCTAGACTAATGTCCCAAGATTTAAAGGGTCTTGAAATGTATTCAATATTAGTGTATCATCTTATTAACAACATTAAAAAATACTGTTAAAAAGTACTTTTGAAAATAAAATTTCTTAGGCCAATATTGTGGCACAGTGGGTTACTTTGTGTCCTGGCTGCTCCACTTCTGATCCAACTCCCTGCTGGTGTGCCTGGAAAAAGCAATGGAAGATGGTCCATGTACTTGGGCCTCGCCACTCACGTGGGAGACCTGGATGGAGTTTCAGGCTCCTGGCTTCAGCCTGGCCAAGCCTCAGACACTGCAGCCATTTAGGGCATGAACCAGAGGATGGGAGATCAGTAACTCTGCCTTTCAAATAATAAATAAGTCTCTTAAAACTTTGGAAAAAGAAAGAAAATGTCTCTCATCTTTTAGAGGTGGGTGAATGATATGTTTCTTTTATAGTAAGTACAAATGTACTATGAATCAGGTTGTCAAAATTAAATGAAGACTCAATTTACAAATATTTTAATGGGATCATTTCTTTTAAAGATGAGTTTTAAAAATTACAATCCGCATCAAAATTTTAAATCTACATGAGTTAAATCTGCATGAAAACTTTAAATATATGCTGATATACAGAAACAATAGCCTATTTTCACTTTATTTTTTAATTGTCTAAGGCTGATGTCTGCACATTTTTTTTTAAGATTTTTATTTATTTCTTTGAGAGGCAGAGTTACAGAAAGGAAGAGACAGAGAGAAAGGTCTTCCATCTACTGGTTCACTCCACAAATGGCTGCAACAGCCAGAGCTGGGCCGATCTGAAGCCAGGAGCCACTTCCTGGTCTCCCATGTAGGTGCGAGGGTGCAAGCACTTGGGCCATCTTCCACTGCTTTCCTAGGCCATAAGCACAGAGTTGGATTGGAAGAGTAACAGCTGGGGCACGAACTGCCGCTCAAATGGGATGCTTATACCATAGGCAGAAGCCTAGCTTGCTAAGCCACAGTGCTGACCCACAACCCCTCCCTCAGTCTTTTTTGCTTAAGCTTTGCACTCCCTAGAATCTTCTCTATAATCTTGGTTTCTTCCCTTCTCATTCTGCACATATGTATCTCTTTTTATTTCTTTGCTTTTTAATTGAGATTTTCATAAATGTTTAATTTTTACAATAACTCTAATGTAGATCTTATTTTTTTATGACTAAGAGAGCTGAAGTTATCAAATACAGTAGTCATCCCCTTATCCACAGGGGACACACTCCAGGACCCTTAGTGGATGCCTCAAACCTCAGATGGCACTTTTGTTTTCTCCCAGATATTCAAACCAATGATACAGGTTAGTTTACAAATTAGGCATAATAAGAGATTGACAACAATAAAAATAAAATAATATCATCTCTGCCTCCCCTAAATTTTTTCAAACATTGGACAAGTATAGCAGTGGCATTGCGGTGCAGCGGGTTAAGCCAACATCTGCAGCAACAGCATCCCACATAGGAGCCAGTTTGAGTTACAGCTGTTCCACTTCTAATCTAGCTCCCTGCTAATGCACCTGGGAAAGCAGCAGAAACTGGCCCAAGTCATTGGGCCCCTGCCCCAATGTGGGAGACCTGGAAGTGGCTCCTGGCTCCTGGCTTCAGTCTGGCCCAGTCCTGGCCATTACAGCCATTTGGGGAATGAACTGGCAGATGGAAGATCTCTCTCTGCTCCTCCCTCTCTAACTGTGCCTTTCAAATAAATATTTTTTTAGAAAAGGACAATTATAATGACATGCTTTAATAAAATTTATGAATGTACTCCTCTCTTAAAATATCTTACTATACTGTGAACCACAGCAACTTCAGAATATGGTGTTTTTCATTTCCTCATTAAGTCATCAATTTTCACCTTCTCACTTAAAGGAAGAAACTATGGCTTCTCTTTGGGAACATCCCTACTCTTATGCTTTGGGGTCACTATGCAGCAAAATAAAGGTTAGTTGAAACAAGTGTGCCAATTCTGACCTGATAACCAAGGCTATCACTTAGTGATTAAAAGATGGCTAATGTGGATACCCTCCCTGGACAAAGGATTGAAGCCTGGACTGGACAGAGTGAGATTTCCCTATGCAATTCTGTTTACCTTTGAAGTTTTGATGCCATATTTTCACACCGTGACTGACTGCAGGTTACTAAAATCAAGGAAAGCTGCAACTTGCTTAACATCACAGTGTCAGGTTCAGAATCAGAGCCAAATCATGGGAAAAGCAACAAAGTAGGACTCTGAAGCCCAAGCACGTGCCATAGCACACTACGCCATTACATAAAGGGAAAGGACAACTACAGTTAAGAGAAATACATTGTCCAAGCTATCATACTTCAGATAACAGTGTCGTTATGGGGATCATCGTAAAAGAATCCTACAGAAAATGATTAAAAACCAAAGCTTGCAGTTAATATTCTAGCTAAAATTAAGAAAAACACTCAAAGTAAAAGCATGTATGTGTTACAGGTATTTCTTTGAGGCATTATCAAACAGATCACAGTTGAAGAAAGCTAAAAACATCATCCTGGGTGCTCAGTATTTTGGAACTGATTAATTTTCACTTAACTAAAGGTTTTGGTAAAACGAAAAATGCATTTTGGTGAATTCAAGATTTCTACTTTGCAAATTGAAAGTCCTTGTTAACCAAACACTATATTCAGGTTCCGTAACTCCTGGCCATATTTTTCAACTTAAATTAAGATCAAGCTGAATGGACTATATCAGGTATTATACATTATAATTTGGATAAACTTCAAATCAATGAGTTAAAATGTATTAACACCTGCTGATTATACATTTTCAAAAGATATTTTAGCCAACAATATATTATCCAAAAAAATACAGATTCAATAGCAAGACTTCAATTAAAGTGTTTCAAGCTTCAAGTACCACCCAACTCATTTAACATGAATCAGATGTTTTAAGTGGCCAGCTCCTACTAACGAGCCCAGTCCTAACAAAAGTGATTTCCTGGGACTTCTGCACAGAGGTCTTCCCATCGCATTTGTCCACTTAGGTGGCTTTTCTTTTACTTGTTCACATTGGCAAAGCTTGGACTCAAACTGGAATTGAAAACTATTACAATGGTAACAATAGGCCTTTTAGGGGCGTTTCCTATGTGGCATTCAGTTCTCACAGGTGACCAAAGCGCAGCACAGATAAGTTAAGCAAGCAACAAAGGCACTTTGAACCCAGGCATTCTTATTCCAGGGCTCACTTTCACTGTCACTGCTTTCTAATAAAAGATCGCATTTTTGGCTTCCATTGTGTAGATCGCGTCCCACCGTCTACGGTTAAGTACTGGACTTCTATTCATAGCAGTGCATCGTTAAGCAACGTCAAGAACGGAAAGCTTCCGTAGTCTTCACCTGCACACACACCGCCCCGCCCACATATTTGCAATCCAATTCTGCCTGATCCTAAACTGCTGTCTCTCGAAGACCCCCGTCTTGGGAGCTTTTCTGGCGAACGTCTTAAAAAGTGACTTTGGGATCTGGATGGTGCATCTCCATCCGTGCTCCCTCAGAAAAACCACGATATTGGATTAAAGTATTTCTCCGGACCACTGAGGGCAGGACATAGGCCTCCGGGTAACTTCAAGGCAAAAATAAAAAGCCGGAGAGGAGGCGTAGGAGGATGCTTTTCCCGCACTACACCTAGGATAAAAGGGCTCATAAAGAGGGAGGCGGACGGGAGGACCCTAAGGAGCGAGGCGCGAGCGAGCCTGGGGAGTCCACAGACTGGGCGCTCCCGCCCGAGGTGTCCGAGTGCCTCTCTGCGGCGGTGGCCACTCGGCGGGCTCGGCTGCCCTCCTCGCGACCCCTAACCTCTTCCCGTCTCCAGCCTGCCTCCCCGGGGCCCGTGAGCCCCCTCCCTGGCCGCGGGTGGTAGGCCCCGCCATCCAGGGCCGGCAGAAAGGCCCCGCGGCGGGCCGCGGAAGGCGCCGCTCCGGCCGGGCAGTGGCGAGGGGCGGGGGCCGGCGGCTGCTGCGAGCCCGGGCGGGTCAGGAGGTGACGGGGAGAGGCTGCAGGAGCCAGATAGGGAGGCTGGGAGGTAGCGCCCGGTTCGTCGACTCAGACAGCTCTGCCTAACCTCCGCCTCCCTCAGTCCTGCTGCCGCCGAGAGCCCCACAAGGCAGGGAGGGAGGTCCGCCGGAGCAGAGGGGAGAAAATTCAAAACGAGTCTACTCAACCTCGTCTTGGCTCCGAGGCCCCGCCATGGAGACCAGCACAATGCGCAGGCGCACAGCTCCGGGAGCGCGGTGCGCAGTGCCAAGGGATAGGATCACTATCGGCCACCGTCGTCCGTTTCCCTCCAGATTGGTTCTTTTTTTTTTCGTATTTCCGCCTCTTGCCGGCATCTAGAATCAAGCTACAGGCGGAAGCCCAGAAAAGATCTTGACAGATTCTGGCTGGGAAATAATGCATTAGAAGAGGAACTGGGCAAGGCGTTAGTCAATCAAATCTGAAAGTAGCGGCGACTTAGGAAATACCTGGCTGGAGACAAGAAGTTTTAATGCAAATTAACGAACCGTAAAGGGATCGTGGCAAAAGACTACAATTCCCAGGGATCACAGCGTGCCAGTCGCGCTGCTTTCTGGGAGTTGTGGACTCTTAAGAGCAGCGTTTGCGGTACCCGGTCTTAGGACAGTTTCTTTAAAAAAAAATGCTAAGGAGATTTGAGATGGGCCTTTTTGTATCTTTGTAGTCTATTAGAGGCCTACATGTGTGGGAATAAATCTAAAAAAGAATAAAGAGACACGCTTGTCTGTGCCTTACTGATCGATGATTCCCGAATCTAGGAATAGGTAGTTGATGTTTGTGGGCTGGGCCTCTGCGGAAGGGCAGCCTCGTGGTTCCTTCTGAGGAGAGCTGGCGCGAGCCGGGCTGCAGCGGCGTCTCCTGGCTTGCCCGTGTGCAGTCTGGTTTGAGCCGCCTGCTTTTGTAGTCCGGAAAGACAAGAGCTCTCGTTCTTCACCAACCCGTAGGTGCCTGTGGGCAAGTACTGGGTGTCCTGCCCGCCATGGCGCAGCTCCAGACACGCTTCTACACGGAAAACAAGAAGTAAGTAGGCGCCCTTCTCTCCTCTCCGGGCTCTCGCCCGACGACCCCTTCCTTCGTTACGGCGTTGTGGATCCCTGGTCATCTTGGCCGGCGGTGCTCTGCCTCCTCCCTCTGACTGGACCCCTCGCTTGAACCGCCTCTCTCTGAGGTGGACCAGGATTTCTCGGGGCCCCCTGCCGGCAGCCCCCCGAGGCCGCCGCCTTTCGGGCCACGTTCCCGGGCTCCACGTACTTGGATGGTTAGTGCGGAGGGCCAGGGGCTTCAGGTTTGCCTCTGGAACGCAGCACGCTACGAGCGTAGTGGAACAACGAACGACGGGGCCGTGTGGTTGCAGGCTCCTGGGTAGTGGTGTTTCACAGTTTCTGAACGTACAGTTTCCTTTTCTTTTTAGGTAAAAAATGGGAGATGCCCTTCGAAACCAGGCTCCAAAGTGGAGCTGTAAACAGGGGATTGGATCGGCAAAACCCATTTTTGATAAGAGTGCCAAATCAAGTCAGTTACAGATTTGAAAAACTCGTACATAGAAAGTCATTTTAGGACGTAGTTCTGTGTAAATAAGTCATATTTGTTTGCATGTGAACACACAAACATTTACCACTGATACGTATCTGTATAAACATTTTCCCAGCGGTCCCTGGGTCCGTGGTACTCATTTGAAACCTTATATGCTCTTTCTATGTGTATTGCACTATTTATTTTTCTTGTGTGTACCTGGTTTCGTCAACCATGTTCTAAGTCCCTTGAAGTCAGAGACAGTGTTAAGCTGCTTGTATTGAGGAGGTCAACAATGTTATTTGTCAGGGTTTTCCAATGTTAAGCATAAACAACAGGTGTTAACATCAGCCGTGAACTAGAAGAATCAGGCCTGAATTGTGACGATGCCTTTTGTGAGTCCACCTGGTAAATCATTTCACTCCTCTTGTGCTGTTGCTTACTGCCCACATAAAGTATATTACCAACGAACATGAGTATATTTACTTAAATACTTAGTCCTTACTACCTCTCACGGAATGTGGTTGCAACATATCAACGTATAAGAAATAACAGACCACTATTTTTTAGAACCTGAAATGGACAGATAAACGTCATATATGTACCAGTCTTCAAAGAGCTCCTGTGGGAAACAGGTGTTTAGCTAACCTAGCAGTTAAAATGCCTAAGCCCTGCCTGAGAGGACCTGAGTTGGAATCCTGGCTGTAGCCCCTGACTCCAGTTTCCCCCTAATATGGACCCTGTAATGCAGTGGTGATAACAGTGCAGTGGTACCTGGGCTCCTGCCACCCTCAAGGGAGACTTGGAATTTGTTCCTGGCTCCTGCTTGGGTCACTGCTGGCATTTGGGTAGTGAAATAGCAGATAGCAGCTGTTGAAGTGCCCTCCTTTGTGTGGGGGTGTGTATATGTGTGATCTAATTCTCCAGAAGGTAATAAAACTTAAAGTTCTTGGCTTCTTCCTTGCAAGTAATAGGTTTTGGCCAAATGAGGGGGGAAAGTAGTGTTATACGTGTATGAATATGCATGTAATTAACATATGCTGTGTAATGTATGAGAATTTTGCTACCCTTCCCCCTTTGTTTTACTGACCAGAATATTAAATGAAAAGGAGATATAAAAATTTTACATTATTTAGGTTTTTTTTTTTTTTAACCTTTTGGAGAACATCAATAACTGCCTCCTTTTTTGGCATGAGTATTTTCTTACAGTGTGGTTTGAAGACCAACAGCATTATGTTTGTAGAGTTTTGGAAACACCACCATAGTCAAATTTTTTTTTAAAGATTTATTTATTTATTTGAAAGTCAGAGTTAGAGAGAGAGAAAGGTCTTCCATCCAGTTCACTCCCCAATTGGCTGCAACGGCCGGAGCTACGCCGATCAGAAGCCAGGAGCCAGGCGCTTCTTCCGGGTCTCCCACACAGGCACAGGGTCCAAGCACTTGGGCCATCTTCCACTGCTTTCCCAGGCCATAGCAGAGCTGGATCAGAAGAGGAGCAGCCAGGACTAGAACCGGCGCCTATATGGGATGCTGGCGCCTCAGGCCAGGGCGTTAACCTGCTGCGCCACAGCGCCAGCCCCACCACATTCAATTTTAGAACATTTTCATCACCTATTAGCTATCATCTTCCGTTCCCTTTAATACCCTCAGCCCTAAGAACTGCTCTGCTGTCTGTCACTTCGGATTTATCAATTCTGGACATTTTGTATAAATGGAACTGGAGTTTGTGATATTTTGTGACTGACTGGTTTCTTTCACTTAGTATTATGTTTTCATGATTCATCTACACGGTAGTGAATGTTCGTACTTCATTCATTTTAATGGCAGAATGATAATCCATTGTATGGATATAGCACAGTTTTCTCTTCATCAACTGGTTGACGTTTGGGTTGTTTATACCTTTTAGCTATTATGAATGGTGGTTAGGTGAGCATTCTATATTACTACTGGCAATGTATGAGGGTTGCAATTTCTCCATATCTACAGCATTTGTTATTACCTGTCTCTTTTATTATGGCTATTATAGAGGGTATGAGGTGATACTGCATTGTGGTTTGATTTGCATTTCCCTGATATCTAATGATGAGCATTTTTTCATATGCTTGTTGACTATTTTTACCTACTCTGGAGAACCATGTATTGGGATTCCGTACCCTTTCTTAAAATTTACTGTGTTGTGTTTATTATATAATGTAGATGTAAGTTCCTTATCAGAGATGATATTTTCTCATATTCTCACTTGTAATTTGCCTCCTTTCATGTGTTCCTTTAATGCAGTCTTCATTTACAGCCAGAAGATCCAACCAAACAAAATTCCAGTAAAGTTATTCCTTAACTTCGACTGTTAGAACGGTTCCTCATTGCCTTTGAAAATAAGTAAACACTGTTTCACGTAAAACAACACTCCAGGGGCTGGCGCTGTGGTGTAGCAGGTAAAGCTGCTGCCTGAAATGCCGGCATCCCTCTTGGGTGTCAGTTAATGTCCCAGCTGCTCCACATCTGATCCAACTCCCTGCTAGTGAATGGCCTGGGAAAAGCAGCAGCAGATGGTCCAAGTGCTTGTGCCACTGCTGCCCACATGGGAGACCTGGATGAAGCTTCTGGCTTTGGTCTGGGCCAGTGCTGACTCTTACAGCCATCCGGGGAGTGAACCAGGAGATGGAAGAGCTCTCTCTCTTGTCTTCTCTCTCTGGAACTCTAACTTTTAAAGAAATAAATAAATCTTTGAAAAACAAGAAAAGCAGCTAGCACTCCATTCACATCTCTTTAGACTTACCTCTGGTCACTATCGAGAGCAGAATTCTACTTTCTGGAATAGGCTAAGCGAGTAGTTTAACAACCTCTAGCTATTGGTCTGCTTTTCTCCATATTTTTTCTCCCCTTCTCCCTGCCCATTCCTTCCTCACCTGGTAAAATCTCACTTTTCTAGATGTAGATTAAGAGTGACATTTTGTGTACATCCTCAGGTGCTGTTCCCATACCTTCCTTGTTCTTTGATTTCATATACGTATCACTTACAGAATTGTTCTTACATAGCTTCATCATATTTGATTATTAGACTTTAACCTCTTATGAGAACAGAGACTTTGTCTTAATTCATTTCTGTTTACACTATGTGTTAAAATATCTGGCATGTTATAAGTACCTAGTGAATGTTTGTTGAATGAGTGAACATACATTGGTCAAATATTGTAGATTTGATCATGATAATGTCATTTCTTGTTTACAGATACGCAGTAGATGATGTTCCCTTCTCAATCCCTGCTGCCTCTGAAATTGCTGACCTCAGTAACATCATCAATAAGTTGCTGGAGGCCAAAAATGGTGGGTATATAAATATGTTCAGAGAAGTTAGGAGAGGGCATAGTGCCAGTCCCCATCTTAAAATATTTTCATTTTACTTTTTGTGCTTATTTTATGCTGTATGAATTTTTGTTACGATCAGATTTATAAATTATAACAAACAGGTTTCCCTGCTGGGTAAGTTGAAAGAAAAGCTTTCAGAAAAAAAAAAATAAGTGTTTCTGTTTACTCAGGTTTTAGGGGAATTGGAGATAAAGTGATTATAATTTAGGAATAAAGATTTAGTATAATAGCTGTGATATATAGGGAAGTCTAACATCTTAAATACAGACACGATTAGATATTATGTGCATGTTGGTGTGATACAATATGAAATACGTAATTCTGCCTGTGAATATCCTCCTTCCAAAATCAAACCTCAAATTTAATCAAGCATTTAAATCAAGACTGGTTTTAAGTCATAGAGGAATCTGTAAAAGGACATTTTGGAGATGCAATCAACCAAACACAGAATGTAGGAAGTACTTTATGTTTACTTCAACAAATAAATGGCAGTGGCAAAAAGATAAAGGGGATTGTGTACTGTTAAGATTAAAAGAAACATGATAATCAAATAGAATAAATGGATTTTTTTTTTACTGTCTTTAAAAAATCAGAACATTGACTAGCTAATTTATTGAGGAATAGGAAGGGGCATTTGGTCTAATGGTTAAGCTGCCCTTTGGGATACCTGTATCACATATTGGAATCCCTGGGTTCAAATCCAAGTTCTGCTCCCAATTCCAGCTTCCTGCTGATGCACATCTTGGGAGGCAGCAGGTGATGGCTCATGTAATTGAGTTCCTGCTGCCCAAGTGGGAGACCTGGCTTGAGGTCCCAGCTCCCAGCCTTGGGAGTCCCAGGTGTTGCTGGCATTTAGTAAAGGAACCAACAAAGCAGATAGAACTCCCTCTCTCTCCATTCTCTTTTCTCTCCCTCTCTCCCTCTCCCTCTCATTTAAATAGAAATAGGTTAAAAAAGTTTTCAACATCATAACTTTTTAAAAGTAATTATATTTTAGAGATGCATACTAAAGTATTGATGGAGGAAATGATCTCATTTCTTGGGTGACTGGTTTACTAAGATGCCACCCAGGATGCCCACATTCCATATCAGAGTGCCTGGAATTGTGTCCTGGCTCCACTTGCAATTCCAGCTTCCTGCTGATAACTTCTGGGAAGGCAGCATGTGAAGGCTTAAGTACTTGAGTCCCTGCCATCCACATGGGAGACCTGGATGGAGTTCTGGGTGCTTGGCTCTAACCTGGTCTAGCATCAGCTATTATTGGCATCTGGGGAGTGAACCAGCAGATAGAAGATCTCTATCTTTCTGCCCCTCAAATAAATAAAATAAATAATAAAAATAAATGACCTCATTTTTGAGATTTGTTTTAAAATAAACAGATAGGGGAAGGAAGTAGGGAATATTACCTGTGAGTTGGCAAATGTAAAGTGGGATTCCTTGTTATTTCTACTTTTGTGTACATTTGAGATTTTTCATAGAATAGATGTTTTTAAAAATCAGAGTAATTATTCCCCAAAAGAACTATTTCTGTTCTTAAAAATTACATTGTATACTGGAATATGTGGCTTGTTTGAGCCATGAGAAATTCTGGAGACACTCAGGGGCCACACTGGGATAGTAGGTGCCTGTTTGTTTTAGAGACGCCCATATACTGTTTCCAGTACATTTGAGATCCTATGAGTAATAATTGTACCATGCATTTTCTTCAGAGTTTCACAAACATGTGGAGTTTGATTTCCTTATCAAGGGCCAGTTTCTGCGAATGCCTTTGGTCAAACACATGGAATTGGAGAACATCTCATCAGTAAGTTCAGATGCTTATCTACTGTATTTTCCTTAAGGAATTATCAGATATTATAAGTAAACTGCTTTTAGAATTTATCTGATTCTATCTTTAGCACTAAAGATACTTTAGATTATTGCTTTTCCTTAAAAATTTGAACTTTAGTTTCAGTATATTAAATTTTTACACCTCTTGTGATAGTATTTTATTCAAGAAAATGCTATTTGTGGAATAACTGACAAGAAAGAATAATATGTGGCCGGTGCCGCGGCTCACTAGGCTAATCCTCCACCTTGCGGTGCTGGCACACCGGGTTCTAGTCCTGGTCGGGGCGCCGGATTCTGTCCCGGTTGCCCCTCTTCCAGGCCAGCTCTCTGCTGTGGCCCGGGGAAGGCAGTGGAGGATGGCCCAAGTACTTGGGTCCTGCACCCCATGGGAGACCAGGATAAGTACCTGGCTCCTGCCATCAGATCAGCGTGATGCGCCGGCTGCAGTGTGCCAGCCGTGGCGGCCATTGGAGGGTGAACCAACAGCAAAAGGAAAACCTTTCTCTCTGTCTCTCTCTCTCACTGTCCACTCTGCCTGTCAAAAAAAAAAAAAATAATTAAAAAAAAAAAATAATATGTATACTGCTAAAACAGATGTAAAAGATAATTGTGCACATGTGAAAGCTATGGATTAAGTTTATTTTAACTCCCCTCTTTTCAGACTTGCTAATATTGCTTTTACAATGAAAATATAACATAATTTTTTCATTTTTTTGCATTCTAAAATACTGCAGAAAATATACATAACATAAATTTATCATTTTAACCATCTTAAAATATGTAACTAATTTGCTTTGTATTCACAATATTGTATAAACATCACCATTATCCATTTTTAGAAGTATTTTATTTATTCTAAACCAAAGAGCTGTACCTATTAAGCAATGTGCTTTTAGAAATTTGTTAAGTTTTCTTTTCTCTCCCCTTCCCCTTTTAGCATAATTTTTCCAAGGTCGTTAATATTTCTCAGTATTACTGTTAGCAAATCATTAGGTCAGGTCAAAGTTTTAGACTTTTTGTATAGTTCCAAGTTTTCTGGGCTATGAAGGTGACTAATATGAAAGAGATGATTAATTGGGAGTCCATTGTTTTCATGATGTGACATTCTAAGGCTGCACCACTTGACTGATTTCTGGTTTTCTCTGTGACTAGGAAGAGGTTGTGGAGCTAGAGTACGTGGAGAAGTACACTGCACCCCAGCCAGAGCAGTGCATGTTCCATGATGACTGGATCAGTTCAGTTAAAGGAGCAGAGGAATGGTATTAAAACAAATAATCTTCTCTTTCCTTGTACACCTCCTTCAGTCTTTTAAAACCATTCTGTCTGTGAATATTCATCCCTGATTCCTTGTTCTATAGAAAAGTAATTTTGTGGTACTTGTATTGGTGAGCATGCCAAATAGAAAGACCTTTGCATTCAGTGTATTGGTGAAGAATAAGTCAAATATCTTAGGACATTAATTCATTTTGGTTGAGTGTGTTCCTTTTAAGACCAAAGATATAGTTCATGGAGAAAAAAAGTATCTTTTTTTTTTTTTAAGATTATTTTATTTATTTGAAAGGGTTATGGAGAGAGGTAGAGACAGAGAGAGGGAGTCTTCTATCCACTGGTTCACTCCCGAAATGGTGGCAATGTCCAGAGCTGAGTGAATCTGAAGCCAGGAGCCAGGAACTTCTTCCAGGTCTTCCATGTGGGTACAGGGGCCCGAGAACCTAGACCATCCTCTACTGCTTTATGAGGTGCACCAGCAGGGAGCTGGATTGGAAGTGGAGCAGCCAAGTCTCAAACTGGTGCCCATTTGGGATGCCAGTGCTGCAGACTGGGGCTTTAATAGTGCCAGCCCTGAAAAAACATTACTTTTATAGTAACAAATCTCTGGGCCTACTACCATGAAGATGCAGGTCATGCTGTTTTAGGGAGAAAAAGGGCAGATTGGAATCAAGTAAAAAGGTATGGGGGCTGGCTCTGTGGTGTAGCGAGTGAAGCCGCCGCCTGCAGTGCTGGCACTCCTTGGGCCTCTGCACCCATGTGGGAGACCTGGAAGAAGCTCCTGGCTCCTGGCTTCATATCAGCTCAGCTCCGGCCCTCATAGCCATGTGGGAAGTGAACTAGTGTATGGAAGACCTCTCTCTCTCTCTGCCTCTGCCCCTCTGTAGCTCTGCCTTTCAAATAAATAAATAAATCTTAAAAAAAAAAAAAGAATTCCTCCCTGCAGTTATTACACAAAGTTATGTTTTTACTGGTTTTAGTTTACTTTAAACGATGTTACTGTTTTTTCTCTTTACTGGTTTTCACTGGTTAAGGACTATTAGGCTTTACAAGCAATTTTTATAGAGTCCTTCAGAGTTGTAGTATGAGGGTAATTCAAAAAGTTTGTGGAAAATGGAAATAAGTGATGCTTATTTTGTTACAAAAGTTTTTGAAATCCTTACATAGTATTTTTGTAATACATATTTCCATGAATTTTTCGAAAACCCTTCATAAACAGTAAAAATGAAATCTAGGGTTTGTTATTATTTTTATGAAGTCAAGAAAAGCCAAGTGTAATATCTGATCTAGTGTATTTTGAAATCCTGATCTTCATATTAAAGAATTTAGGGGCCAGTGTTGTGGCACAGGGGGGTTAAAACACCGCCTGCAATGCTGGCATCATGGGTACTAGTTTGAGTCCTGGCTGTTCCGCCCTTTTTTTTTTTTTCTTTTTCTTTTTTTTTTAAGATTTATTTTACCTATTTGAAAGACAGAGTTAGAGAGAAGTTGAGACAGAGAGAGGTCTTCCATTAGCTGATTCACTCCTCAGATGGCCACAATGGCTGAAGCTGAGCCAATCTTGAGCCAGGAGCTTCTTCCTAGTCTCCCACATGGCGGCTCCACCCTTGATTCAGCTCCCTGCTAATGCACCTGGGAAAGCAGCACAGGATGGCCCTAGTGCTTGAGTCCCTATACCAACATGGGAGCCCCAGAGGGAGTTCCTGGCTCCTGGCTTCAGATTGGCCCAGCTCAGGTTGTGAATCAGTGGATGGAAGAGCTCGCTCGCTCTCTGCCTCTGTCTCTGTGCAACTCTGTCTTTCAAATAAATTTTTAAAAAAGAAAATTCTCCTTTTGTATTTCATAGAATGTTTTTCTCATCATAGGATCTTGACCGGTTCTTATGATAAGACTTCACGGATTTGGTCTTTGGAAGGAAAGTCAATAATGACAATTGCAGGACATACAGATGTTGTAAAAGATGTGGCCTGGGTGAAAAAAGGTAAGGACTCTTTACTTAAACTGAGAGGAATCCTAGATAGGATTTGGAAATTAGCCACTTTCACTGCTGAGGCAGAATGAGACATGGGTGAAACTGTCTTTTGTCTCAGTGTGAGATCTTTCAAAAATACAGTATTCAAGAAGAAAAGAATTATAGAAAATATAAATTATGGGAAGTGAATCTTTACTAAAATTACATCAGATAATATTCATTTTCAAGTTTATATTGTGTTAAACTCATATTCTATTTCTGAAGGACCCTCTTGATAGTGTATTAGATTTCTTTTTTCTTTTTAAAGATTTATTTATTTATTTGAAAGGCAGAGTTACAGAGAGACAGAGGCAGAGAGACAGAGAGGTCTTCCACTCCCAACGGCTGGAGCTGTGCTGATCCAAAAGCAGGAGCCAGGAGCTTCTTCTGGGAATCCCACGTGGGTGCAGGGGCCCAAGCCCTTGGGCTATCTACCACTGCTTTCCCAGGCCATAGCAGAGAGCTGGATTGGAAGTGGAGCAGCTAGGACTCGAACCGGTACCCATATGGGATGCTGGCACTGCTGGCAGTGGCTTTACCCACTATGCCACAGCGCCTGTCCCATGACCAACTTTTAAAAGAAATCTGGGGCCAGCTCAAGTCCTAGCTGCTCCACTTTCAATCCAGCTCTCTGCTATGGCCTGGGAAAGCAGTGGTAGATAGCTCAAGGGCTTGGGTCCCTTACCCATGTGGAAGACCCGAAAGAAGCTCCTGGCTCCTGACTTTGGATTGGCACAGCTCCGGCCGTTGTGGCTAATTGGAGAGTGAACCAGCGGATGGAAGACCTCTCTCTCTCTGCCTATCCTTCTCTCTATGTGTAACTCTGATTTTCAAATAAATCAATTTAAAAAAAAAAAGAAAGTTAGTCATATGAACTCCTGTTTTTTGACATCTTTTCCAGGAATGATTAAATATTTAATTCTTAGATTTCAGAACATGATATATTTAAAGTTTTATACTAATTTGTTCACTACACCTTCCTTTTGACAGATAGTTTGTCATGCTTACTTCTGAGTGCCTCTATGGATCAGACCATTCTCTTATGGGAGTGGAATGTGGAGAGAAACAAAGTAAAAGCCCTGCACTGCTGCAGGGGTCATGCAGGAAGTGTGGATTCTATAGCTGTTGACAGCTCAGGCACCAAAGTAAGTAGTATGTTATTCTGTGTTAAATTAGAATTTGAGCTTCTTACTAAATTTTTTTTCCTATGTTTATTCATTGTGATTGGCCTTCTTTCATGATGGTTGACTGATTTCAAAGCAAAAGTAAATACTTATAATAATAACAGATACAAAGGTTTACTTCCTTGGTCTGTGTTCTCTGGCTTTGAACCTTATATAAACTGGAAAAGCATTAAGAAATCAAATAAAAAGCAATTTCTTCATGTAACCTGAAATCATAGTAATTACTGTATTTTTCATCCATCAACTACTCTAAATGCTGTCATCAGTTGAAAATGCCTAATTGATCATCTAAGGGTTAGTGTTAGTACAGTTTTTTTGCTCTCAGTGTTAATCCCTTTGTTAAGATTATTTAAAAGGCAGAGAGAGAGAGAGATCCTTTATCCCCTGGTTCATTCCCAAAATGGCTACAACAGCCAGAGCTGTGCCGCACAAAACCCAGGAGCCAGGAACTCAATCCAGGTCTCCCAGGTGGAATGCAGAAACTCAGATACTTGAGCCATCGACCACTGCTTCCCAGGTTCAGTAGCAGGGAGCTGGATCAGAAGCACAGACTCAAGCCAACACTCCCACATGAGGTGTGGGCATCCCACGCAGTGGCTTAACCTGTTGTACCACAATGCCTACCTCCTAATATACTCTTCATTATGAAAGATGGTTAAAGTTAATTAAAAGAAAATCAACTTCTTATGGGCATTGTGGCCCAGCAATTAAGCTGCTGCTTGGGATACCCGTATACATACGGAGTACCTGGGATAAAGTGCCACCTCTGCTTCTGATCCACCTTCCTGCTAATGTGCCTGGGAGGCAACAGACAGTGGCTCAAGTACTTGGGTTCCCGCCACTCATATGGGAGACCTGGATGGAATTACTAGCTCCTGGTTCTGGCCTGGCCCAGCCCTAGCTGTTGTGGGCGTTTGGTAAGTGAATCAGCAGACAAGAGATTTCTGTCTCTGCACCACCACCCTCACCTGTCACTCTGCCTTGCAAATAAATAAAAAACTTAGAAAAACAAAACCCTCAAGGGAAATAGTATAGTGACTTAGGAGGGCTTACAAGCCCACTTGCATTTTGGAAGTTTCCTAAGCCATGTTGACACATTCTGTACGTAAGAATGTTTCTTCAGTATTTCTTTGTTGGTAAGGGAAATGGAGGATATTTGGTACATTCAAAAGTAAGATTTATGATTTTTCATACTGAGCCAAAAAAGTTTACATGTTGAGTCCAAACGTAATGAATGAATTCTACTTTATCTTTTGTCATTAAGAGACAGAAACTCATCATGAACTTGCTTAATCCTTTTTTTTTTTTTTTTTTTGTAAGATTTATTTACTTATTTGAAAGGCAGAGATAGAGGCAGAGAGAGAGAAAGGTCTTCCATCCACCGGCTTACTCCGCAGATGGCTACCAAAGGTCAGAGCTGGGCCAATCTGAAGCTAGGAGTTAAGGAGCTTCTTCTGGGTCTCCCATGTAGGTGCAGGGGTCCAAGGACTTGGGCCATCTTCTACTGGTTTTCCAGCCCATAGCAGAGAGCTGGATCTAAAGTGGAGCAGCGAAGACTCAAACTGGCGCCCATTTGGGATGCCAGCATTGCAGGTAGTGACTTTGCCTGCTATACTGTAGTGCCAGCCCCACTTGTTTAATCTTAAAAGAAAATTTATTGGATTGTGAGATCCAAGGAAGAAATGAGCAACCATATCAAAGAAGGGAAGTGATGGTGCATTTGGGCCTCAGGAACCAGTAGGATGGAGGCTTGAATGTGTCTTGCACACAGTCTCCCTTTTTCTTTCCTGGTTGACTTTACTCTTACCTCAGATTGGCTTTCTCCACATACCAATAAGTTTGGCTTTCAGTATTGCTCAGTTTTTACATCCTGAACTACACCTAGAAAAAGACTAACTTGAACTTTCTGGAACACAGGTTTATAAGACGTGTGCAGGGGGCAGATGTTTAGCCTAGCAGTTAAAACACTAGTCAGGATACCCTGACTTGAGTTTGATTCCTGGCTCTAGCTCTTGATTCCAGCTTATTTGCAGACCCTGGGAAGTAATGGTGATGGCTCAAGTAATTGGGTTCCTGCCACCAACTTTGGATACCTGGATTGTGTTCCTAGCTCCCAGTTTCAGCCTTGGTCATTGTATTAGGGAAGTGAAGAGCTTGGTCATTGTAGGTATTAGGGAAATATAGGAAGAAATTGAGAGCTCTAAATTTCTGTCTCAAATAAATTAATAAAATAAAGATTTTGAATGAAGAAGAGTCCTGGTATAATGTAGGTCACTTGTCCTTCCTGTAACCATCACCACAGCACAGAGCCACATAGAAATGGCAGCTCCCTCAATTGCTATGCAGACTGAGTATACAGCTTCCAAGAGACTAGGAAGCTAAGCGGGTGATGCTACAGTAGTGAAGGATTTCAGAGCCTATGCACTACAGAGATTAAGCAAGGTTAGTAAAGGGTTTTAAATTAAGTAGAAAAAAGACACAATATGGATTATATCATGTATGCCTTTTCCCTTCATATGTATCTGTTTAGTTTTGCAGTGGCTCCTGGGATAAGATGCTAAAGATCTGGTCTACAGGTAAATTAAATCTTTCTTCTACTTTGACTTGTTAATGATATTTTAAGAATTTCAGTGAACTTTTTTAACACTACATTTTGTAATCAAGATGGACCAGAGGGACTGGTATTATGGCATGGTGGTTAAAGCCACTGCCTGCAACGCCAGCATTCCATATGGGTACTAGTTTATGTCATTGCTGCTCTGCTGCCAATCCAGCTCCATGCTAATTGCCTGGGAAAAGCAGCAGAAGATGGCTCAAGTGCTTGGGCCCTTGCTACCCATGTGGTAGACCTGGATGAAGCTCCTTGCTCAACCCTGGCTGTTGAGGCCATCTGGGGAGTGAACTCTCTGCAGTTCTTTCAAATAAATAAATCTTTTTTTTAAAAAAAAAAAACCTTTAATAAAAATAATGGACTAGAGTGGTTTAAGACACACATGAAGGAGCATGGTATGGTGACAAATGAGTAGATTTTTTGTGTCAATATTTTTCTCTACTGTTCTTTTAATGCACAGTGTCACTGAATTGTTGCTAGTATTAACAACATGTTTGGTGCATGTTGGAAAGGCAGGATTATATAAGGAGAGGGAGAGAGAAAATATCTTCTGTTACTTCACTCCTCAAATGGCCAAAACAACCAGGGCTGAGCCAAGCAAAAGCCAGGAGCTTCATCTGGGTCTCCCACATGGGTACAGGAGCCCAAGTACTTGAATAATCTTCCACTGCTTCATACACACATTAGCAGGGAGCTGAAGTGGAGCAGCCTGGACTTGAACCAGCACCCATACGGATGGATGCCAGCATCACAGGTGGCAGCTGTAACGCCTGCCCCAGATTTCAGTTTTTTAATGTACTTTATTTTTACTTTCTCATTTTTGAAGATTGGTAGATCAGCTATTGTATTTATAAAACATGAATTTTCTGTTAACTACAGTTATGAGGCATACCCATTCCCTAACCAGTTAAGATCACATGGAGAAACCATATACCCAGAAATGTAAAGAATTCTTTCAAGTTGTTTGTGATAATATTGACAGGATTTCTAAAATAACAGTCTAATTCTCTGATGCAGTCCCTACAGATGAAGAAGATGAAATGGAAGAATCCACAAATCGACCAAGAAAAAAACAGAAAACAGAGCAGTTGGGATTAACAAGGGTAAGTATCTGTGAGAAGTGACTTCACTTGGCTTACGTCTATATTGATGAATATCAAACTCGGAAAGTTCATCCAGTTTTTTTTTTTTTTTTTTTTTTAAGATTTATTTATTTAATTGAAAGGCAGAGTTACAGAGAGGCAGAGAGAGAGAGGTCAATTTTCCATTCTGCTGGTTCACTCCCCAAATGACTGCAATGGCTGGAGCTGAGCTAATCCGAAGCCAGGAGCCAGGAGATTCTTCCGGGTCTTCCGCATGGGTGTAGAGGCCCAAGAACTTGGGTCATCTTCCACTGCTTTCCCAGGCCATAGCAGAGAGCTGGATCGGAAGTGGAGCAGCCAGGACTTGAACCAGTGCCCATATGAGATGCTGGCAGTGCTGGCAGCGGCTTTACCCGCTACACCACAGAATTGGACCCATCCAGATTAAAAAAAAAAATTAACTGGGGCTAGTGTTGTGGCATAGCAGGTTAGGCCACCATCTCATATTGGCGCCGGTTCAAGTCCTGGCTTCTCCACTTCCGATCCTGCTCTGTGCTAATGGCCTGGGAAAGCAATGGAAGGTGGCCCAAGTCTTAGAGGCCCTGTGCCCATGTGGGAGACCTGGATGAAGCTCCTGGCTCCTGGCTTTGGCTTGGCCCAGCCTGGCCATTACAGCTATTTTAGAAATGAAGATTTCTGCCTCTCTTTTCTCTCTTTGTAACTCTGCTTTTCAAATAAATAAAATCTTTAAAAAAATTATTTTGATTGATAAAGACTAAACATATTCAGGGCATATAACATGATGATTAGTTATATGTATACAATATGTAGTGATTACCATAATAAAATTCTGTTGTATCGATATTAGATCCCCAGAATTTGTTGATCTTTTCACTAAAAGTTTCTATCTTAATCAGCATTTCCCTTACACCTTATCTCCTGGTTATCACTGTTCTACTCTCTGCTGCATGAGTTTGGACTTTCCATTCAGGTTTTTTTTCTTTATAGGTTTATTTACTTGTTTGAAAGGCAGAGTTACAGAGAGAGAAAGGATGAGAATGAATCTTCCTTCCGTTGATTCCCTCCCTAAATGGCTCTAACAACTGGGGCTGAGCCAGGCTGAAGCTGGGAACCTGGAACTCCATCTGGGTCTTCCATGTAGGTGGCGGGGCCCAACAACTTGGGCCATCATCTGTTGCTTTCCTAGGAGCACTAGCTGGGAGGTGGATCAGAAATACAGCAAGCAGGACTTGAATCAGTGCCCACATGGGATGCTGGTGTCACAGGGGAGGACTTAACCTGCTATGCCTGCGCACCAGCCCCTCATCCAGATTCTTACTGCCATATTTAATTACAAAGATACTTGTTATAATATGATCTGTGTTTACATACTTAATGAAAAGGATAGGACTGAATCAGATTTAGGAAAACACTTTTCATTTGATTTCTAATAGCTAGGAAGACCATGCAGTAAATCAAGTACACATTTGCTTTTGTAGTCACCAACAGGATATCTTATAAAAACTGAAAACGAGGAATATGGTGTGATCATAAAAGATTCACTAAATTCATGTAGAATGCAATAATCAATAATACTTACTGGTTTCAACTGAGAGTAGTGATTTGTAGCTACTTAATACATTTAAACATAGATTCCTAAATTGCAAGAAGAAAGATCTGGCAGTTATTCAGCTTCCTTACTCTGGTACAACAAATTAAAGCTGGAAATGCCTTACCAATTGAATATTGTACCACTGTTAATTTACAATGATGCGTATTCCTGAACTAGAGAGGTTTACCAGTATACTAGAAGACTACCTCTAGATTGCTTCACAGTCAGTAGCCCCTAAAGTAGTCACTTCAGACTTACACTATATTAGAATAGTTTTTACCTAATTTAAACTTCATATTTTATCTGTGACATTTGTTTATGCTGCTACTTGTAATAGTAGTCCTTTTCATTAATAAGAACATTCCATTGTATGTACATACCTCAATTTATCCATTTTTCTTTTGAGGTTGTTTCCAGTGTTTGGATACATGAATACAGCTGCTATCAACATTATTATAGTTGTCTTTTGGTATACAAATGCATATGTAGAATTGCAGAAGTAGAACTGCATTGAGGGGGTATATAAATGATGTGCTTTCTGAATGTTAGATATTGCCAAAAAGTTTTCCAAAATCAGTTTTACTTGAACAGTATATGAGAGTTAAAGTAAATCCACATCCTTACCAGCATGTGATATGACTTTTAAGCCATAATTAGCTTCGTTTCACTAGTATATACTTAAGTTAACTTTTTAAGAAGTGTATCATTGTATTGATTTCTGGTGGTATGTAGAGGAATCTAAGCCCCAGCCCTCTGATATTCAGTTGTGAAGTACCTATTCATATTTATAGCCCCATTTTTAAAAATACGTGCCTTTTCTTAGGCCACATACTTTTAAAAATTCTTTATGAATTCTGATTTCAAGCTTTTGCTAGGCATATGTATTGCAAGTATTTTCCCCCACTCAGGGTATTGCTGATGTCTTTTATTTTAATGTATGTATTTTATAAACTCACTTTCAGTGTTCATTTTATTTGAGAGAAATAATAGTATATTTCCTTTCTCCATTTAGCATTTTATAGGGCTTAATCTCAGGCATACATAAAATAATAAAGCCATTGCCAGAAACCCTTGAAGTGCTAACTGTGGCAAAAACATTGCTGCAGATACAAAAAAAAGTTTGGATTTTTAGAAAAATAGCAAAAAAAGATGACATACATCACAAAGTTGCCCCCTCTTTTACTTCTTTCCAGCACCTAACTTGTATTGATGTGAGTGATGCTGTCAGTTAATTTACTTGTCATTTGCTTCATATATTACCATACAATAGGGTTTTTTCCTTCAAAATGCTCAAAATTGGTTTTTTTTCCCTTTAGTACTATTCTGGTTGTTTTTTGTTGTTGTTGTTTGTTTGTTTTGTTTTGTTTTGTTTTTTTAATTTGACAGATAGAGTTAGACAGTGAGAGACAGAGAAAAAGGTCTTCCTTTTGTTGGTTCATCCCCCAAATTGCCACTATGACTGGAGCTACACCGATCAGAAGCCAAGAGCCAGGTGCTTCCTCCCAGTCTCCCATGCGGGTGCAGGGCCCAAGCACTTGGGCCATCCTCCACTGCCCTTCTGGGCCACAGCAGAGAGCTGGACTGGAAGAGGAGCAACAGGGACTAGAACCCGGTGCCCATATGGGATGCTGATGCTGCAGGCGGAGGATTAACCAAAGGAGCCATGGCACTGGCCTTGTTGTTTGTTTTCATGGTCCTAAGAATTATTTATTTGGCAGACAGAGATACAGAGAGAGGTCTTGCATTCTGCTGGTTCACTCCCTAAATGACTGTAGTGGCCAGAGATGAGCTGATCCGAAGCCAGGAGCCAGGAGCTTCTTCTAGGTCTCCCGTGCGGATGCAGGGGCCCAAGGAGTTGGGCCATCCTCCACTGCTTTCCTAGGCCATAGAGAGCTGGATCAGAAGAGGAGCAGCTGGGACTTAAATTGGTGCCCATTATGGTGCTGCAGGCTGGGGTTTTAACCTGCTGTGCCACAGCACCAACTCTAGTACTATTCTGTTTTGTTTGTAGTAATAATGCCAATGATTTTTCTACATTTCAAAAATTCACTCTTGTTGGTGAATAGTGCTTGAATTTTGATGAACATATAGAATCATCTAATTATTACACATTCAAGATACAGAACTGTCCACCTTTCCTTCCACCTATATCCCCTTGATAAACACTGGTCTGTTGGTATAATTTTTTTTTTTTTTTTTGACAGGCAGAGTGGACAGTGAGAGAGAGAGACAGAGAGAAAGGTCTTCCTTTGCCGTTGGTTCACCCTCCAATGGCCGCCGCTGCAGCCGGCGCACCGCGCTGATCCTGGCAGGAGCCAGGAGCCAGGTGCTTTTCCTGGTCTCCCGTGGGGTGCAGGGCCCAAGCACCTGGGCCATCCTCCACTGCACTCCCTGGCCATAGCAGAGAGCTGGCCTGGAAGAGGGGCAACCGGGACAGAATCCAGCGCCCCAACCGGGACTAGAACCCGGTGTGCCGGCGCCGCAAGGTGGAGGATTAGCCTATTGAGCCACGGCGCCGGCTTTAAGATTTATTTTGAAAGGCAGGGTTAACACACACATACACACACACACACACACACACACACACAGAATGAGAATCTTTCATCCCCATCTGCTGGTTCACTCCCTGAGTGGCTGCAGTGGCCAGGGGTGCCAGGCTGAAGCTAGGTCTGCTGTGCCCAATACCAGCTCCCCCTGCAGATTGCTTTTTCCAGAATGTTATATAAGTGAAATAACATGGTAGGTAGTCTTTTGTATCTGGCCCTTGCACTTAGCATAAAGCATGTGAGGTTCATCTGTGTTGTTGGCAGTATCAGTCAATTCCTTTTAAATTTTGATTTAATTATTCACTAGTCATAGGGTGTTTGGGTTGTTTCCTATTTGGCAGTTATGAATAAAACTGCTATCAAGATTTGTGTTGAGGTTTTCGTGTGGACCTAAGTTTTCATTTCTCAGGGATGTAGATCTAGGAATGGAACAGCTTGTTCATATGATCGGTTTACCTTTTGTTTTAGATCACAGCAGAAATTGTTCTATTCCTCATTTCCCTATTAAGTTTCTTTACCTGTTTCAAGAAGATTTTAGAGCTGGAAGAGAGATTTTTAGGGATCATTTGCTCCAGGTGTTGGCAAACTACAGCTCAAATACCTGTTTAGCTATCATTTATGTTTGTACTACACAGAACTAAAAAGAATATTTTTTACATTTATAAGAGGATGGAAAACAGAGGAATGTGCAACAGAAACTGTATGTGGCCTGCAAAGCCTAAAATATTTACTTGCTGGTCTTCTAATGGAGAGAGGAGAAAGACTAGGTCAATTCAAGGTCATCTGAGGCCCTTCTAGCACTAATCCTTAGTGTTTGTCAGCTGGGAGAATTAAGTTAGTAGTGTTCAAAATAGAAAGTAGAGCAATTGGTGAAGCAGCAGAATGGGGAAGTGACTGTGAATTTGGGGCTGCATTGTGGCATAGCGGGTAAAGCTGCCACCTGAGATGCCAAAATCCCACTTAGGTGCCAGTTTGTGCTCTGGCAGCTCCACTTCTCATCCAGCTTCCTGCTAATAGCCTTGGAAAAGCAACAAAAGATGGCTCAAAGGTTTTGGCCTGTCCCCCATGTGGGAGAACTGGGTGAATCTCTTGTAGCCATCTCTGCGGTGAACCGTAGATAAAAGATCTGTCTGTCTCTCTCTCTCTTACTTTTAAAATAAATAAATTTTTTTTGACAGATAGAGTTAGACAGTGAGAGAGAAAGACAGACAGAAAGGTCTTCCTTCTGTTGGTTTACCCCCCAAATAGCCACTATGGCTGGAGCTACACCGATCCGAAGCCAGGAGCCAGGTGCTTCCTCCTGGTCTCCCATGCGGGTGCAGGGCCCAAGCACTTGGGCCATCCTCCACTGCCTTCCCGGGCCACAGCAGAGAGCTGGACTGGAAGAGGAACAGTCGGGAATAGAACCTGGCACCTATATGGGATGCTGGCACTGCAGGCAGAGGATTAACCAAGTGAGCCACGGCGCTGGCCCTAAAATAAATACATCTTTAAAAAAAGACTATGAATATTTTGAGTAATATTTGGATTCAGTTTTGAGTTTGCTACTTATAAACTGTATGACCTTGGGCATGTTGTCTTTCTCAGCTTCAGCGTCATCATGTATGAAATAAAAACAAAGTTGAAGGATTGTTTTAAAGAAAAAATAAGGCAGGGTATGAAAGCTAAAACACCTAGCAAGTATCTGGCATATGGTTTCAAAAGTCATAACTACTATTATTGTTTGAGTGACTCTGAAGTGAATATACTTCTTCCTTTTGGGGGTCTTTTGTTTCTAGACTCCCATAGTGACACTTTCTGGCCACAAAGAAGCAATATCCTCAGTTCTGTGGTCGGATGCTGAAGAAATATGCAGTGCCTCTTGGGATCACACGATCAGAGTATGGGATGTTGAGTCTGGCAGTCTTAAGTCAACTTTGGTAAGACTTACAAATTCAGTGGTCCTATGATTAACTTTGGTCCTTTAAATGATAAACTTCTAGAAGTGTTTTACTTTTAGCCCACCATGATTATATTTTCATTTTCTTTTTCAGACAGGGAATAAAGTATTTAATTGTATTTCCTATTCTCCACTATGTAAACGTTTAGCATCTGGAAGTACAGACAGGCATATAAGACTGTGGGACCCCCGAACTAAAGGTGAGTCTCTTAAACCACTGAGGAAAGGTAAGTGTATAAACAACATGAATTTCTCTACTCACCAGAGATGTAGAACATAAATGTTTTGAGTTTGTTTTGCCTACTTTTCTAAAATTCTTTTTTGCTTTTGTTCAGATGGTTCTTTGGTGTCCCTGTCCCTAACTTCACATACGGGCTGGGTCACAACCATAAAGTGGTCTCCTACTCACGAACAGCAGCTGATTTCAGGTTCTTTGGATAACATTGTCAAGCTCTGGGATATAAGAAGGTAAATCCTACTTACTATTAACAAGAGAAAGATATCACTTGTGATATCACCACTGCCTCCCAAGGATTACCAGGAAGCTGGAGTCAGGAACTAAGTATCAAACCTAGGTACTCCAACATGGGATGCAGGCATCTTAGCTGCTAGACCGAACACTTGGCTCCAGTATGTAGATTTCAATTATACATTTTCTATAACAATTAACATACAGTTTCCAGTAATCATAGTAAATGCTATGATGAAAGCAAAGCATGGTAAAGGGATACTTATTTGAGGAAGGCCTCTTTGAAAGTGATAGGAAGTGAATTAAACAATGTGGATGTATGAGTCATGCACATATGGTAAAAGGAACAAGAGAAATATGGTGGAAAGAATCTTGGGATGTTAACAAAATAGCAGAAAGGCCACTGTTGATGGAATGCAATAATAAATAAGGAGTAGAATGACAGGGCATGAGTACAGATAGTGGTTATATCAAGCAGGATCTGGTGTGGTTTTTTTTTTTTTTTTTTTAAGATTTACTTATTTATTTGAAAGTCAGTTACACAGAGAGAAGAGAGGCAGAGAGAGAGAGAGGTGTCTTCCATCTGCTGGCCACACAGCTGGAGCTGCGCTGATCCGAAGCCAGGAGCCTCCTCCGGGTCTCCCACGTGGGTGCAGGGTCCCAAGGACTTGGGCTATCTTCCACTGCTTTCCCAGGCCACAGCAGAGAGCCGGATCAGAAGAGGAGCAGCCAGGACTAGAACCAGCACCCACATGGGATGCCAGCGCTTCAGGCCAGGGCGTTAACTTGCTGTGCCACAGCGCTGGCCCCTCAGGCAGGATCTTAATAGGCCATGGCAAAGAGTTTGGTTTTCTTTTTTTTTTTTATTTTTTTATTTTTTTTGACAGGCAGAGTGGACAGTGAGAGAGAGAGACAGAGAGAAAGGTCTTCCTTTGCCGTTGGTTCACCCTCCAATGGCCGCCGCGGCCGGTGCACTGTGGCCAGCGCACCGCGCAGATCCGAAGCCAGGAGCCAGGTGCTTATCCTGGTCTCCCATGGGGTGCAGGGCCCAAGCACTTGGGCCATCCTCCACTGCACTCCCTGGCCACAGCAGAGAGCTGGCCTGGAAGAGGGGCAACAGGGACAGAATCCAGTGCCCCAACCGGGACTAGAACCCAGTGTGCCGGCGCCGCAAGGCGGAGGATTAGCCTAGTGAGCTGCGGCGCCGGCCGAGTTTGGTTTTCATTATAAGTGTGACTGGAAGAGTTTTGAGCAAGGGAGCAAGAATGGAAGCAGAGTCTTTTTTTTTTTTTTTTTTTTTAAAGATTTATTTATTTACTTGAAAGTCAGAGTTACACAGAGAGAAAAGAAGAGGCAGAGAGAGAGCGAGATCTTCCATCCACTGGTTCACTCCCCAGATGGCTGCAACAGCTGGAGCTGCGCTGATCCAAAGCCAGGAGCCAGGAGCTTCTTCCAGGTCTCCCACATGGGTGCAGGGGCCCAAGGACTTAGGCCATCTTCACCTGCCTACCCAGGCCATAGCAGAGAGCTGGATCGGAAATGTCGCTCCCCCATTTGCGGAGGAACGACGCTAGACCCTGCACTGTTCTTTTGTCTGCTCAGCCCTTCCTGGGTTTGCTGCTGGTCCTTCCTGGGTTGGCTGCCGACCCCTCCACCTCCGTGGAGGGGCGGCTCCCCCTGCCACTTTCCCCACTTCCGTGGGGGAGCAGCACACCGCTTTATAGTCCTCTTCCACCAATCCCAACTCTGCTACCCACACACCGAGCACACTGCTCTCCTCCAATCAGGAGCAAGATCAGCTCCTGCAGCTCATCAGTCAAATTGGCAAGAGGCAGCTGCGTAGAAGCTGTTTACTCCTCTCCCAGCGCCATATTGTGGGAGAGCAGATGCATAGAATAAGTCTTAATTCCAGTAACTTAGTCTAGTCCGAGTTGTTCCCCATAGGAAATGGAGCAGCTAAGACTTGAACTGGTGCCCATATGGGATGTCAGCACTGTAGGAGGTGGCTTTACCCGCTATGCCAGTGCCGGCCCCAGAAGCAGAGTCTTTAATTCAAGAGACAGTTAATGATGACTTGTTCTGCGGTGGTAGAAAGCTCTTTGGCTTAGGGATTGAGTGGAAATCAAAGATTGTACCCACATTTTGTGCCTAAACAACTGGTGATTGGTAGTACCATTTATTCTTATGGGAAAAAGTAGAAAAACAGGTTTCTGAGGGGAAATCCAGAGTTTTTTATTATTATTTTTTTTTAATTACAAGTGCCCAAAAGACAGCTGTTAGGCAGTTGCATAAAAGCATACAAGGGCTTCAGATGTGGGTTTTTTTTTTTTTTTCCATTTTCAATTGTTTGTTTATTTGAGAGGTTGCAGTCATTGGAAAGGAGAGACAAAGAGAGGTCTTCCATCTGCTGGTTCATTCCCCAAATTGCCACAATGGTCGGAGCTGAGCTATCCAAAGTGGAGCCAGGAGCTTCTTCCAGGTCTCTCACGCGAGTACACGGACCCAAGCACTTGAGCCATCTGCTGCTGCTTTCCTAGGCCATAGCAGAGAGCCAGATCAGAAGAGGAGCAACTGGGATTAGAACTGGCTCCCATATGAGATGCGGGCACCACAGGTGGAGGATCAACCTGTGCCACGGCGCTGGCACCTCGGGCTTCAAAATGTTTGTGAAAAATTCAGTCTTTTAATTCCATTTTCCACATACTTTTTGAAGTCTCTCCTGTCAAGCTCAGGAAAGTTTGGGCTAATGATAGAAATTTGCCAGTTACCAACATACAGATGACTAGAAAAGTGGTATATAAAACCACTGGGAAAATGGACCAGTTACACATTTTATAACTCAGTAACATTTTGCTTTGATACTTTTGTTATGGTAAATCTCTCTAGTATTAAATGATACAGGAAAACAGGAGGTAGTCAAGTAAATACTTAGAATTCTAATATTAAATGGTTATTGGGGCAAAGGTGGTAAACTCAAAAGTTTTCAGCATGGTTATTCAAATGTGTGTGTTTGCAATGCTATGAAAGCATGTTACATGTTACTGTTTCTGTCTTTTAGTTGTAAGGCTCCTCTTTATGATCTGGCTGCTCATGAAGACAAAGTTCTGAGTGTTGATTGGACAGACACAGGGGTAAGAATTTTTTATTATTACTTGGTGAGGAAGAAAATAGAATAAATCTGTTTATAAAATTACTAATTTCAACATATCTTGTTTTTATAATTTTGTATTCTATTTCACTTAATATTATTCATAAGATCTCATACGTGTCCCTTGGTAATAGCAGTAAAATTTGAAATTTTGAGCCAATTTTTTTCATGAGTATTTTGATGAAACATCTAAGTAAGTATATGTACTCATTGATCCAGACTAATTGGATAAAAGTACTTCCTAAGTAGAAAAATATTATGTAACAATTCTGGATTATAAAATGTATTTAAAGTATTACAATTTATTTTTATATATATACATAAGCTCTTCTGCCTAAGAATTCTTTCCAAATACAGGTCGTGGGCTATTTGAAGTAAGATGCAACTAATGTGCTACTCCTTTAGAGACTTAATTTTCTTAGATAAATAAAACTTTCAAACTATTTTATTGTTTAAGCAAATGCTTCATAGAAAGTGTGGCTGCATTTTGTGCTTCAAATTCAAATGATCATTTTTAAAGCTTTAATATGATAACAGTATTTAGTAGAACTTGATCTAATTGGTCCCTTTAGGTACTGACTTTAAATGTAATAGCTGCTCATCCATATTCCTTTGTAATAAAATTACCAGTTTTTCATTAGGTTTAGCTATTATATAAAATAATTTTATTTTTGTATTTTTTCCCCTTTTATGCAGCTACTTCTGAGTGGAGGAGCAGACAATAAATTGTATTCCTACAGATATTCACCTACCACTTCTCATGTGGGAGCATGAAAGTGAATGATAATTTGATTATAGAGATTCTGTCTATAGAAGAAGTCGGTAGAGAACTGTCAAATTACATTGATGCAGATGTAGAAAACACTCTAATAGGTAAAAGTTTATAAAATGTTTTCACCCTTCGTAATAGCTAATATATCACTTTTTCTTTATTTTGTATTTATAATAGTTTATATTTATAAAATGTAAAATGTGGCCTGCACTCTCTACCTTATGCAAATCTTTGAAATTAAACTCTTTATTTGTCTTAAAGGAATTGGTTTGAATTCAGGTTTGCTTTTGAAATGCAAATATAAGGGCATATTAGAGATGCAGTAAACAATTGTCCAGACTTACTTTTGCCAGAGAAACTTAGGTTTTTAAAACCATCCAGAAAAGACTAGTAAAAAAACTTAATAGAAAAAAATTAGAACTACAATTTCCTGTTTGCAAAATAAGTGTTTAATTATTAGAAAACATGACTTTGTAAGTGTTCAGAACATTAGAAAGTGTGTTGCCAATTCATTAACAATTGTTGAAACATTTTACGTGAAGTGTTTCATATTAAAGGCATGTCAGGTCTTTTAGAGACTTCATAAAATGTAATGATGACCAGATATCTCTTTCCCTAATGTATCCTTAAACATAAGAATAAATTCTTTACACAAAACCTTTCATTTTTATTAAACGTCCCACAAATTTTTTTATCATTAGTTTTATCTCTTCATATGTGATGTGAAATATTTAAAATAAGTGTCTTTTTAAAATGTGACTTCTATCTTTAATGGATTGACATTCAAGTGGAACATATTTACAGCATTTACAACCTCAGTAATAAACAATGAGTCCTATTTGGTCCCATCTTAAACTGCAATAAATCATATCTGGTCTTGCTGTCATGCTTGACTGAAGTTGGAAGCCTGGTTAACAATGGGTTGAACACATCAGGAGTTTTGTTCTTGCAAATGCAGAAGTCTAGAAGCAGGCCAGGCTTCATTTTGTGACTTCCACATTCCTTAGGGTCCCCAGTTCTCTCCAGCCCTAGGATATTGTCTTCATTTTCAGATAGACTTAAGTACAAGAGCTCCAATTACCACATCATTTCCTAAAATATATGTTAATGTCAAAAAAAATAAAGGCAGCCAGAGAATTCAGAGTCCTTGTTTTTCTCATTTTATGGTAGTTGGTGTAAATTTCATACCCGTGGTCTTTGAAAGTCTTAACTTTGAAAAAACAAAGATGAATTTATAATCCTGTTTTGGATAGTCTCTGAAGCAGTTATTTGGGTTGGTGTTTTTTTTTTTTTTTTCCCAAGATTTTTATTTGTTTATTTGACAGGTAGAATTACAGACAGTGAGAGAGACAGAAAGAAAGGTCTTCCTTCCATTGGTTCACTCCCCAAAGGGCCACAACGGATGGAGCTACGCCGATTCAAAGTTAGGAGCCAGGTGCTTCTTCCTAGTCTTCCACGCAGGTGCAGGGGCCCAAGGACCTGGGCCATCCTCCACTGCTTTCCCAGGCCACAGCGGAGAGCTAGATAGGAAGTGGAGCAGCCAGGACTAGAACCGGTGCCCATATGGGATGCCGGCACCGCAGGTGGAGGATCAGCCCATTGTGCCATGGCGCCAGCCCCCATTTATGTCTTAACTCATTCAACTTAGAGTGACAAAATGTAGTATACATTACACTGAGTGCTTCAAGTAAGGGTTAAGAGACCCCCATTTTTCAGATACAGTAGACAAAAAAGGAAGTAGCTTCTAAAAAGCCCTCATCTATTCTCAGCCATAGTTATACAGCAGGACGCAGTTGTGGTTCAGGCGTTCTTCCTTGGGATGGATATAACTTTAGTGACCAAGTCTCTTAGACAAGGGTTATCTGTGATCAGTCTGCCAGACTCCTCTCTCTGGGTAACTCCTGTGGATAAGTCTTACTCCCCATATAGGAGGAATGTGAGAGGCCAATAAAAACCTAGAAGTGGAGTGGGTATTGTACAGCAGGTAAGTCCCCGCCTGCTATACCTGCATCCCATATTGGAGTGCAGGTTCAAGTTCTGTCTGCTCCACTTCTGATACAGCTCTCTGCTAATACACCTGGTAAGCAGTGGGTGATGGCTCAAGTACTTGAGTTCCTGCCAGCCGTGTGGGAGGCTCAGATAGAGTGCCTAGCTCCTGGCTTCAGCCTGGCTCAACCTTGGCTGTTGTAGCCATTTGGGTGGATGCCACTGCATGGGAAACCCCAAAGGAGTTCCAGGCTCTTGGCCTCTGCCTGGCCCAGCCCCAGCTATTACAGCCATTTTGAGTAAGTAAAGTAGCAGATGGAATATATTTCTCACTTTGCCTTTCAATCAAACAAATTTTTTTTTTTTAAAGCCTAGAAGATTCAGCCTCCTTTATAGCATTGCTCCTCCTTTTTTCTTTCCTCCATCCGAGGCACCAGAGGTAGTTGCATTATTTGCACTTATTTGCCTCTAGGACTTACTGAGAGAAATGAATAGAGCTGTTTTCCACCACTGGGAGAAGCTACCTGGCAGTACTGTGTTCGGGACCTGCTGATTAGTATGGGGTTATTTATGCTGTCTTACCACAGAATTGGAATTCATAAAGATATTGATAAATTGCTTAGCAGTAAACTTCCTAAATGTAAAATAATGCTAAAAGTTTAATTGGTGAATGAGTCAGTTCAAGGAAAAAAATTGAATTATATACCAGCATTTGCCGTGGTGGAAGAAAGTGAAAAAATAAAAAAATCTAGGACACAGACTTCCCCTTCAAAAAGATCACATGCTCACATGGGAGATCCTCATTAGAAACTGAGCTACAAGAGTGTCCTAAGTGTAAAAGAAAGATCTAAGTGAAAGAGCACAGAGGAGGGAGCAGTTAGATTGTGGGGAGCAATGCTAAGAGGGCATCGTAGAAGAATGACGTTCCAGCTAGATTAGGGCAGATGATTAGGGGCAGGGTGAAGACACAGATTATTTCTAGCAGAGGGAGCAGCACGGAAGCCTCAGAGAGACTAGCTTAGAAATACTGTGAGTAGGGTCTGGCACTGCAGCACAGTGGGTTACGCTATGGTCTGCAGCACCAGCTCCCATATGGGTGCTGCTCCACTCTTCCTATCCGGATCCCTGCTATTCCCCAGGGAAATCAGCAGCCCAAATCCTTGGGCTCCTGCATCCATGTGGAAGACCCAGAAGAAGCTCCTGGCTCCTGGCTTCGGTTTGGCCCAGCCCTGGCCATTGCGGCCTCTTGGGAGGTGAACCAGCAGATGGACAATCTCTGTCTCTCCTCTTTCTCTCTGTAACTCTGCCTCTAAGGAGTGAAATGGACATAGTATTTGTTCATACTCCAAAATTTAATTTTTAAATAATGCTACCTTCTAAATCTTATTATAGACATTATGTTTTTATATTGGAAAAGAGGAAAACCTTGCTATAGTGACAACTGGAACAGCCATGTGGCACAGTGGTTAACCTGCTACTTTGGATGTGTGCATTCCATATTAGAGTGCCTGCATTTATGTCCTAACTCCAGCTCTTGATTTTAGCTTTCTGCTGTTGGTACTCTGAAAGGCAGCAGGGGTTGGTTCAAATCTTTGCATCCCTGACTACTGGCTTCATCCTGGCTCCTCCCTGACTATTGCAGGCATTTGGGGAGTGAATCATGGGTGGAAGACATTTTGTTTTTTTTAAGATGTATTTATTTATTTGAGAGGCAGAGAGAGAGATGTTCCATCTACTGGTTCCCTCCCCAAATGGCTGCAATGGAGCTGGGACAACATGAAGCCAGGTACCAGTGGCTTCATCCGGTCTCCCCCGTGAATAAAGGGGCCCAAATACTTGGCCCATTTTCTGCTGCTTTCCCAGGTGCATTAGCAGGAAGCTGGATCAGAAGTGGAGCAGCTAGGATTGGAATTGGTGCCCATATCAGATGCCAGCACTGCAGGTGGTAGCTTTACCCGCTATGCCACATCACCTGCCCTAGATGGAAAATCTTTCTGTCTCTCTGCCTTCCAAATAAAGTGTAAATAAATATTCAAAAATGTTTTCATCCCACACAGAAATTAAAAAAAAAAAAAAAACAGCTTTTCTGTGAGTATAGGAACAATATTTGCTTTGTAGATCCCTTTTCTTGGAACTGTTATCAATAATCTGTAATAATAAATGAGAATTAGCATTACCAAGGGGAAAAGCAGAAATGAAAGTTTGGGGCCGGTGCTGTGGCACATCAGGTTAACGCCCTGACCTGAAGCACGGGCATCCCACTGGTTCAAGTCCCGGCTGCTCCACTTCCGATCCAGCTTTCTGCTATGGCCTAGGAAAGCAGTGGAGGATGCCCCAAGTCCTTGGGTCCCTGCACCCGCATGGGAGACCCAGAAGAGGCTCCTGGCTCCTGGCTCCTGGCTCCTGGCTTCGGATCGGCGCAGTTCCAGCCGTTGCAGTCAATTGGGGAGTGAACCATCAGATGGAAGACCTCTCTCTCTCTGCCTCTCCTCTCTCTGTGTAATTCTGACTTTTGAATAAATAAATAGGTCTTTTTAAAAAAATTTAAATTGATACAAAATGTACCTGATTGCATAATTGAGCAAATACCCAACAAAACATGCCATCTAGGGATTTCTGGTAGTAACACAGCTGCTCACACAGCTTAAAATCCTTTTTTTTTTTTTTTAAGATTTTATTTATTTATTTGAAAGAGTTATAAGAGATATCTTCCATCCACTGGTTCACTTCTCAAATGGCCACAATGGCCAGGGGTGGTCCAGACAGAGCCCAGGAGCCAGGAGTTTCCTCCTGGTCTCCCGCGTGGGTGCAGGGGTCCAGGCACTTACACCATTTTTCACTGCTTCCCAGGTGCATCAGCAGGGAGCTAGATCAGAAGTGGAATAGCCAGGACTTGAATTGTGCCCACACAAGATGCCAGCATTGCAGACAGCCGCTTTACCTGCTACGCCACAGCACTAGCCCCTTAACATTCTTGTAATGTATTCTATTTTTTAAAAAAACTTATTTGAAAGGCAGAGTTAGAAAGAAAGGTCTTCCATTTGCTGGTTTGCTCCCAAAAAGGCCATAACAGCTAGAGCTGGGCCAATCCAAAACCAGGAGCCAGGAGTTTCTCCCTGGTCTCCCATGCAGGTGCAGGGGCCTAAGTACTTGGGCCATCTACTGTTTTCCCAGACCATAGCAGAGAGCTGGATTGGAAGTGGAACAGCTGGGACTCGAACTGGCGCCCATATGGGATGCTGACACCGCAGATGGTGGCTTTACCCACCATGCTACAGTGCCATCCCCTGTGTTCTAGTTTCAAAAAGTCACTGTTGCTTATATAAAGCAAATATAAGGAAAAATAATAGCTTTTGTACAACAGTTTTTAAGACTGCAAGGGATATACAATTAAGTACCTTTTAAATAAAGAAGCTACTAATTTAAAATCAGGTTTCATTTTTCTAATCAGGAAATGCCTGTTAACAAAAAACAGAAGGAACTTTTTGTTATTTCATTTAGAGAAAAAAAATATTTTTTGAATTTTCATCCCTGCCAACTACCAGGGCTGGACCAGGAGCCCAGAACTCAATCCAGTGCTATCAAATGGGTGGCAGGAAGCCAGTACTTGAGCCATCATATGCTGCCTCCGAGGGTGCACATCAGTAGGAAGATGTAACTGGAAGCCGAGCCAGGACTCAAACCAGGCACTTTGACATGGAATATGGGCATCCTAAGCAGCCTCCTAACCATGGTGCCAAATACTTGCCACACGTTTAGTTACTTCAGTATCAACATTTTAACTAAGGTGACTTCAGGTATCAAACATAATGCTAATATTTTGTTACATAAACCAAACACATCTTTAATGTAACTTGGTAGTACAGTGATTTTGGTTGCTTTCTTTAGAATTGGGCATTTGGTCCAACAGTAAAGATGCCCACATCCCATATCACAGTGCCTGATTCTACTCCTCCCTCTACTCTTTTGATCCAGCTTCCTGCTAATGCACACCCTGGGAGTGGCTCAAGTACTTAAGTCCCTGCCACCCATGTGGGAGACCCAGATTAAGTTGTGGGCTCCTGGCAATCACCCAGCCCACCCTGGCTGTCGAGCATTTGAGGAATGAACCAGCAGATAGAAGCTCTGTATCTGCCATTCAAATAAAATGAAAATAAAAATTAAAACAATTAAGTTGTTTTTGTTCTAGTGTCTTCTCAACTGTTCACAGATTTTTGAGAGTATATTACTGTGGTGTCTGTAAGAATGGCACTGGGGCCAGCGTCGTGTGGCGTAGTGGGTAAAGCTATAGCCTGCAACGCTAGCATCCCATATGGGCACTGGTTTGAGCTTCTTCCAGGTCTCCCACGTGGATGGCAGGGACCCAAACATATGGGGCATCCTTTACTGCTTTTCCCAGACCATCAACAAAGTGGAGCAGCCAGGATATGAACCGGTGCCCATATGGGACACTGGCATTGCAGGCAGCAGTTTTACTGGCTAGGCCACAATGCTGGCACTTATCTCTAGCGTTGTGTTGTTTTTTATTTTCGTATTCACAGGCAGAGTGGACAGTGAAAGAGAGACAGATAGTAAGGTCTTCCTTTGCCCTTGGTTCACCCTCCAATGGCCGCCACGGCCGGCGCACCGCGCTGATCCGAAGGCAGGAGCCAGGTACTTATCCTGGTCTCCCGTGGGGTGCAGGGCCCAAGTACTCGGGCCATCCTCCACTGCACTCCCTGGCCACAGCAGAGAGCTGGCCTGGAAGAGGGGCAACCGGGACAGAATCCGGCGCCCCGACCGGGACTAGAACCCGGTGTGCCGGCGCCGCAAGGCGGAGGATTAGCCTAGTGAGCCGCGGCGCCGGCCGTATCTCTAGCTCTTAACCAATATAGTCATCACTGGTATCATGGTAGATGGGTTTCAAGATCCCCATAGATACCCAAATCTTCATATGTTCAAGTCCCTTATGCAAATAGCATAGTATTTACATATAGCCAATGCACGTCCTCGTGAATACCTTAAATCATCTCAAGATTTCTTTTACTAGGACTGGGTATTGTGGTGCTGGGAGTTAAGCTGCTGCTTGAATTACCCGCATCTCATGTCGAAGTGCCTGGTTGAGTCCTGGCTGTTTTGCTTCCAATCCAGCTTCTTGCTAATGTGCATCCTGGAAGGCAGTGGATAATGGCTCAAGTGCTTAGGCCCCTGCTATCCCTGTGGGAGACCCAACTGGAGTTCTTGGCTCCTGGCTTCAACCTGGCCCAGCTCCAGCTGCTGTGGCCATTAGGCGTTTGGGGAGCGAACCAGTGTATAGAAGATATCTTTCCCTCTTTCCCTCCCTTTCATTTCCCTCTCAAATCTTTAAAAAAAAAAAGGTTACTTATGCTTAACTAGTATATTACTAATTACTGTAATAATATATAAGTATATACTTTAAAGGGTTATTACTTTCCTATAGGAATTGTATTTAAGCAAAAAGGAACTTTAGAAATCACCTTGTTATTCATACAATTGAATTGTTACTCATGTTATTAAAGGAAACCACAGTCCAGGCCGGTTAGGGAGCCAGCGTACAGGTACACAGCCAATCAATAATGGAGCTAGGAGGGCTGCTGCCTCTGAGTAATAAAAGCTGCAGTGAAACGATCTTGTTGGACACAATCTGATAGAAAGTTCAGAAGCATGCCAACAATTCCACGTGTTAATAACATCAATACAGTATTAAATTTAACAGTTGTTTCAAGGAAAGGAAATACTTCCTTTATATTGTCTATAACATTGCACATTTGTTAAAAAAAATCTTATTACTGTGTCTAATTCTAGTCTTGAATAAGCAAAAATATAGTAGGGGAGCGAGAACATGTTTAACTTGCATCAAAGTAGTGGCCAGTCCCGGCTCCATGCCCTCACTGCCACTGACCTGTAATGTTCTGACTTCTTTGGTAAGACCTCACAGATCACAAAGGGGAGCACCTTGAAGAAATGGGGTTATTTCCATGACATAAGGCCTAATAATTCACTGATCCTTTAGTAAAATAGTGCAAAAGGGTGAAATAACTTTTAATGCATTTTCTTATATGAACTGAGGTTTTATTTGGGACATTAACCAGAAATATGCCTCCATAATGCAAAAAGTAAAGATCACCACTCTAAAGAAATGGGGCTTTGGATTTGCCATGTGGAGCCCCACATTCCAAGTCACCTAATTCTCTTTTCTAGTCAGCTTGTAGGCCTACATGGAGAAAAACACTGCTTATATTTGTACTAAGTGTTCTATATTGATAGTGAAATGTCAATTCTATTCATGTTTGTGCTTCTCAATAAAATTAAATCCTCCCGTATAGAAGTGTTTTAAGTGTAAAATTTTCATTAAAACATTTTAGTGGAACACTGGAATTTAAATACTATGTGACCTCATTTATTTGTTAAGGGACTAGTACAACCATTTAAATATCTCCTTATCAGTCCAACAGCTAAAGGAAGATAATTCATTCCATGTTTATCAAATATCGTGTCACCTGATTCCTGCCCAGGACCATTAGTGGCTCTGTCTACATCACTGCAGCCACTCCTACGCTGTGCCATCACTTGCAGGAGTTTCTTAACAAATTGCGAAGAAGAAAAAGTGATTATCTGCAAATGCCACATCTATGACAGTTTGGAAACATGGTGTATCTTTCTATAATCTCCCCCAACTAAGTGAACAAAACCTGCACTCTTAGCCCCTAGTCACCATTCTGACTTCCTGGCATGTCCCTGGGAGGACCTGTCTCTGCTTTAGATTGAATTAGGCTTCACTCTTGGAAAGCCCATTACCTAAAACATCCCAAGAAACATACCACAGGGCAAAACAGATCTTGCTTACCAGATGACAATCAGTCCCTGGGGAAAAAGATGTTCAGTTCTTCAGGGGCCCACTGGCTGCTTATCTCCGTTCATTCATCGATGGAGTAAACAACCCTTGAGGACCACACTGTGCTGGGTGATGAGGCTGTGGAAATGTCCAAGGTGGGAGCAGCTCTGCATCTAACCAGGACAGCCGGTTATCAGCCAGGCAGATAATTGTTTTTACTTTTTTAAGATTTATTTCTTTATTTGAAAGAGTTACACAGAGAAGGAGAGGCAGAGAGAGAGGTCTTCCATCGCTGTTCACTCCCAGGACAATTGGCCGAAACAGCTGGAGGTGCACCAATCCGAATCCAGGAGCCAGGAACTTCTCCCATGTGGGTGCAGGGGCCCAAGGACTTGGGCCATCCTCCACTACTTTCCCAGGCCATAGCAGACAGCTGGATAGAAGTGGAGCAGCCAGGCCTAGAACTGGCGCCCATATGGGGTGCTGGCACTGCAGGCGGTGGCTTTACCTGCTCCACCACAGCACCAGCCCCACCTGAAAATTACTTTTAGGTGTTGACCAACAGAAGCAGCCTTATGCCCCTTAGGAAGGAGGCCAAACTTCCTCAAGTCAGGGCAAATCCTGACGAAGCACAGCAATCTCCATTTTTGCCAAATGCTGATTCTTACCTTTCAAGGATCTGGGTTTGAAAGAATGAGGAGACCGCTCCTTAAAAAAAAAAAAAAAAAAAAGGCATCAACATTTTGGATATACTTTCTCAAGTAGTCACCATTCCACATCTTAATATTTTTGGTCTAAGTTATCCCTTTGTAGCATAATTAACTACTCCTTTTCCTATTCTAAAATGATTTTTTCAGGTTTTTAGGATGAGTACTTTGTAAAATGAATATTCTAGAACCTTAGCCCATCTTTATGCCTTGCACCTTTGAATGAATTTAGTTACTACCTCAAACAGAAGGTTTTTTTCTTAGAGCCTGTGTGTCACAGCAGTAATTAATTCACAAAGTGTTAGGAAAGCTGCTGTAAATTTGAGTCATCTTTTGAAGTCAAGCACCTGGAATTTACTGTATTATCGCCCCACAACCGTTTCACTTTTGCTTTATTCCCATTTTTTTTTTTTCTGACGTTTTCTACCAATTTCTTTTTACTCTTGAGGACACATTTATCACAAAAAAATGACGGCTATGAATATGCGCTCTTAAGATAAGTTATCAGGAATTGTTAACTTAGTCATCCTTAAGCCTGTAAAATGGGAGTTCGCTCAGAGCGTGAACACTCCCCGCGTGGCGAGCGTCCGAGGAGGCAGGAACTCAGAGCCCCGCAGGGCGGCCCAGGAGGGCCCAGCAGGTGCATCGAGGGCTGTGCGGACGCACGGAGAGACTCGGGCTAAGGACTCCTGACACTTACCCACACCTCAGAGGCCTCACAGTCAGTCCCGTACTGTCCTGTTCTGACCGGTTTTATTAAGTAGCGAAGGCCCCGCTGAGTTCACTCCAGAACGGACAGGGACAGGGGGTGGTGCGGGGCCGGGCCCCCGGCGGGGTTAGGCTAGAGCACGAGCGGGCGCGAACGCGGGTGCCGGGCTCCCGCGCGCGCCAGGCCGCGGGGTTTCAGTCCCCGCCTCCCGCAGCGGAGCCCGACACCTCCACGCACTGGTGCGGAGGGGCACGGGCGGCGTCGCGGGGCTCGCGGGCAGCCGCCGGAACGCGTGTCGGGACGGACTCCCGCGCGGCCGAGCGCCAGCCGAGGCGGCGGAGGACCGGCGCGTCGCGGCTCTGGCGTCGCGGTGAGCGTCTGTGGCCTCCCGTCCGCCCCTCCCTTGTGGGCGGCGGTCCGGCCGGGAGGCCAAACCCTGGGTTCCCATGGCGACGCCGGGAGGTGGGGGCGCCTCAGGAGGCGCTGGCCACGCGCGCACGCGGGGTCTCCCGGGGCCCTGCCGGCTCCCTCGGGGACCTCGGCCCCGGCGGCCTTTCGTCTGGGCGAAGCCTTGGCCCACCCAGCTCGGCCGGCTCCCGGCGCGCGGAACCGCCAAGGAGTAGCCCGTGGCGTGGCTGGGTCCTCTGGGGTCCCCAGGGGGCTTCCACCCACGCTGGCCCTGGCTGGGTGACCGAGCGCAGAGGCCTGAGGCTCGTCTGGTGATTTGTCTCCCAGGTGGAGACGGCTTCTAATGGAGGCAGGTGCTCACAGCCTTCAGGTGCTTCGCTGCGGGCCTCCTTTCCGTGATGTGCTTGTTTTTATTGTATTATTATTATTATTTTATTGTGGGGCTGACGTTAATCGGCTCCCTACTGGCAAAACACAAACTAGTTAAAAGTGCGGTTAGGGTGAGCTGCGGAATGCACGGGCTCCCGAGGGAGCACACTGCACGGATGGGTGCCCTGGAAAGGCGGATCGTCCGGTCAGGTGTCCTGGATCCGTCAGTGGTCAGATACGTGATGCTCCGAGGAGGATGGAGAGGGCGGGGAGAGCCCTTGGCAGCTCACCCGCGATGCTGTGGCTTTGCCAGCAGAGGGGGCGCAATTATTTTTCGTGTCACAGATGATCTTGATGTACAGAGCCTACAAGCTGTTGGAAACTGTGGGTCACTGTGGAATAGCTTGTTGGGAAGATAACGTTTTTTTGCGCAGTCTGTTTTTTTTTTATTTTCCCCTAAATATTTATATATTGATTTATTTGGTTCTTACTCAGGCAACGTACTGTAAGGCGATATTACTTTTATCCTCTTCACATCAATATTTATGGAGTAGCCACAGGTGCCTCATCCTTTAGGGAGAGTTAATTATACATTTGTCGGCCAAAAATAAGTCTCCTAATGGTATGTATGCTTTTTTAAACCAAATTCTTAACCCTTGTGTGTTTGTTTTCTGTGCCTAACATACCTGGTATTCTTTGAACTCTTTGTATTTAATAGTGTAGAATGATTGTACATTTAGCCAGTGAAATAGACATATGAAGACATTGTTCTAATTACCAGTAATTATAATTGCCAGGCAAATCTTTATAATTTTAGAATTAGAGGGGTGCTCAGACTTCAGCCAGCCCAAAGGCAGAACTGCAGCAATAAGATTGGTGGAAAAGGTAGGATGGCACATTTTTAGGAAAAGTATTTCTCATAAAACAATTCAAATTTATACTAGTGCTGAACTAGCAGAGGATATCCAAGTATCAGATATAAAATGGCTAGTAACACTGTTCTACTCTGGTACTAACATTTTTATTTCATTGTGTGATCCATCACTTGTTGTTAATTTATTTCCTTGCATACTTTACTTTTTTAGGTACTCATTGTGTTTCCTTTAAAACTTACTTTTTCATATGTGATAGCAACAGATGGGGCTGTGAAAAGTTTTTCAGCATCAGTACATACTGCGAACTGGCTTTTGCTGTTGAGTAATATCTGTATTCTCTTTTTTATCCCTTGAGTTTTGCCTTTTTTTCTGGTCACAAATTCCAGACTTCTGTTTGGATCCAATATTTACCCTTAAAAGTTAGTCACCTTCTGTAGCTCTCATTGTTTCAGTGTTATTTTGCCATTGTTGACTTACTTGCATATACCACAAGGTTTTTTTGTTCATTTAATTATTCATTTAATTGAGAAAAGGGAGAGAAAACAAACACTAACGTAATGCAATGTTAATATCTATATTTATAACAGCCTACATGAATATTTTGTCATAGTACTTTCTGGTATGAAGTGAGGAAATAAAATATTTCCAATAAAGCCAAAATTTCTTTTTTCTACTGCTCCAATCCTACTATCTCTAACCAGGTATTTATCATCATGAGTTTGTGTTTTGTATTTTTAAGAAATTTATGCATGTCCGTTAACATGGCATATGTTTAAAAATGTTCAATTATGCTATATTGGGTATACTCTGTTTTATCACAGTGTTTTTAAAATTTATTTGGATTGATACTAATAATTCTATTCACTAGCATACTTGTAATTGATTTAGATGGCATTCTGTCATATAAATATATCACATTTTTATTTATATGGATATTAATATACTTAGAAGACTTTCATTTTTTATTACAATAATGATAAAATAAATATATTGGCATGCATCCCGTAAATATTAACTGAGTATTTACTACATGTCCTGCACTATTTGCTTACAAACAGATGAAAAGCTCTTCCCTTAGAAAGCTTTAAATACTTGATAGTGGGATTGCTGTGTCATGAAGTAGGAGCATGTTTAGTTTTTTGAGAAACTGTCAGAGCTTTTCCCAAGAAGTTGTGCTGTTTGATACTTCCATCAGCAGTGTATGAGTTACACTTGCTTACTGGCTTGCCCGTTCTGGTGTTGTCAATCCCTATCATTTAAACCATTATAATTACCATGTGATAGTGTATCATTGTAAATTGATAACTCATGCCTTCCCTGCTTTCATCAGAAGTTTGTTATTTTCTTTCTTTGAGGGAAAATTCCCATATAATTAACCATTTTAAAGTGTACGCTTCAGTGCTATTTAATGCCATCACAATGTTATGAAACCATCAGCTTGCTGTAGTGCAAAAACTTTTCAATCACCCCATAAAAACACTCCCCATTCATTAATAATCACTCTGCTTCTTGTTCTTAAAAAATAAAATTGCTATGTGGGGGCTGGTATTGTGGCATAGTGGGTTAAGCTGCTGCATGTGACACCGGCATCCCATATGGGCCCCAGTCCAAGTCCCGGCTGCTTCACTTCTGATCCAGCTCCCTGCTAAAGCACCTGGGAAAGTAGCAGAGGATGGCCAACTTTGTCTCCTTGGCACCTGGAGAGAGACCTGGATGAAGCTCCACGTTCCCAGCTTTGGCCTGTCCCAGCCTCAGGCTGTTGGAGCCAGTTAGACAGTGAACCAGTGGATGGAAGATTTCTCTCTCTCTCTCTCTCTCTCTCTCTCTCTCTCCCTCTGTTACTCTGCCTTACAAAAAATTAAAATAAAAATACTTTTTAAAAATTGTGTGGAATTTCATTGAATGATATATCAAAAATTTTTAACCTAGTCACCTGTTTATAGCCATTTTAGTTTTGGGTTGTTATGAGTAAATCTGGTAAAATTACTTTTAGGCCTTTGTGTCAGCTTGTAATTTAATTTCTCTTGAGTAAGTACTTAAGACTTCAATTGCTGGTTGTCATAATATTTAACTTTATAAGAAACTGTCCTTTGATATAAGGCGTGCCTTCCAGAGTTTTTATACCATTTTTAGGTTTTCATGAACAGTGTATGAAAGTTCCAGTTGTTCCCCATCCTTGCCAACACTTTGAATTGACAGATTGCTAGCAAATTTAAATGGTTGTGTTGTGTGTTGATGGTTTTTTTTTAAAGATTTATTTATTTATTTGAGAGGCAGAGTTTACAGAGACGGGGAGAAGTCTTCCATCTGCTGGTTCACTCCCCAAATGGCTGCAATGGCCGGAGCTGAGCCGATCTGAAGCCAGGCAGGAGCTGCTTCTGGCTCTCCCACGTAGGTACAAGGCCCCAAGAACTTGGGCCCACTTCTGCTGCTTTCCCATCTTCTGCTGCAGGGAGCTGGATCAGAAATGGAGCGGCCAGGACTCAAACTGGACCCATATGGGATGCCAGTATCGCAGGTGGAGGCTTAACCTACTATGCCACAGCGCCGGCCCATTGATAATTCTTTATGGCTTTAATTTGCATTTCCCTGATGAATAATGATGTAGAGCATCTTTTTAATTCAGAATCTTTTTTAAAAAGCTTTATTTATTTAAAGGACAGAATTACAGAAAAAGAGAAAGAGATCTTCCATTCACAGGCTCACTCACCAAATGCTCACAACATCCAGGGCCAAGCCAAGCTGAAGCCAGGAGCCAGGAACTCTCTCCAAGTCTCTCACGTGGGTGGAAAGAACCTAAGTAGTTGGGCCATGATCAGCTGCCTCCCAGGAGAGTTGGCAGGAACCTGGTTCAGAAGCACAAAGTACCTGGGACTCAACCAGGCACTCTGGTTTGGGATTCAGGTATCCCAAGTGGTGGCTTAACTGATTGCACCACTGTGCCCATCACTGAACTTTTTATATGCTACTGGCTGTTTGTGTATATGAATATCTTTTGTGAGTTTGCTCAAGTGACTTTCTCATTTAAAAACTATATTATCTTTTTTATATATCCAGAACCCACAAGCATCACTTAGTATTTTCAGGGCACTGGTTCTAGAACCCCCTTCAGATACCAAAATCCTTACATGCTCAAGTCTGTTATGCAAAATAGCATGTTATAAACTACCCACATCCTCCTGTATACTTTAAATTATCTCTAGATCCCTTCTAATAGCACAATGCAAATGCTATATCAGTAGTTTAGGAATAATGTCAAGAAAAAAATCTGGATTTGTTTAATAATAATGCAATATTTTTTTTTTTGACAGAGTGGACAGTGAGGGAGAGAGAGAGAGACAGAGAGAAAGGTCTTCCTTTGCCATTGGTTCACCCTCCAATTGCCGCCGTGGCCAGCGCGCTGCAGCCGGCGCACCGCGCTGATCCGAAGCCAGGAGCCAGGTGCTTATCCTGGTCTCCCATGGGGTGCAGGGCCCAAGTACTTGGGCCATCCTCCACTGCACTCCCGGGCCACAGCAGAGAGCTGGCCTGGGAGAGGGGCAACCGGGACAGAATCCAGCGCCCTGACTGGGACTAGAACCCGGTGTGCCGGCACCGCAAGGCAGAGGATTAGCCTAGTGAGCCGCGGCGCCGGCCTAATAATGCAGTATTTTTGCACTTATTTTTCAGTCTGTATCCAGAAAACCTGGATAATGGAGTTGGGGAGGGAGATAGAAACTTATCCCAGCCTTTTTGTTTTCTTAGTAGTGTGTTTCAGATGTTGGAGTTTTAAATTTTGATAAAATTAACTTATCTTTTTCTTGTTGTTGGCTTTTGTGATTCATGGTTTTTATAGTCTAAATCTAAGAAATCTTTCTTTCCCAGGGTTGCAGATTTTCTCTTGTGAAAATGTTACAGTTTTGAATTTTACATTTAAATTCTTGATACAATTTTTCTTAATCTTTGTGTATGATATTAGGAGTTGAAGAGAGGTTTTTTTTGTTTGTTTGTTTTGGTCAGGCAGAGTTAAACAGTGAGAGAGACAGAGAGAAAGGTCTTCCTTCTGTTGGTTGACCCCCCACCCCCACCCCCCTGCCAATGGCTGCTACTGTGCTGATCCCAATCCAGGAGCCAGGTGCTTCTCCTGGTCTCCCATGGGGTGCAGGGCCCAAACACTTGGGCCATTCTCCACTGCACTCCCTGGCCACAGCAGAGAGCTGGCCTGGAAGAGGGGCAACCGGGACAGAATCCGGCACCCCAACCGGGACTAGAACCCGGAGTACCGGCGCTACAGGTGGAGGATTAGCCAAGTGAGCCACGGCAGCAGCCAAGAGATTTTTTTGACATGCAATTATCTACTTCTAACCTTGTTTACTAAAAAGTCTGTTCTACCTCCAAATTGTTCAGGTGAGCTTTTCAGAAATTGTGTGACTATACATTTGTGAGTCTTTATGTATGCTTTTTAATTTATTTAAGCACTGTGCTACAGTTTTCAATATCAACCTGATATATCTGTCTCTAAATTTATAATTATTTCATATTTGAGTTGCTATCAAAGTGATAGTGGATTTCAAATTTCATTTTTCTGGTCATTTGCTGCTATATAGAAATGCAATACAATTGCTTTTGATTGACTAATTCACTAATTACAAAATTCAATCAGATCTACTAGGTTAGATCTAGTACTTTTTTATTAAATATTCTTTAGGATTTTCTGCATGCATGGTCAAACCACCTGTGAATAAAGACAGCTCTGCTTATTCCTCTT